AATTGCTTATTAAAACTTTTTAAAAAGAGTTGATAATTAATATTCATTGATTTCATTAGAAAACTTGAAATTCAACGACAATTGTGTGCATCATGTATACTCAGATCGTATGGGCGAACTTTTTGCTGCGTCATGTACTATTTTGAATTTGACGACCGTTACCGAGATTTTCCAAATCTCGGTCTTCATTTGGCTCCGCCTGATAACAGTGCTATCTGGGTGCCTAATTTTTAAGATTCCAGATCAACATTAGTCAATGTTATCTTACAGAAATATCAAACTGTATTATCATAACTGTATGATATTACGAAGCAAGTGATTTATGTACAAATTTGATCAGAACATTAAAAGCTATAAGTGATAAAGCGAAATCGAAAAAGAAGCCGAGCTTTGAAAAAGGGCCGTCAATGTCGTCATGTTTATTTTTAGCCACGGAGGCTGCCTGACCTACAATTTAGACGTGAGCGTCGGGAATAATTGTCAGGTCTAGGGAACCAGACTACAAATCGAGCTGTCAACTGATCATCGTACTAGGCCTCCTTGACGTTTCCTGCATGTGAACTGAGTGCGGCAGAAATCAAGACTCCCATTGTTACACTCATTTCGAATCGGCATGGAATTGGAACAAAAGCCAAACATATATGCCTACAAACTTTGGCGTCGTCAATTTGCTAAGCTATTACATGTAGCAGGTTCCTTTCAAGCCGGTTTATTACAACACCATTCATCGTTAATTTACAGAGTTGATCAGCTTTCAAAAGTAATTTTCTGAAAGTGGGCCGAAAAGTACATTATAAGACACACACAATTAAGTAACACAGTATACACAGAAACAATCATTTTTATCACCGGCACTTTAAAGCCACCTTATAATCAAACAAACCGAGACTCCGACTATGCATAATATTATGTGACTAGTTTCAGCAACTCGTAGTTTTATTTCTTGCAATCTACCAATCTAGCTTTGACCTTGCAGCCCGAAAGCAATTACTCTCATGTGATTAGTGTGCCCACTATCAACAGCAATTATAATGTACAGAATCGACCGCATCAACATTAAGATACCAGAGAAGTGCATTATACCTGCCGCATTGATATTCTGAGATCCTTTGTTGTAGTTCATTCCAAGCGTGAAGGACGCAGTAATTGAAATGTCACGGATATTAACTCATACGATACGTCTTGGCCAACTCGAAGCAATTTCATGATTTTCATGTCGCTATAAAAACGGGCTCTCCCAACAATACAACAGACTATAGGTTTAGAACCTAGCAGGAGGGAAAACAAACAAGGGCCAATCCAAAGGGCTGGCTGAAGCCCCCTCCCCCCTCCCCCTCCTCCAACCCCACCCCCATTGACCGATGCCAATTACATATATTAAAGGCATATAGGATCATCTATTTTCATGCATTTTGTTCGTTTCCACTAATAACACCACTCAAATTCCAAAGAAAAATGTTCAAAACCTAACCCGTTGAAGTTTGTGATCAGTGTACATGTATATTAAACTTTTGGAGTAAACAGTGAAAAACCATGCACAACCTTTTGATCACGAAACACAATGTCGTCCGCTATAGCACTCTGTATTTCCAAAAAGCAGTCAATTGACTGTTTGCTCGAAATCAACTACATTTCTTGATTTCACCTCAATGACAGCAAGCCAGACGGAATAATTTCACGGGGTGTTTAGTGCCAGTACGATCTTTAATCCAAATAAGCTTTTTGATATTTATCCGGCAGCTTACTTTCAGTAATGCAAATAATCTGGCCTTTATAATAACATTATGGAACAAAAGCTCACACTTCACATAGTTTCCCGTGCACGCGCCATCGCATTACAACTATTGGGCTTCAATCTACCTTCAAACCCCTGCCAGCCCCTGTAGAAATACGTGTTTGACAACATTACAATATTGTATGACGTGGTTTCCAACACAAACATGGTTTCCACAATAACACATACGTGGTTTCCACAATAACACATACATGGTTTCCACAATAACACAAACATGGTTTCCACAATAACACATACATGGTTTCCACAATAACACAAACATGGTTTCCACAATAACACATGCATGGTTTCCACAATAACACAAACATGGTTTCCACAATAACACAAACATGGTTTCCACAATAACACATACGTGGTTTCCACAATAACACATACATGGTTTCCACAATAACACATACATGGTTTCCACAATAACACATGCATGGTTTCCACAATAACACAAACATGGTTTCCACAATAACACAAACATGGTTTCCACAATAACACATACGTGGTTTCCACAATAACACATACATGGTTTCCACAATAACACATACATGGTTTCCACAATAACACATGCATGGTTTCCACAATAACACAAACATGGTTTCCACAATAACACATACATGGTTTCCACAATAACACATACGTGGTTTCCACAATAACACATACGTGGTTTCCACAATAACACATACATGGTTTCCACAATAACACATACATGGTTTCCACAATAACACAAACATGGTTTCCACAATAACACAAACATGGTTTCCACAATAACACATACATGGTTTCCACAATAACACATACGTGGTTTCCACAATAACACATACGTGGTTTCCACAATAAAACAAACATGGTTTCCATAATAACACAAACATGGTTTCCACAATAACACATACGTGGTTTCCACAATAAAACAAACATGGTTTCCATAATAACACAAACATGGTTTCCATAATAACACATACGTGGTTTCCACAATAACACATACGTGGTTTCCACAATAACACATACGTGGTTTCCACAATAACACATACATGGTTTCCACAATAACACATACGTGGTTTTCACAATAACACATACGTGGTTTCCACAATAAAACAAACATGGTTTCCATAATAACACAAACATGGTTTCCATAATAACACATACGTGGTTTCCACAATAACACATACGTGGTTTCCACAATAACACATACGTGGTTTCCACAATAACACATACATGGTTTCCACAATAACACAAACATGGTTTCCACAATAACACATACGTGGTTTCCACAATAACACATGCATGGTTTCCACAATGTCATAAATGCACACCAAACTATAAAGTCATTTTAACTATTTTAACCCACAAATTATATTTCATATATTACAAAAATATGTAGCACCAAACATAACAATGACTGGAAAGCCAATTTCATAAGCTACTTTTAGATGAAAAAAAAAATTAAAATTGGTCAATCCGTTCAAAGTATATCATCATTTAAACACAATGACCCTGAAACCTCTTTTGTCCAAAAATGCAATTTCAAGAATCATCGTCACAATTGTCTTCAAACATCACCAGCGAAAAATCTCAGTTTAAAAGTTAAAAATATTCAACAAAGCCTGTTTGAAGGCCCGTCTTTCTAAAAGAGTGGATTTTATAAATCATAATTATTGTTTGCCTAACCAGGGTTGTTACATGTAAATAAGATATTCATAAATACCTCAGACAGTTTAGCCATTCCTATTGGTCGAGAGCCCGTCACGTGGCCGGTATTAAACGGATGATAAAGACATGGCTAGCTGGTCTTAAACACTTTTCCAGTGTCACAATAAAATGTGGACTCCTAAAAATCCAGTGCCTCTTATCGTTTCATTGGTTGAACGTTCACAATCCTCACGTAGGCATGCGCAACACTACCAGGGAGTTAGAATTTTATAGTTCTAAATTCAAAACGCAACGCGCCAGGTGCGTTCTGCGCGACATCGCGTAGAACATGATACGCGCGCGTCAATCTCCATAAAAGGGTTGTTTTCATCCTACTCGCCAGCTGAACACTCCATTATTTTGCAGGAGGGATGTTTCAAAAAGCATAAAGTGAATTTTTTGAACAAAATCGGGATGTTTTGAACGAATTATATGATTTGTTTTTACCGAAAAGGTATTTATGAATGGGAATAAATATGTACTCCGTCGGTATTTATCACTCTGTTTAATACCACTTAGAGTCTGGGTGCTGATAATTACCCTCGCCTCCGGCTCGGGTAATTATCAGCACCCAGACTCTAAGTGGTATTAAACAGAGTGATAAAAACCTCCGGAGCACACATTTATTCCCTTATTGTGTACTACAGTTGTTGACAGTTGTTGAAACAAGTATTGTGTGTCATTTTCTTTGTTGTTCCAAACATTCACAATACACACTAAACTGATTTTTTGTGTGGACGAAACAGGTTTTAGGATATTCTTTGAACGGATTGAGCGATTTCAGTATTTTTTATTATGTTTGCTGCTACATAATTATGTTTTTAAATATGAAGTATATTTTGGGGGGTTTGGGTTCCGCTTTTTTTGACTCACCCTGTACAGGATTTTCAACATCATCATGAGTTTGGAATACTAAGAATCTCTAAATATTCTTATATCATTATTTTTCACTTGCAAAAGGAATAAGCAGTACAGAATGAAGGGAAATATCGTAGATAGGTCATTGCAATTTGTAATGTCCCCACAAAAATGCGTCTAGCCCAGTGGTGTATATCCAGCTTTAGATGGGGGGGGGGGGGGGGGGGGGGGTGACAACCGCACTAGCACATCCGGACACTTGGCCTCCGTAAAATAAAAGGGCAGAGGGGGGGGGGGGGGGCTGGTACCGATTAGGAAATGGGGGCGCTCTTCAAAACTGACCATTATTATGAATACTGGAAAATATATGCCGATTTTCACGGTGCATTGTAATAGTTTTGAAGCTTTGTTTTCTTTTTTTCTTTTTTTTTCATGTCCAAACTCTCTAACCTTTTTATGGAAATAGTTACTGACAAAAAATCTTTCAAAAAATCCGCCGGGGAGGGAAGTGCCCTCTCCCCCCCCCCCCCTCTGGATACGCCGCTGGTCTAGCCACGCCCCTTGTGCACAAACACTCCTGGTGATGGTACAGTAACCATGTATATATAAAATGTATTTGTCGTGTGTAATGATACGCTGTTTGATTGTCCCATGGGGACAATGGTGGTGTGCACTGAACGTTGAAATCGTTGGCTGGAGTAGTTAGAGACCAACCGAGTATCGAGTCAAACAGTCAATAACAGTTCTCAGCTGACATCGCGTGGGTAAACGTTACCATCAAAGAGCCTCCTTTTTTCTGATGTAATTAATGGACTTTTCGAAACAACAATGATTTCGATAACCACTGTTGTGTTTGTGGTGGTCTTATTATCTGGCTCAGTCCTAGTAGCAGACGCTGCCGGTACGAAATTTTTGACATCGAACAAGTCTTTTTTCAACTTGGACCGCGAGGCCGAGTCGTCCCCAGGGGCAGCAGCGGGCCAGCAGCGGGCCAGGAGGCAGGCCACTTCAGCGGACCTCTCGGCGGACGAGATTGCTGCGTACCTGGACAAGCACAACGAGCTCCGGGGCCAGACCGTGCCACAAGCCGCCAACATGAAATACATGGTGAGTTGAATTGAGAAACTATTTAAAACCTAATAACAATTGGTTGGTTATTAACAATACCAAAGGATTATGTGTACAGGATGAAAACCTGAGACAGTGAAAGCATGCCAAGAAATAAAAAGATCGACACATCTATACTCCGTACTCGGAGTTCCTCTGGAGCATGTGTTTTTATTCCTCCATGCAGTGAAACTAGAAGATTGAAATACTCTGACAAATACACTGTAACCTGTCCAATAGACAATTGAGTGAAAACCCGCACTACAGGGTGAATCAGAATGATCTGGACCCGAATTACAGAAACATTTAAAACTATGTAGCAATAATATCAAAACAAGTGCAAATGAGATATGTTATAAGCTGGTATTTTGGACATTTTTTTGGTGAAAGTTTCATCCACTGTACCATTTTGCAGCGCCAAGGAAGAGCACACGCTAAAAACACTCTGACCACGGTTCCGTGGTTCAACAAATTTATTGAAATCGCGTACTGATGTGAGACGGTGTAAAAACAAATAAAAACCTTGTCATGGACTCTAGGGGACTGACTCACTCGAAGTTATTGACGCATTTAAAAAAGGCAAAACCATTTCCTTGTGCAGACTGGACTTCTCACCACAGCCACTAATTTGAACAATATTCCTGTGGAAGACAAGGTAATAATCATTCATATGAAATACTCCGTATATTTTCAACAAAAAAAATACTCTAATTGCCACAAACTAATGGTGAACTTGGGTCCAGATTATCCTGACTCACCCTGTAAACACTTGCATTTTAGTTTTGATTGCTAAATCCTTGTTTCAGTACTTGTATTTGTTCACTCGGTGTTGATGTCTCTCGTTATATCGCTTTTCCTGGTAATTTAGATGCCGTTTTGGCTTGTTGATTTTTCCTACCACATTTTTGCCTTTTCTTCTGGTTCGAATCTGATGTACATAGCAGCGGGCACCGCATAACTATTCATATAAAAGATGGAATTTTGCGTCGGGGTGATGTAAATCAAACTAGGTTTTGCCCTTCACCGATTAATTAGTGTTTCTTCGTGCCCTTTAAACAAATTAACTGTTGTTCCTATCAGCCCGCACTGTTCGTCTAGGATAGTCACTGTTCGTGATAACACACATTTGTTGATGTATTTTCCACGTATAGACTCAAAATGTTATTAGTTTTTCGATCAAAGATGACATGAAAATTCAACATGATGGGTCAAAGAAATCATATTACTTTTGCAATATTTCTGAATCCCACCCAATAAATTAAAACAAAATCAAACAATCAGAAACAAAAATTCGGAAAAAGAAATAGGAAATGTTCCACTCCTTTATCTTTCTAAAGATGACCTGTCCTTGGGGTTAATGTATGTAATGTAAACCATTTTTATAAAAGGTGTTCCTGAAATTATAGTAGACTTGAATTGCGCGTTTGTTTCTGTAACAATCGCATGAATTATCCATAAAATCCGATTGTGGTTCGATAATAATCCTCACTGGGAATGTTTTCAGTATTGTTCTTGTATACCTTTATTTCTCTCCGTTTTAATCCAATTGAAAATCAAACGGATGGGCCTACACAGAGAACGCAAAAGCCCAGCTTGATCGCTCATCGTGAATTTTCATGGCATCGGTGCGATCTTGTTTACCCATCAAATCTATTTGGATATTCATCTGAGTATAGAACGATAATAAAACTATAGAAATTGTTATTAAAGCCGTTATTTCCTGTTGCTGTGGGAATTTCTGTCTGAGACTTTCTTACGATCTCTTACAACAACAGGCACTGTCAGTCAAATGAATTCGCAGACGTTGTGAGCTTAACTTACTCTCATTCAAACATTTTAACTGCATAAAGAACGTCCAAGCGTACGGATTTCTTTTGACCGGGGGGATTGGTATTGGTATTGTTTTATTTCCATACAGCACAATAAATAATGTAACAGTTATTTATAAAATACACAGGGGTACTAAATGGCGGATACCAGGCAAAAGCAAATGCTTGTGCGCGGCCTGGTTCCTTATTTAGCACTTTAATACACGTGTACAAGTACAATTACAAGATAGAAAAGAGAGAAAAAAAAGCAAAAAGTAACTGGCTAGAGGTACAGCTGAATTCCAGAATTAACACGGAGGTTTTAAATTCAATGCGATACTTAAAAACTCAAGAAAGAAAAATCTCGGTAATACAACTGCTTTAATATCTACAAATAATATAGAAATGTAATCCAAACATGTACATGTATACTGAATGATACACGGGACCAATAAACTATATTACACTGGAAACACAAATATTCTTTTTTAAAAACCATTTGAACGAATGAATACATGTAAGATTGAAATGTTACAAGCAATCTCAACTCATGTAAAAACGCAGTAAAGGGGCATTCTGGTTTGTAGAACCGTCTGAACACACACCTATGATGTTCACACTTTACATTATTTTGATCATTTCCTTATCGGAAGGAAAAATCATTTCCCTACCACAACAAATCACCCCCCCCCCCCTTCATGCAATCCTTACATTTAATCACCTGCTAGATTCAATAACGGTTCAATAAACGCTCCATCATCGCATAATTACGAGTTGATTCGTGAGCTTTAATTATAATGACAAAAGTTGTTGACGGCGAGTGTACCGTACCGTTGCCCTGGGAACTCTACAGGTGCGTGGTCGCGAGGTGGCTTTTCTAAGGATTCACCTTTATTACGAGTGGGGAATAAACTGACAGGAGTAAACGAGGATAGTGAACTGCATTCCGCCCCGGCAGAGACTTTTGTCTGCTCGGCTAAGCTCAAGGTCGCTTTTGACATTTTCAACTTCGCGTCATGCCTATGGGCGGCTATCGCTGCAAAAAGAAGACAACATCCAAAATATGAATAAAATACAAAATTATATAAATATTACAAATTATATGATCATTTACAACTAAAATTCCGAAATATACAATTAAATACAAAACATAAATTGACACAATGGTACGTTATGAGGTAAGTGAAAAAGGAAAGGAGGAAAAAAATTGTCACAAGGATGTTTTGTTGTTTTTTAATTTGTGGTTGTGGTGTTGCCATGACACGGGAAGGGATGAGGTACGGGTGGCTCAAACACAATCGTACATTTTTCTACCTCGTAGACGCAGGTGGGATAAATCAACACAAAAATGATTTTATGCAGGGGCCTACATATTATTTCTGACAATTTGGGACTTTCATTTCGATAACATTCAATTTATTTACAATAAATTCAAGGCCATTCAAACCACTGGCCTTAATTTTTTTCTTGTGCTAAAAGTGAGGAAAACTCTACTGTCCATTTTGTGTTCCCTCGAATTTCATCCCGGAGAATAGAGTTTATTTTTAATAAATTTCTATTTGAATAGCGTTTCCAATTCTTTTGGAGTTTGGGTGAAACATCGAACAAAAAACCGGCCCACGTATAGCTTAAGTACTGCACACATTTCAATATTTTTTTTGCAGCTGGGAATGGTGGCGTTCGCGCAGGACAGACTGGTTCCCGCCCCCTACAAGTATCGAACATGTAGGGATGGGGATCCAGTTTACTCGCAAAGCGGATCTGTTTGTGCGCAGAAGCCACCAAAAATTAAATTCAGAGGGTTGCAGACGCCCGAAAAAAATAAAATATAAAAGTTGACACCCCAAAAAAATCATGAACATTTGTTGAACATTACGAAGAGTATATCGTTAAAAATTTAGATAAAGACCTCAAACTTAGCTGGTGAAATACATGTAGTGAGAACCTTATCATTATTATACAATTTGGGGAAATTTTCCTGGCTAAAGAGTGAGCAACGTTTTGTTCAGGTGCAGAAAAAAAACATGCCAAAAATATTCAGGCCAACTAGTTTTGATCGACCTTCTGCAAAAGCAATTTGAGCACATTTTTTATTTTGCCTCATGTCCGACTTGTAGATTAACCTGGTCATTCAAAGCTTGTGGATGGAAGGATAGGAAAGTAGATTTGATACCAAGATCTGACGATACTTTTTGAAGCTATATACGAACCAAAATGTAGTCCAATTTTAAAACTTATGTTGACGAGTGGCACATCCACAAGTACACATTCGTTTGTTTATGGTGTAAATTGAGACTTTTCTATTGTTTCTCTTCCCTTTTCCTTTGTTTATACTCCAACTTTTTTGCAACAGCTCTCATTGGTTTTGTACACGTTTTCCAACCGAGGAGTCCTTGATTTGGTTCCTGTCCTCCATTCATTAATGATGTTGCACATGTGTGTCCTCGATTTTACACCATAAACACGCGCACGCGCAACAACTCTCAAGACCTACATGTATGGCCTAATCTGCTTGAGGCGGGCGGTTTCTTGCTCTTTGTTGGGTTGTCAACGAATTGTTCAGGGTCAAATCAAACTACCAAAGATTATTCGTAAAAAAAAGATTAAGCCTAGATCATTGGGATGGAGTGCAAGAGGAAGATTAGGGTAAACCGGATTAGACACATTTGTGGTAGGATTATCTCTCCTAATACACACATGGTTCGTTTGTCTGCGATTTCATGAGCAGGTCGTCAGCACTTAGAAATACCAATAATGATCTAAGGTACAATCCGGTAGGTCATCATGCCTTCAAACGTTAAATTGTAAACAATAAATTCAATCGAACGCCATGATCGAACATCGCTGATTCTCAGAAGACATTTCGTTATACGCAGAAAAGCACAGATGAAGCATTGACGAGGAATGAATGTTTGAGTTCGAGCGACAATAGGAAAAAATAATGGCAAATTGTTCGAGATGATAGTAATTGCGCTTGCGCGTTTGGTAAAGAAAGATTGACTATAGCAGTGAGAACTACTGACCTCCATTTCAAAAAAAACTTCACTTTTAACAGCAAAAATGGTCTATCCAGAACATGAAGGATACTTCAGCATACAACTGATAAAAATCCTCAAAAAATACTTTCATACTCTATTATCGATAGTTGTATACACAATCGAGCTCCAAAGTACCAAAAGTCTGCCGAAAACACCAACTTTGGTGGAGCCATATGAATACTTACCGTAATTAGAAATAATTCCATGTCATAGACATCACTAATTTCCCCAGCAGTATCGTATCAGCCATCAGAAAGCGATAACATGTCCAAAAAGTGACACTTAGCAGGAAAAATATTATTGAAGCCTTTGCTGAGAAAACACAGATTTTTTTTCAGCCAGTCTCATAGGGTTTGTGCACAGGGTGTCAAGTGATGTCCAGGTATGGAACTCTTTTCTGTTAATCTACTTGTACTGTTGTGAGCAGTGATGTAAGTTTTCAATAGTCATCTTGCACTTTTTCCCCAACATTTAAACTGAATACTTCCCTTTTACACGACAACAAATTAATGATATCTGGGACAATCTTTGGATTTTCGCGGATGCATGGCTGGGTGGCTGAACATGATTTGTTAATATGGGTGTTTCCTACCTCCATCCCGTTTCCTATAGACTGATGTTTGTTCTTCAGTAAACAAGTTTTGTAAAAATGCCATGTACACCTTGTAATCGTACAGGGGCAGAGATTGGTGTTGAATCGACGTTACCAGACTAGTAATAGACAGGGAAGTGGAAAGTAAATTTGATGTTCAGATTAGGTGTCTGGTATTTAATTAGTAGACTATCAATGGGAGGTGCTTCCCTGTTTTCAAGGCCGTATGTGAGGGGACACCTTTATGCAGTGGTTGGATGTTATCGATCCGTTTGGGGGAAGAAGAGACAATCTCCATACACGCACACACCCCGTGGTCTTTGGAAACCGTTAGATGCAAATACGACTTCTTTATCCGGCACATGGCGTTTAAAGAAGCCTGCTTTGGATCAATAGGCTTTTTCAAGTTGGTAAAGAGGATTGATTTAAGACTGCAAGCTGATGTGCAGACCTGTGCGTCCCAACATTGTTGGTTTTCCCGGGATTAAATCTGTCCATGGCTGGTTTTCTGAAGACTTGAAGTACTTTTCAAAGTAAACAATTATTTTTGAAACTTACTGCCCCTAACTCCTTATGGGGTGTGCGAACAATTATATTGCAGTTGAAGTATTTGGGGTGCTGTGGTCCAATGGTTACGGTGTTCGACTCGTGTGCCGTAGTACATGGGTTCGAATCCTGACCGTGGGAACATGGTGCTTGTGCTCTTGAGCAAGGCACTTTACCATTATTGCTTCGTCCTTCGGATGGGACGTAAAGCCGTAGGTCCCGTGTGTTGTGTAATGCACGTTAAAGAACCCAGTAACACTTATCGCTAAGAGAAGGGTTTGCCCCGGTGTTTCTGCAGTGGCTGCAATATGCGCCGCAGCATCTTTTAAACCATTATAAGGTGCTACATAATGGGTCTCATATTTCTCATTAACTTTATTTACCTTTCTTTAATAATAGACATATCTCCAGCGCCTTGAGTACCTAATAGTTGGTAGATACGTGCGCTATATAAGACTCCGATATTATTATTATTATATCTGAGCCTTGTTCGCTGTTACTTGAAAGAGTTATCATGGAGGTAAATCATCATGAACATAATAGCTGTTATAATACATGTACAATGTACTTGGAGCATGTTTTAAACCCACAACTAACTTGTAGAAGATGAAGATCACTTTTCGGAAAAGTTAACCAGAGCGGCACAATTTGCCCGACGTTTTCGTGTATGATTTAAAATTGTTCGGATCTTGAATTCATTTGATACCTATACATTTTCCTCTATGACTGCGCATACTTGATATTGATCATTCCGTGTACCTATTGTTGCGTGGTCTATACTAGTGGGACATATGCAAGAACTACAGGGTGAGTAAAAAAAACGAAACCCAAATGTCGGGACCATTGTTTTAGTGAAGTTCTGAATGTAGCACTTTCAAAATCCAGGACATAAAAGCTCAATTCATAAGCTTTCTTTTAGTACAAGAATCATTCAAATCACTCATGTACTTCTCAAGTTACGGACTTTTAAACACAAGCACCGTTTTAAAGTTCTGTCCACGGATCACAAAAAGGTAAGTCTTTCAGCAAAACGAAAACAAATCACATGATAGGGATGTTTGTGAATTGTCTTCGTTTTGCTGACAGAACGCACACCTTTTGTGTGATCCGTGGACAGAACTTTAAAACAGTGGTTGTATTTAAAATTCCGCAACTTGAAAAATACGTAAGTGATTTGAATGATTCTTGTACTAAAGGAAAGCTTATGGAGTGGGCTTTCATATTCTAGATTTTGAAAGTGCTACATGCAGAACTTCACTAAAACAATAGTCCCGACATTTGAGTTTCGTGTTTTTTGGACTCACCCTGTACAGTTCCCTCTGTACTTATATCTCGCTGACTGACTGGCTCAATGACTTTCGATTGTGAATAAGACTTGGTTAAGTCTCATCTAGGCTCAAAGATTTGACTCAGATGACTACGTACAGACCCCTCAGCTCAAATCGGTCCGGGAAGAGCCTTATGCACGACTTGGCCATTTTTGTCGAGTTCCCTGAATGTATTTCATGATTGTTAACTGTTGATTGGAATGCGCCAGACTATTTATGCAGCCTTATTTTTACTGTCATTTTTTTTTATCTGGCTTGAAACATTAGGAAATGTTTAATTACAAATTTGAAATTATTCAATATGGCCGACTCGTGCATAAATGCCATATAGACTTTCCTAGTCTTGTTTCTAGTCCAATTTCACGAGAGAGTTTAGTTTTCACACCGCAATACTTATCTCGTAATGTTCACAGACTTGGGATGACGACCTGGCCACCATGGCCCAGCAGTGGTCGGATATGTGTATCTGGGATCACGGTCAGCCAGACAACATTAGCCCGTTCAGCAGCCTGGGCCAGAACCTGTACATCACCAGTGGCGGCACGTCTACCAAACGGATCGACGGGGCCGGTCCCGTACAGTCCTGGTATAACGAAGACCAGTACTACACGTACGATTCCAACTCGTGCCAAACCAACAAGGTTTGCGGGCACTATACACAGGTAGGCCTATTAAGCAACGTAAACTATGAGGTCTGTAGGTAAAACGGGTTGATGAACCTTCCCAGTCCCCGACTCCCCCCCCCCCGACCCCACACCCATCCGCCCCGCACCCACTTTGGGCCTGTTCTATCTCGCACTTCCCACTCAGAACAGATTTGCAATGTCAATCACAAATCAATCACAAGTCAATCACAAGCTAATTACAAGTCAATCACAAGTCAATCACAAGCTAATTACAAGTCAATCACAAGTCAATCACAAGTCAACCACAAGTCAACCACAAGTCAATCACCAGTCAATCACAAGTCAATCTCAAGTCAATCACAAGTCAATCACAAGTCAATCACAAGTCAATCACAAGTCCATCACAAGTCCATCACAAGTCAACCACAAGTCAATCTCAAGTCAATCTCAAGTCAATCACAAGTCAATCACAAACTTTCACAAGGCAGTTACAAGTCAATCACAAGTCAGTCACAAGCCAGTCACAAGTCAATCACAAGTCAATCACAAGCTAATTACAAGTCAATCACAAGTCAATCACAACTCTATTACAAGTCAATCGCAAACACGTCACCCAGTCTCAAGTATAAGGTCGCATGCGATTAAAGATAAAAAGCTGCAAAAACATTTCTTGTTACCATTACAACTCCAGTCAAAATTGCTTATAAGAAAATCCATTCTCAACTATACATTTCCACTTCTAAATTTTAAATGACGAGCATCTATTTACTTGGGTCATGGTGTTTTACCGTAATGGCAATAATCTCAGTATGTAACATTATTTATAGGTTGTGTGGGCAAGCAGCTACGCAGTGGGTTGTGCGCAAGCGTACTGCCCTACGGCCACCGGAATCTCCTGGTCAAACACCATAATTGTCACCTGCAACTATGGACCTGCGTAAGTCAATAAACTCTAAAAACAGCTTTCATTTTGAAGAGGATAGTCCCTCAACTTGCAACTGCACTGTCATTATCTATACTTATATGACGATTTATACAACACCTGTATAAATCCCCGTCATCTGATTGGTAGCTCTTTGATCACATGTCATTAAATTATTCATCTGAACCCACAGCCCGGCCGCACCGCAAAAATAGAAGTTCTATTCCACGGTAAATAGAAGTTCCATTGCACGATCGCACTATATTGATGGCTGTGACCAATCAGATGACGAGGACTTATTTAAATAATGAATGTTTCATATTTCGTGCAATGGAAAGAATCATTCGGTGACAGGTGGATGAAACATCCACCTGTCACCTCATAAAATTCTGACCATTGCACTCGCAAAAAAAACATTATTTCTATAATTTACACTGCATGTTTATTCATTCCTCCATGATGCAAACATGCGAAGCATGTGTAGCACTCTCCCAAATAGACCATGTAAAGCAAGAGTTATGTTTTCGGTACTGTTACAGAAAAAAGATGGTTGGAATTGAGAACACTCGTATAGGAGATCATTTACTTCCTTTAGTGTTTGCGTAATTTTGTAGGTGAGGAAAAATCATTGGCTGTATTGACGGGGGGGGTCCGTATGACTTACACAATTTGGGTCTAAATCAGTGGCGTAAATCTGTGCCGGCGAGTGGGGGGATGGCGGATGACCAAAATCCTAAAATATCCCGGCCGTGGAAATTCAAAAAGCGGGGGGGGGGGGCACCACATTACACTAGGGGCGCTCTTCAGGAAAAAGATGTTTATCAATATGAATACTCGCGCTGACCTTTTTAAAGCTTTTGTACTTTGTTTCTCCACTTTTCAGTGCTATTGAATACATTTTAGTTGTTGGGACGTTCGGAAATACCTCAAAATCCGAATATGCGAATCCGAAAATCCATATTTTTTTTCATCACAAAAAAGTGGGGATGATTGAATAGCCCATCCCCTTGGTCAAAAAGTGTGTGGGAGTATATACCCCCATCCCCCCCCCCCGGGATTTGCGCCCCTGGTCTAAAGTTATCTTTGTTTCTTTTCACAGTGGGAATTACCCCACCCAGCCCTTCATATCTGGCACGCCATGCACACAGTGTGACTCGGGTATAGGACAGTGCTACGGAAACCAATGCCGTAAGATTTCTTCTTCCAGGATACGAGATTTGTGTCAACAAAATACTGTAGGCCCTCTCACTAAAGTACAGAGTTAATCAAAATCTTGTAAAGTCCATCTGAAACCTGTGATATTTTGCAAGAATTCGGGACTGTAGGCCTACTGCTGCATGGGAACATCGTGATACCAAGGACCTATACAATTTGCTGCGAGTCCAATTTTTGGAACTATTTTGTTTCTTGACCTAAGTAAGCTGGTATAAACAAAAACTGTTAATGTAGCAGAGAAACAGTATTCTCGCAAGAAACATGTTGAAAATGTCAAAAATTGATGGCTCAAAGAAAAACTTGCAGAGAATTGCAATGTTTTCTTATCGTGCAATGGGCAATGGTTAAATGACGGATAGGCCTAAGGCCAAAAAAAAAAGTCTCCGGTTTCTGGTATGGAGCTTGCCCCAAAAGTGGTGCGGCGACGCGGCTTTTTTTTTTTTTTTACCTGTTCTTTTTTTTTTTTTGGCTTCAAATGTCGGCTGATGACTGCAAATGGTGTCCGACTAAACTTAGTGCAAATATATGGGAGTCCAGAGAGGCCACATAAATCTTACTCTCGATCATAACCCCATCTAAAAACACGTTAAAATTGTGCAGCAGCAGAATTCCAGTCAAACCAGTGAGTTTGGCGGTTTTGAAACATCGTCTAGTATTGAAAAAAAAACTTTTTCATTTTGCCGACGCGCAGGGCTACGGCGACGCGCGCGCATACCAGAAACCGGAGACTTTTTTTTGGCCTAAGATAAGAAGGAGTTCGTTATTCAAATTCCTTTGTTGAATTTCCTCAACTGTTTTTCTCTTTGTTAACAGGTCTGTGCTCAACACACAGCGAAGCATGTGGTAAGTTAATCGTTAATTTGAAACCGAGAATAGGTTCACGACCATAATCTTTGTCCTTAAAATATTCATGTAAAACAGTCAACGTGCATCTATACTATATATCTTCGTCTAATATCTTTTCATAACCCGCCTAGCCTAAGGCCTATAGCAAGTTAAACAACAAATGAAGTTTATGTTGTTGTGGAGTGATCGTCGATTTCATTAATTTAACATTTCTCCGTATACTTGTCAGTTTGTGCACAGGTTTGTGATAACTGTGGGACCCTGGACAGCAGTGCGTGTACCTGCACCTGCCCGAACGGCTTCTACGGCGCCGATTGCAGCGGTACGTACGCCTATCCGCTTCGTGCTACACGCTGATTGGACAATGCACTTTGAAACAACCGCAATTTTGGATCCCAAAAGTTCCCCTGATAGTAATTTATTGCTTGGATATTGGCCAGTCCTAGGAATAGGATGGTTTATAATCTTAAAAGCTGTTCAGAAAACACAAATCTCATTTTTGCGAACTTTAACTCTGAAATAAAGTTCAGTACCTGCGCGTGCGTCATGGGTGACCCAAGATGGCGGACGATTGCTTCAAAGCCTATAGGCACTGTCCGCCAGTCCAGTTAGTATAGAGGCCAGAGGATGGGTAGACCTACCAAGAAACATCCTCTTGAGCAGAGACTGCACGGAGCCTACACGTTGGCTTTCCAGCGTCATGATTTCAACTAGGCCGATATATCTTGATGGCAAATGTCTCCACAAGAGGTCGCTGTTCAAAGTGATGGTTCCAACCACTGCCGGCTGTGCATTCTCCGTCACAGTGGAAGCAAATGGAAGGAAAAAAATCACCCGTTTCTTTCAAAAATAATTTCTACATTTTGGAACCGGTCTTCAGAACAAGCAGAATTACCACATTCGGATATGTATCAATATTTTAATGTCTGTGCTGGAGAATCTTCTCTTTTGGGATAAGTCGTGCCAAGGAATGCAATACATGTACCAATTACCGGTAATAAAACAAACTCGCTTGTTATTACTGCGCATTCGTCATGGGCTTCCCAAGATGGCGGACGACTGCTTCAAGGCGTTAATGTCTCGCAAGTTAACCATTTTGTGTAATAATTTCTTTCCACAGTGGTTTGCGAGAACACCCATCAATACTGTGGCGCCAATCCCGGTTGGCCTACATCTTGGTGTGATGACGACCATAGCTATGTGTTGACCAACTGCCCTGCGTTATGTAGTCTGTGCGTCTGTAAGTTATGCCCAAAAAAACTTCATGACTTCGAGAAGAAAAATCTTCAATATTTCATGCTGATTTTTTTTTATAATGATATTGTCGTGACTTCGTATTACAATGCAAACTAAAAAATCAAATTGATCTTGAGAAGCGAGATTTTGCGAGAATACAATATTTTGTTTCAGGATTGATAATAACACATGTATAAATTGTTAGTCGAAATTATTTTTTCTGTAAATTTGTTTATACAGCAATTCAAGATCCAGGCTATACGTGCGGTAAGTTTAATTACTATCGCTTTTTTCCATTAGCGCGGTCAGTACACGATCGATCGTTTTGCGGGGTATAATGAAAGAAATCACATATTATAACAGATTTGTTGAAATGAGCCAATTTATAGATGTTATATAAAATAGTGGAAAACAAGAGGCAAAGGATTTAATTCGAAAGTTCTTTAATTTCCGGGTGGGCGGAACTATAAGCTTCAAAATTTCAAGGAATTCCAACCCAAATTTATTAGCCAAAATCATCCCTTGAGATTAATTTTTCATGAAACACAAAAGCAATTTTTTTGTCTGAAATTCGTCACCGTTTTCACGAAGAGCCACATATGTCCAAAATTACAATTTTTTTCGATTTTGATTTTTTTCGATATTTCGCATTAAAACAATGTACTTAACCATTTTGACATGTTTCTGTAAGCAAAACATCATTAATTTCTAAGTTACATTAATGTTGCAAGGGGCAGAAATCTCCATAACTGCATTTTGCGTTTTCACGAAGAGCCACATACATTTTGGCCCTTTGAACGCGTACAAAACCCATTGCACGGAAATACGTAAACGTAGGTCAAATGAGATTTGCGTTTTCACGAAGAGCCACATATCTTTGTTACATTTTCAGGCGCGCGCGCGTACTCACGCGCGCCTATGGAAATACACGTTGAACAGAAAGGGCCAATATGTCGGAAACGTGAATTTGCGTTTTCACAAAGAGCCACATATCTTTACTAATTAATTTCCACTAATTAACTGCTTTATTAAGTCTTATTACCGGGTTTATGTAAAACTTCAGCTCACGTAGAATCGTGTGATGGTTTTCTTGCTGCACAAAGTTGTTGCAAAGTAGTATTTCTTGCAGTTTTAAAATATGAGAAACTTCTTTTGTGATTATCTCGAAAACACTTTACTTCAAAATCAACATAATATATATAGTATGTGGCTGTTCGTGAAAACGGTGACGAATTACTCGTGTTTCCAAAATTTCTCCAAAAACATTTCTATACTTGTCGGTGTCGGTGTCGGTGTTCGACACCGACAAGCAGTCCTTACTGAATACATGCTCCTGGGTTTCTTTTTAACTTTCGACGGCACCTTCCTGCCACATGCTTTTTTCAGTTTCTTTTCTCTTTAATTGAAATCTGAAAAAGAGAATTTGCAGCGTTATGGAAGAAAATTACTGTCGTTGACAGGGTCAATTATTCATGATATCTTATTAATAATTCGGAGAAACGATCCAAAACTCCTAGTCCTTTCAATATCCTTGAGCAAGATGATGGATGTATAAGATTTGAAAAATACATCTTCAGGTTTATTTACTGAGCTCTTTAAGTACACAAATTGCCTGATTTGTAATACGCCTATCGCTGAGATTGCCCATTAACCTTCTCCAACACCAAAATACAGATCCTGCCACGGATGCACCTGCGACTGTTGCAGCCACTGTTGCAGCCACTGTTGCAGCCACTGTTGCTGCCACTGTTGCTGCCACAGACGCACCTGCAACAGACGCACCGGCAACCAACGCAGCAACCAACCCGCCCACCGCTCCGGCAATCGGTAAACAATGCTTCCAATTCAATGTTAAATTTATTGTCAGGTTTCAAAGTTAAGGACAATATTACTTTCCCAGTGTAAATTAAAGTGGCATGGGAACAAGGGTGGCCACCCAGAAACGAGCCTACCGATTGAATGAGAAACACATTGCACAATAGGGATGGTACCGCATACACTGTGAAATTGTTCAGCCTGAAGTGGTATCGTTTGGAAGAAAACAATGAAGGTGGCCTGAAAAACGATGTTCGTTTAAACGCATAACTGCAAAAAATACCCATCCACCGGGACCTCGACTTCACGTACGCTTACCAGCTGAACGAGAATCGTATCCTGAGCGCTGATTTATAGGGATGTGTACACGCGAGGTTGCAATTCAAAATATGAAACGGCAAATTTTGAACGGGAAGCGCTGGCAACGGAATCCACTTCAGAGACCACTGCATTTTTGCATAGGCTTTCTCTGTTTTCTCAAAGTAGCCACTGAGCTGAAATTTCAACAGGTTAGTTGTATTGGTATGCAAGTCCCAACCCACTTAAGATTCTTCAGCTATTTTGTTACTTCAAACGAAATAAAATACACAATAAGCAAAAGCATGACCTTTGAGAATGGTCATACAAAATTCTTTTACAAAATATATTTTGTTGCATTACTTTTGTAACAGAATTACAGTTTATATTTTGAAGTAATGGGGAGATGAAGAGAGCGTAAAAAGTGGGCTGCAATGTTCAATGTGACAATTAGTCTTTTAAAGTGGATATATCTTTGTGGCAAACGTCTAACTTACTTACATTGCTTACAGTTGCTTGCTTGCTTGCTTACAGTACACATATTGTATTTTTTAAGCCATCAATATTTGTTTTTTTGTAATCTCACATCTAGCCACGACGGTTGGAGTCGCCACTACACCGTGCCAAGTTTCTTGCGATAACGGCGGGACTTCAGATTCCTCTACGTGCGAATGCATGTGCACATCCGAGTACCAAGGCGACACGTGCCAACGTATGAAAATCTTTCTTTGTTATTGTTTGATCTTGCTTTTTTAATACCTCATTGGAGCTTTGTCGTCATTTACGATACAAAAATTTAGATTGATCCAGTGAAATTGAAGGTTTTGTCAACGTCATGCACTTTCTTTAAATTACTCGTTTCTTTTGCCTCTTTCAGATGAACGTGAGCAGGCGCGATTCGGCGTGATCGTCATACTGTTGGCTGATATTGCATATGTAAGTGTTGGCATGCTCGGCAAATTATGAAAAACAGACAATGCTAAAGCCAAAATTTCACGGTGTTTGTCTTAAAACAAAAACCACTCAAACACGTGCCATATCGCATAATCCAGTGTTGAAGATACGTCTGTACGTGGTCTGTTAGACATGAAGCTTATTAGATCATAGGCCTAATCAACACATTTATATCAAGACAAATCAGGATCGCGGCCGCAGATAACTCGGACACAAAGAGAATAGATAATCAAATTCAGTTTCGTAAGGTTATCTGAGGCGATCGCATAATAATCACAGATAATCTGGAAGCAGTTGTAAACAACTGAACAACGGTTACAGATCAGTAGAGCATACATTGGCATATACATCTCTTAATAAACCTTCAGGATACAACGGCATTCGTGAAAGAATTCATTTTTAATAATCGACCATTTGCCGTTTGTTTTTATCATGATGAATACAGTGGGACTACATCAAACCTTACCTGATTGATTTCGTCGCTTATATCTTGACGTCCTTCTGCAATGACAGATTTCAGCTGTGCTGTCCTGGTAGTGGCAACAAAAACACGTAAGCGACTGACTTTTCTTCTTCATTTACTAAGAGTTCAATTTAATTGTGTTCTCCTTGTTTAAAGTGGCTTATAATATATGCTAAAACATACAAATTGACATTTTGTTATAGGGGAAAACAATTGAATAATGTTTACAAGCATGGGTAGAGCTACTTTATTGTTCAAACCTGAAGTGTTTGATTATTTGAAGAATTTATACGATAACACGATAGGTATACATGTATATAGAAGACTTCCAATATATCCATTTGTTTTTAGTTTTGGTATATCATTCATTTACTAAATTTTCAGGACGGCAAGGCTCTCTTTCGTGAACGAGTCCCACATTGTGACAGCCAGCGGCTACCCCGAGCCCTACCCGGACGTTACCGGCGCGTTTGTTGTCATGTTCCTGGTCACTCCGCCGGCTACCACGGAGCTGTGCTATCAGGGTGGCACGGTCGTGCCTTCGTCTCGCCGGCGGCGGGCCGTGCAGAGCGCCGCGGCGGAGGACTGGACGTGGCCGCTCAGGATCCACAAGAGAGCCGTTGGCGACGGTATAAAAGGATTTTCTGCGCCAATAAAGACTGTTTAGAGTGTGTCAATTATGTGGCCTATAAGAGGGCGGCATAGGAGTCCCCCCCCCCCTCTCCCACTCAAAAATGTCACATCCCTTGTGTCCGCGCTTAATGTTTTGGAAGACAAATCAGAGATTTTACCATTTGAATGTCATTGATTGCCCCCATCCAGAAGATAAGGCCCTCCAATGCCCCTGCAAAGTGGTGAACCCCTCCCCCATTAGCCCAGTCGTGAGGCCTTTCTCTCCCCTGGATCCCCTCTCCCGGGATGGAAGACAAAACAAAGCTTTCCCCCCCCCCCCCCCCCGCTTGCAAACTTGACTATAGTTACGTCATCGATTCATCTATTTTGCTGCTCTTAGCGATAAAATATACATGTAGTTGACACATTATCTTCTTTTTCAATCTTCCGTTATATAATAACTATTCTCATCAAAATTTAAAAAAAAAATCTACTTCACTTATAATGTGCACGGAGCAGACTGGAAAATGTATTCTTGATGACCCTTTTCCGTATTCTCCGTCGGAAATCATATTTTAATTTGCATTTTATTTTATATAAATAAACTTTTAGTTTGGTCTATGAACCTCATTGTTCTTTCATCATAGAACAAAATCCACATTTCACCACACAGATATTTTACTTTAATAATATTCAGGGAGAATTAAAGTAGAGTGAAAAGTTACAGTAAAATCAATCATTGAAAGGTAAAACAGTAAACATCCTTGTTTCTTAATAATCGTCAGGTCCCTACCTGGACCAGGATGTTCTGCTTGAAGCTCTGGAGGAGAACATGGAGAACCTGACCATGGCTCTCTCCGGCCTGAACGTCAGCGTGTCCGTGCAAGGTATCGCAGCTGGGCAGGAGGAGCCTGTCGTCACCCAGGCCCCGTCCACCTCGGCCTCCCCGGTGCCCACCGGTCTGCCCGTCGCTGTCATTGTCGCCATCGTCGTGGTCGTCGTTCTCGTCGTGGTCATTGTCGTCGTTGCCATTGTTATATTCCTCAAGTACGTAAAAAACTGTTTGTATTTCCCTCTGTTTGTATAGTTCACATCCTTGTTTTATATTCCTCAATCTCTTTTTCAATCTGTAACGTGCGGTTTTGATCGGTGATTTGTGGCATGATCTGCTGAGGACGCCCTTTGTTGTTCAAGAAGAATTAAGACCGTGAGACCATTATTAGGCTGCATCAGAATTACTGTTACAGGGAAGAGAATGCAGCCGCTTCCATAGGACCATGCGTAATTGTGAGCCGTAGCAAAGTCATTCGGAACCGGCCGTATAATGGACACAGCATCAACTTAAATCAAAAGGACAATTAAAAAAGAATGTGCATGTACCTTTACATTCACGAGAGACTTTCAAGCCCGTTTACCTTGCTGTATAAAGCTGTCCAACAAAATTGACGACTAAAACCTAAAATTTACCTGCGACAACTCCATTGATCGAAATTCACTACAAATTTTAACTTCGAAAAAGGAGCAGATGACGGTTTACAAGGGTTTTCTGCTCTGATAAAGACTTTTTAAACGTTTGTCCATTAAGTGGCCTACGAGTCACTGCCAGCAAGAAGAGTAAGTTTGGGGTTTCACCATGTATACACATTTCTTTTGTGAAAAGAACAGGGGAAACTCAGCGTTTTGGACAGTTTTACTCTGCCCATCGCGGCGTCAGGAGACTGTATCCTGACGACGAACAGAGCATTCTGTCCGAAACGTTGAGTGTCTTTTCAGAACTTCACAAACTCCCAAAAGAGATTTGTCACTTGGTGAAACCCCAGCCTTACTCTTATTGGAAAAAAGAATCCTTGTTTTGTAGATTCATTGTAACCAAAATGTAAATTATTGGTATGGTAATCCGGAGGTCACATGTTCAAAACAGTTTCCCTTTGTGATTTAAATTTGCCGTTCTGTTCAGAATTTAAAATAGACTTGACGTCGATGGAATACAAACCTTGACATTCCCCCCCCCCCCCTCAATCAAATGTTGCCCTTGGTTGAATAACTCTAGACATACGGTGCCTATTATGTGCGCAATTTTATAATGAATGCATTTTACAGTATGCTTCTGTGATGTTTTACCGTTTTCAATCCAGGTTTTCCAAGTCGGCAAAGGTTGATGCAATGAACAACGAAAAACCAGGCAAGTTTTATTTATAGATATTTTTCTGTGATGATAATTTTACTTTTTACGGCTGCACGTATAAAATAATTTGATTGTAACAAGATTTAATTTGAACAATAAATATTTTTTCTCATCAGAAAACGCAGGAGGCCGTGAAAACTACGGAATGACAGAAACAGATCCAAATGCCTAGCTGTCTGGCGTCCCGACGTCGTACGGTGAAGAGGAACGGCAGACAGCCTTATGCCAATAATTACTAAGGTTTTTGAAATATCGCTCCATCCGGCTTCATCTCTTGATTTCGAATAAAAAATGAAATGTAAATACTCTGAACTTTGATCTTAATGTGTACATAAATTTAGCAGAATATTTGCCAATAGTGAGCCAGAAATCTATGAAACCTGCAGCTGGGGAAGAGGCCGAGGCTTCAAAAACCCCTCAATTAAACTGATGTTCTCTATGCAAAAAGACCACCATAACAGATCGCGTTTGTCCGACTGATGAAGTAGGCTTTTCTACCGTACATGTATCAACTCAAAATGGGAATTACAAATGTGTGTGTCGTACATTTATATAAATAACCATATATCCCTAGGCCTTTTTGTAAGGATGTAGCCTCAATCCTGCAAAATCCTCCAATCGGCCTCATGGAAAAATAGCATATAGCCTCAATCCTGCAAATTCCTCCATTATTTCTTGAATATTATCCGTGGAGGGGTGACCCACTGCCTGAATCCTGCAAAATCCTGCGGCAGTGACTGTCAATATGTTGAGGCTTGGCCATTGACATCCTGGCGAAGTGCAGAGGATTTCAAGTATAATCCAGATCTATAGTTATGCATGGCTGAGCAAAAACAACACAAGGTCCGGCCCAAGACCTTGACAAAGTGCATCCTACGAAATATGTAACGCACTTTTGCCATGTAACCTCAATCCTCCAAATTCCCCCACTGTGGCAAAGAGGATTTTGAAGGATTCAGGGCGGTTGCGGTTTTTAATCTCCGAACTTCTAGACCCACGGTGTGTGTCAGTGTGTGGTGGAGGGGGGGGGGGGGGGCTACACTGATCACATTTGATGTTTTTACCGTCCACTGATGACTTGCCTGTATGTCTGAGTGGACGGGAATCCAAAACGCTCCTAAAATGTGGGGGGGGGGAGTATTTATTCCAATACTCTGTCAACATTTTGGCACTAACATTACATTAAAGGCATAAAGGATCATTTGCTTTTCATGCTTTTTGTTCGTTTCCAATAATAACATGACTCAAAATCCAAGGAAGAATGTTCAAAATGTAACTTGTTGAAATTTTAGCCCAGTGGATAGGCCTGTTACAGCTTTCCAAAAAACAGTGAATAACCATGCACAACCTTTTGACCACGAAGCAAAGTTTCGTCCAAAGCACTCTGTATTTCCAAAAATTAGTCAACTGACTGATCGTTGGAAATCATCTACATTTCTTGATTTCCTCTAAATGACAGCAACCCAGATTGAATAGTTTCACGGGGTGTTTACAATCAGTATACGGTCTTTAATCCAAGTCAGCTTTTCGAAAATAATTCAGTGGGTTACTTTGGGGATAAATGCAAATGATCACGTGTGCCTTTAAGAAAGCTTTTTATAGGTTTACGAATTGGCACATGAAATTCATGACGTGGAACATTGGCGGCTAGAGTTTATAATATGAAGACAATTTTTTTTTTTTGTTGTAAAAGCCGGCATTCGTGAATTCGAAAAAAACAAAACATCAGTAGGCCTAACTCAATTTTCAACTCAAAATGATTATAGTTGTCCATTGTCGACAGCAAGGTATTTTTAAGATTGAATTTGATATTTTCATAGCCGTGGTCCCAAGTGTTTGAGAGTTGTTATAAGCGTGAATTCCAAAAAATTCAAAATTGTGTTATTCTAAAATTGTGTGTTTAACATGTGTGTGATTGTTGAAGGATAAAAACACCGACTTTGTAATTCACTTTCAAGAAATGCGATGTTTTTATTATGTAAAAATGCGTGATTTGTTATATAGAGAGGTACATTCTTAACAATTATCTATTTTTGAAAACAATATATATGGTTTTTTTTCTCCAGATGTTTTGTGGATACTTTATAAATTAGCGGAATTTTCCCAATAATAAAGAATTAGGACTTGAAATATTTTTTATGTAAAGTGTAAAACAAAAAATAAAAAAAGTATGTTCCTTTTTGTGTGTGATACCTATAGTAAGAGAAATTGCATGTAATTGTACATGGGTTGTTTATTTATGGCATATTTTAGCCTATGAGATTTGACTTAAAGTTATAGTCCATCATTTGTAATATGTGCATTTTGTTCGTTTGATGCAACAAAAGTGCTCAAAATCTAAAGAAGAGTACTGAACAACTAACCTGATAAAGTTTCAGCTCAACTTCAGCTGTATATTCTGAGAAAAACAGCATTCTAGTATCTCAATTTCAAATCAAAAGTTGCTGAATCATGTTTTGAATTGCGCCTGAATTCAGCGTCCGAGACACGTTCTCGCTGAGGCGAATGCAGCTACGCGATGTCGCGCACTGATCTGACGAGTTATAGCAACCGGGGGTGCGTGTGCGTCGTGCCAATGCTTGCGCGCGCTTCGCCGAATAACAAAACGAACTACATGTACTAATTTACATTTGAAAGGCCTTTTTTCGTTGATTACTTCAAAATGACAGCTTGCCAGAAAGAATAATTTCACAGGGAGTTTAGTCCCCTTACTATATTTCAACCAAGTATGTTTTTCAACAATAATTACGCCAGCTACTTTTCGGATAGCTGCAAATGATGGACTATAGCTTTAAAACATTAGGCCCATCAATTAGTGAGTGATGAACTCTATAGCGACAACTACGGCGCAGGTTTCCAAATAACCACGATTCTGTGTGCGCAATTATGCTTTTTGCTGCATGAATTGCAACTTCGAAAGCACCGGAATATATTCTGCAACAATTAGCATCTGCGTGGAATTGGTTCCTAAGCTTGCTGAATAATTGAAAAATACCGTCTGGTTTGCTAATCTATACGGTTATTTTAATATCCGTAAAATGAATTATTAACATATTTTCCGGCCCGATATTTTTTCTAGATGACTTTTAGACACACCACGTATAGGCCCCTACTCGATGTCATTTTCGCATGTCATACATGCGCTGGATCAAGTAAATCTTTTGCAATACGATTTTATTTTTAAAAAATATACGTTTAATATCAATGTATAAAATAATGGTGTCGATAGCCATTATTTAAGTGGGGAGCACATAGGTTGATTATTATTCCATTCTTAAAAGAAATCATGTGCATGTAGATAGGGACACTGTTTGACACTAATGAATATTCTGTCTTTCTGAATTCTCGAAACATGTTGACCCCAGATAAGTTTACGCACAGTCCTCTGGCAAGATTGAATCACACGAATAAGCCTCTGCCATGGACACTATATACAGGATGAGTCAACAAAAAGGAAACCCAAATGGCAGGACCTTTTTCTAAATAAAGTTCTGCATGTAGCACTTTCAAAATCTAGGATATAAAAAGCCCAATTAATAAGCTTTCTTTAGTACGAGAATCATTCAAATCACTTACGTACTTTTCAAGTTACGGAATTTTAAAGACAACCACCGTTTTAAAGTTCTGTCCACGAATCACACAAAAGGTGTGCGTTCTGTCAGCAAAACGAAAACAATTCACACACATCCCTATGTGATTTGTTTTCGTTTTGCTGAAAGAACACTTATATTAGCTTTTTGTGATCCGTGGACAGAACTTTAAAACGGTCCTTGTGTTTAAAAGTCCGTAACTTGAAAAGAACATGAGTGATTTTAATGATTGTTGTTCGGAAAGAAAGCTAAATGTTGAAAGTGATACATGCAGAACTTCATCAAAAAATAGTCCTGACATTTTGGGTTTCCTTTTTTTTTTGTACTCACCCTGTACACGATAATAAACAATGTACATTATTCCGTCTTCATGTATATGCACATATTACCAAGGCTCTGCTGTCCTTTGATGCTTGCTTCTGCGCATGCGCGCATACATTTGAATTTATTGGCAAACTGGGCTATTCTTCTGCCACATCAACCATATTTTATGACCCTGCCTTTAAAATTCATGGAGTTAATTTGCATTTTATGGAGATATCTCCCTCCGATCCCTAGTTTTAGTACAAGTCAGGCGGGTCATCAAGGCGCCGTTACAAGAGAAATGTTTTTTGCCGCTATATTGACAAAACCCTGCCAGTTAATATACGCTGGCCATTTTCTTTTCGTCTTCGTCCTCAACCCCTTTCCACAGGATCAGCCTAGAGTCTTCGTCAGGGGCGGCGGAACGCTTTTCGAACTGGGGGCACCAAAAAGGGGCAATTGCTCAGAAAAAGGGGCACCTTCCGTCGGTGTGAAAGTGGAGGAAAAGAATATGGTCCCGTTCATTTCGCTATAAATATATATGATGAGGAACAAATTATGAGTACGTTGCCCATCTTGATAATTTTGTTTCTTTCACCTAGTTATGCAGAGAAACAATTTTTATATCGCAAGAGGGGCACTGTTGCTTTTGATGGCCAGTTCAGTGACTATTTTATTCGCGTGAAGAGCACTATTATTTTTTAGGGGCCAGTTTTCCATTTTGAGAGGGGGCACAATTTTAATGTTGCGAGCGGGGCACTAATTGTGCTTTCGATGGGCAGTTTTCCATTTCGAGAAGTTATAAGTGTGAATTCAAAAAAAAATGAAAATTGTGTTATTCTAAAATCGTGTGTTTAACATGTGTGTGATTATTTAAGGATAAAAACACCGACTTTGTAATTCACTTTAAAGAAATGCGATGTTTTTATTATGTAAAAATGCGTGATTTGTTATATAGAGAGGTACATTTTTAACAATTATCTATTTTTGAAAACAAGATTTTTTTTTCTTCAGATGTTTTGTGGATACTTTATAAATTAGCGGAATTTTCCTAACAATAAAGAATTAGAACTTGAAACACTTTCCATTTCGAGAAGTTATCGCGAGAGGAGCACTATTGCTTTTGAAGACCAAGTTTTCCATCTCCAGAAGGTGCACAATCGTGCTAATGCGAGAGGGGCACATGTGTTTTGGAGGGGCAGTTTTTGCATTACAAGAGAGGAGATTATGATTCTATTTGTAGCACTGTGCTTTCATACGTGTGCGTTTGAGGGGCAGTTTTGTTTTCATCTCGAGGGGGCGCGTTTATAACCGCGAGAGAGGCACTTTTGTTGGCCTGGGAGGAGGGAGTTCTGAGTCAATGGAATAGAATTTCGTAAGCTCTGGGACCAGCCATAGGTTTGCCTTGTTCCTGTCTCAAATCCTCCTGCAGTTTTGTTTTTAACAGTCAAATTCCAGCGCGGCTGAGGCAGAACGCGGAGTTTTCGCAACTTCTTTAATAAAATGCCACTTTCTGTTTTCGGTGTACAAAGGCGGATCGGGGGGGGGGGGGCAAAGGGGGCCATGCCCCCCCCCCCCCCCCCCCAAACGAAACCAATATTTATTTTTTTTATGTGACATCGCAATAAAGGCAGGCAATGAGTACACCACCATCTTTTCCTCAAAAAAAAAAAACATTGGTTAAAGTGGTCAGAAATTGCCTCAGATCGCATCACAGAGCATCTAGAATCCAAAAAAAATTCGGGACCCTTAAGCGGACCCTTAATTTTTTTGACCCACTTTTGTGGGGGACCAAATTTTTTTTGGCCCCCAAAAAAATTGTGTTCTGGATCCGCCCTTGTCGGTGTACGACCTCGAGATTGAAAAAAGATTGCTGAAGATATTAAGATCAGTACGACAGTAGGCCATATGATATTTTGGCATAAATAAAGTGATTAGCTCTGGACCGATTTCTTCAGACTGAAAGAGAAACTCGAGGTCTCATCCCTAAAGCGGTTCATTATAAACAACTAAAATAAATATTAGGTTCGGAAACATACAATTTTGCTGTTGCACACTGTTTTATTGCCAATTTTGTCAAAATCGAAGAACAAATGCAGTGAAAAAACCACTCAGCTTAAATGCGGTATCACGAAAACAAATTCACAGCACTTGGTGAGAAACTGATTCAAACATCTTGGTTTTTTTTAAATGATCATAATATTAACACATACCTCGACCAGCTATTTCACCAGACTAGGCACTAATACGGATTTATTGTTTCTTTGTAATCTTCTGGATTTTATCATCTTCTTTTTTTTTCTCAATTCCATTATTTTTCGCTTTCTTTATAATCTACTTTGCATGGTGGAAAGAAACATTCCTTTGCATGTTTCGAAAATGGACTCACTTGCCCGCTTGAGGGCGTCCAGCTTGCGGCTTGAATTACATGTTTTTGTGTGATACCACATCCAGCCGGGCTTGTTACTATAACTACATTTAAAACCCGGTTTGGTTTAACAATTTGAATAAATACACCGAGGTTAAAACCTTAATTTTTCAACAACTTTAATTTACGTTATAAATGTGCCTAAAAACCGCCAACTTCTCCAATAAGGTTTAAAAGAGAATGAAACGCGAGAAAATACAAAATAAATGGAAAAGGGCCTATGCCATGCGCAGTGTTCTGAAACCTCCGATTTCCCATGCTCCTGTGTATTTTTAGGCCGGCAACGCAGATGCAGCGTTCGGGGTGCAGTACAGGATCTGTTGGCCGTGGATTTTGTCGTCCGAGTGGTGGTAGTCGAAGGTGACCAAGGCGGCCGGGTCGCCACACCCCTCGGGTACCTCCAGATCCTTGAAGTTGTTGTCCATGCAGATGTCCACCTTGAAGTCTTCCTGGCCCTTCGGGGTCCAGTTGTGCTCGAAGCACATGCGGAACACCTTCTCGGTGTTGTCTGTGAAGTTTTGGTAAGAGAAGGGGGAAAACGATTACAGGGTGTTGCAAAAAGAAGGAAACCCACTTTTGTCAGCAATTTTCACCTACTTGTTGAGCATATTTTCAAAAATTCAATTTAATGGTATTAAACTATTGATCTTTAGGCATCAGTTACGAAAACATGATTGCAAGTGCATATTTTGTTGTCTGAGATATGGTACTTAAAAAATTTCATGCGCCAAACCAATTTGTCCACGGACGACTTTATTCCATCCGCTTGACTGAGCTTCGGAGCTTGATTTAAAGACAAAAAACACTTCACTAGACTTACATGTGGACAACTGAGATATTGGTGACTTGTATTCAAATTAGCATTATAACATAATTCTTGCGATTTTTTCAAGTTTTTTTTTTCACCACGTATGGTTGAAGAGCTATACTTCACTACATTATTTTAAAAAAAACAGTTCAAATAAGTTAAGTAAGTAGGTAAAAATTCCTGTCAAAAGTGGGTTTCCTTCTTTTTACACCACCCTGTAGAAAAGGATAAAAAACTAAAGTTTCGTTGACGGCATTCGCACGCCACGAAGTGAGGTTTTGTGGAGAGTCGCCGCACCACAACGTAACACCACAACGCAACACCACAATGTAACACCACAACGTAACACCACAACGTAACACCACAACGTAACATAACGTGTGCTCTTATCCGGTACACCCTGTTACTATCGTGCAGCCAACGATTATAAATACAAGTTATGGCGCTGAAGTCGCCTTTATGCAGAAAGGCTCTATGACTTGTGTTCTTCATGGCTATACCAGAAAAAGATTTACGATGGCCAAAAAGGTAAGGACTTTGACAATTTTCCACTTTTGCTTTGAAGATTGTGTTGCCTTGCGTTACAGAATGGGCCGCGCGTTAAACCTGCCTGGTTTCTCTCTGATCTGAATTGAAGGCGCAAAAAGCTACAACATTTCACTGAACATAGGTCAAGTTACAAAACATGCGATTTCCAGCCATAGGATTCAAGACAATTATTGCAGGACACTTTTCAAATGAGAGTGTAAAACACTTTCGGTCAAACCGTTTCAAAGACAATGCTTTAACGGCTAAGCAGGTTTAGTGAATAACATAGAAAGTCACTTACTTCTCATGACGTACAGCTTCCGATCTAGCTTGCCCATGAACATGTTGATCTGGTACTTAACGGGGTTGGTTGTAAATTCAAAGGTATCTGCAGAGAAGGCGAAAAGGAACAAACTCGGATTCTTTCTTGAGTGAAGTCTAACTGACTCAGCAAGGACGCAAACGCACTGCGAATCTGTTTTTGCATCAAACACGCAGGGTTTTGTAGTCTTTACTTCCATCCGCATTTTGTCAGTTAAAATGTCTGCAGTCTAGTGATCTTGATGAAAAACATCAGTGAGTTATAATGATACGAAAAGATGCTGCTCCAAATTTCGGACAGACCCACCAATATATTTCCGTGTACATTTTATTTTTCATCTGCAAAATGGCGAAATACAGCAGAAAAGCCATTCAGCTGACAACGCTCATCTTGATCCTATTGAATGAGCGTAGGGATGATAGGCCCTATGATACTACAAGGGTTTCCCGCCAGAATTATTCGCGCAATATATTTCCCGCCTAATCTTTTCCCGCCTATTATACGTACGCATGTACACCTCCCCGCCGGATTTCTCCTGGAAGCAGTGCACGCATCGCTCGACTTTGTCATCGCATTCCATCGTCTCGGGGTAGAAACCCTACGGACGAAATAAAAAAAAATCGTATAACAAGTGAAACATGTAAGTGTGATGATACATGACCAAATTTCTTTTTAGCAAGATGAAGCAGATTGAATAAAGGATGATTTAAGGGGAATATACAACCCCTACATCAACAAACAAAACTTCTAAATTATCCGAAATACCTTACTGGACTATAACTGAGTGACAGTCTAAAGCATCCTGTAAAATCAAGGCACCTGGTGAGGTTTTTTTTTTATCGATTTCCAACGCTGGCCGGCCGACCAGCGTTGGAGAAAACCTGCTTTCTTTTCAAATTCTGCTCCCAAGTTATCATATTTAGTTAGTCCGCATTTTGTTTGCAATCGATTAGACACCTGTGAACGGGTACAAGCCAGCTAGACTGATTCCCTAACCTTACAATTCCCCGACGTCTATAAATTGCTCTGTTTCATCTTAAGTGGGGCAAGGGAACCAGACTTCAAGGACATGATTGTTGTCTTGGTTTTTCCAGCATCTTTATACGAACCCAAAACTTCAAACAAGTCAGTGTAACACTATTGGCTATAAACTACTAACTCCCAAATCCATCCATTTCTGAAAATTACATCAAAAGCAAACGTTGTATATTCCCTTTAAGTAAGTAATCACTTCCGTGACATCTTTATTGTTCTTATCATCTCCAAGTGATGGGGAAGGGGTTTATAAGATCTTAAGTCGAGCTTACTATGGATATATGACCACGTTACCAGTTGACAAAATAGTGATCTTAAAAGCTTACCGTATCGACAGTGATTGCAATTAACCTAAACGTTATTCCTACGCGGAAGTACAGTATTGTCATTGTAACGAAAAAGCAGAATTGTATGTTGAAACATCAGAACATCGCAGATCTCCGTACACTAGAGAATTGGGAATTTCCTGCGACATATGTTGGAATACTTGCACGAACGATAAAAAAAGAAAAACCGGGAAACGGAACAATTAACTCGTCAGCAACAGATGAACCCCCAGCAGGTAAACGCTCGGCTCAGATGTGTAAAATGTTTTATTAGAATGTGGAGACCAACATTTCTGAGCATAAGCTATAATACACGACATTTTAACACGACAGGCCTAACAATCCTAAACTTCATTCATATACGTTAAATGATTGTACCTCGGCCCACATAAAATCGTTTCACAGGAATAAATTGTAAGAATGACATTTCCTCACCATGTTTGACATCGACGGATCATTGCTCTTTAACCATGTCCCAGAAACGTGGCCGGCGAACGCCAAGCACAAAACTGCAACGAAAGCACCCCACATAATTGACGGCTAAAATTCTCGCTGCGCTGACGGAGGTATAGACCCAGAAACAAAATAATTCAAACAGCTGCCAATTTTGAGCTTGATACTGTATGGGAGCGCTTGAATCTGCCCCTTGCATTTTATACCATGATAAAGCCATGCATAATTATGCCTGTCTATTATGCAAATTACCTTATGGATTAAACAAAAGCCACACCGAGCATGCATTATAGGCACTTTTTTTAAACCACGCCCCATGACGTCATATCAACAGGTGTTTACATAATTATATTAAAGCATAAAAGAATGCAAAATAATCATTTATTCATGGTAATAAATGGATGGTTTTATTGGGCTTTTTAATAGTTTATGTAAATGAAGGATTCTTCTAGACTGCAATATTCATAATGCTTTTGGCCGAAAGAGCTTGATGTGCCATTGCAGGAGGCCGGGGTTTGAGTCTTGCCTGCAGTTGACATGATATGAGGTACATAGTTTGATCGTAGACCATTGGTCGACTTGTGGTAGATTCGTGACAATTGTTGCACCTGCGCGCTAATGGTGCGGAATTCTGTAGTCAAAACAATGGCCAAACATATGAACGTTTTCGAAACGACTGGCTTTGGCTTCGTCTTTGGCTTAAGGAGATTTTAGGCCCCCAACGTCTGGAACTCCAGCTACATTTTAGTGCCTTTTATGCTTCAGGAACTTTCAATCGGTTGATATTAAACCACAAGTTGGAATATTTTCTTTAGTTTGCCTCTCAGTGATTCAGAAGTAGAGGCAAAGCCGAAGTAGAAGCCGAAGCAAAGGTTTCGAAAACTCCTGGTTCCCTGCTTTATACGAAACACACGACTAACACGATGGGACCAGCGATGGGACAAGCCTCGATAGCCTGATCCCAAATGGTCGATTTCCAGCTATAGTCGTCTAGCGCGGGTTCGAGTAAAGCTTAATAGTCTAACCACGGTTAACAACAGTTATCGCTCGAACTTGCTCTGTAATAATACGTTTTGGTATAAGAGAAATCAGGCACACTAAAAAAGAAACATTTGGAAACCTTTGAAAGGGAAGGTATCCCGAGATATGTTTTAAGGAGAGAACAAAAATCGCGGGTAACATGGGCACAATTTGCATTATTCCCAATGGATTGGAACCCTAGTCCAACAGATGGAGATAAAACACCACAAGAAATTCGTGCAATATTTTCCTCATTCTTTCCTTTTTCAGGAAAGAACACAATTTTGTGATTGAGTCTAATTAACAATATGATCTCTTTATTTATTTATTACATTTATTTACCCAGGGTAGCCCAAACAGTTGAAAACTGGTTTCCATTGGGGCCCTGCATACAATAAATAATGACTACAAACATGTATATACAATACATTACAATACAATTCAATACAATGGGATAAAACATTATTTGATTAATGCATAGTTATTATATGATGAAATGCATAGTTGTTAAGCAAATATTGTAAATACAATATATTTTAAAACTATAATAACTACATATACAGTGTGAGGAGCAAGCGATTTGAGAGAGCAGCGATGCCATTGCTTGCAGCTGGCCTTATCCAAAGATGAATTTTACCAATTGTATATTCTAATTTTTTTTTAATTATCATTTTTTTTTTATTAGTTAACGGTTGAATGAATTATGGCTTTGCATTTATAAATTTTATGGCTCGTTCTTTTCCTTAGCAGCATGTCTTAATAAGGGAATATATATATGTAGTTTGCCGTTCTATGTTGAAGACCAGGGCTGGTGTCTGGACGCTCATAATGACCCGAGCCGAAGGTGACGATCCGTTTAAGACCGGCCACGTGACGGGCTCTCGACCAATAGGAATGGGTAACTGTCTTAGGTATTTATGATTGACTACTAATAATTCATCCCTTCTGTTCGTTTCTTAATGGCTTTACAAAGGGTACTTGCAGGCCATCCTCGTGCTAAACTAAACTCCTTCAGTGTAATTATAGCCAAAGTTTGGTAATAAGTAGAGCCATTCATTCCCCGTATACTAGATCAATAAAAATTATGTCGATCTAAATACCAATATTTTTTTTACACCTTAGATATCTTTAATTTTGTCTTTCTGTTTAAAACAAATCCACAAAATGTAAAACACGTCTCGGTACCAAACACCCATGAGCGGTCTGTCCCGTACACTTTATTATTTTGTGTGTATGCTAGTGCAGGCCCGTTGAAAATGTGCTTGTTCGGAAGGGGCAAATTGCTTGGCCGCTGGTATTGGTTGCTTGCAGGTTTCTGAGAACTGCTCGTGCAAGAAAAGCACACGATTCAATGGTGTTGTTTTTCACAGATTGAACGCACACTCACTTTTGTATGTATGTTGTATTCGATGCCCCATTTCAAGTATTGTGATTTATATAATCTTTTGAAGTTATATTTTAGTTTTGTTGACAAAATAATTACACAAAAAGCCAGTGTCTGTTCCAATGTCTATTGCAATGTCATCCTAAATTAAGGCACGACAGTGGTCCTCCTACACACGAGGCCTAATATTGTTGCGGGGGAGATCCGCCCCTCCCCGCCCCAAAACGATGCCATGCCCACCTCTGAAAAAAAATGTGAATTTTTACCGCACAATTATGGAAGAGACACAAGTTCGCTGGGTAAAATTCAGTAAGCACACGTCATCAAGGATGCCTGTACTATACGGCTATAAATTAAAAAAACAAAATTATGTAAAATCTACGTAAATTATTTCTGGTACAAGGTAAATTAGCAGCTAAAATTCACCTGGGAGCCAGTCTGACTGTTGTACACCAGGGTGGCGTATTTTTAATTGCCTCGTTACAATATTCAGACAGTTTCATCATGAATAATACAGAGCAGTAATAACGCTGTATAACTCTGCATATTCCCTCTACAACTTCCATGTGTCGCATGCATGTCCTTCAGTTTTGTACATGTGGCAAAGGTTTCGCAAGGAAAGCAAGTTTTAAAACAAAAATCGATTATTTTACTCAAGATTTTGATCCCCTCAGCGTAAAAAAAAAATATTTCAGACCCAAAGCCAAACCAGAGATAAAACCGAAGTTTCACTTCTTGTTAAATTTACTGTTACATTCATCTTTGGTAGAAACGTCCAGCACAAGTTGTCTATTGGGTACCAAACAGCATGCTTGATAAGTCTTTGGATCTTCATAATACACTGGTGCCTTGTGAATTCCTTCTTCCATTCTGGTATTTATTAGATAATGTCCATGTGTTATCAATGACTCGAATTGACTCGAGCATACATTTGACTCGACTCGAGAACTCGCTGTGACTCGACTCGAGTGACTCGACTCGTCTCGACTCGACCTTTTTGACCTAATGACTCGACTCGACTCGAGTCACTTCCTTAACTTCCTGAACTGGTAAAACCTTGGGGCCCTGCATACAATAAATAATTACTACAAACATGTATATACAATACATTACAAATACAATACAATTCAATACAATGGGATAAAACATTATTTGATTAATGCATAGTTATTATATGATGAAATGCATAGTTGTTAAGCAAATATTGTAAATACAATATATTTTAAAACTATAATAACTACATGTACAGTGTGAGGAGCAAGCGATTTGAGAGAGCAAGCGATGCCATTGCATGCAGCTGGCCTTATCCAAAGATACATTTTACAAATGGTATATATATATATTTATTATTTTTTTTTTTATTAGTTAACGGTTGAATGAATTATGGCTTTGCATTTATAAATTTTATGGCTCGTTCTTTTCCTTAGCTGCATGTCTTAATAAGGGAATATATATATATGTAGTTTGCCGTTCTATGTTAAAGACCAGGGTTGGTGTCTGGACGCTCATAATGACCCGAGCCGAAGGTGGCGATCCGTTTAAGACCGGCCACGTGACGGGCTCTCGACCAATAGAAATGGGTAACTGTCTTAGGTATTTATGAATGACTACTAAGAATTAATCCCTTCTGTTCGTTTCTTAATGGCTTTACAAAGGGTACTTGCAGGCCATCCTCGTGCTAAACTAAACACCTTCAGTGTAATTATAGCCAAAGTTCGGTAATTAGTAGAGTCATGAAATCCCCGTATACTAGATCAATATGTCGATCTAAATACCATTTTTTTTTTTACACCTTAGATATCTTTAATTTTATCTTTCTGTTTTAAAACAAATCCACAAATGTAAAATCGTCTCGGTACACCCATAAGCGGTCTGTCCCGTACACTTTATTATTTTGTGTGTATGCTAGTGCAGGCCCGTTGAAAATGTGCTTGTTCGGAAGGGGCAAATTGCTTGGCCGCTGGTATTGGTTGCTTGCAGCGTTTTTGAGAACTGCTCATGCAAGAAAGGAAAAAGTTTCAATGGTGTTGTTTTCACAGAAAATAAAATTATTTTTTGGATTTTCCAACGGTTTCAAACCTTTACTTAGCGGTTTACAAAAGATATACATGCAGTTGTGTTTTTTAAACGATAACACAAGTACTGCACATGACTATAGTATACCTATATCTATCTATGCTGGGGTGCGTTTAGCAATATTAATAAAAAAAATTCCATTATACTTGGGCTAATGCTGAATTTGTAGAAATACCAACAACAGAACCATCAACAAAAAATAGCACACACATATATATACATGTTTTTAATATTTACACAATTTGCAAAGATACTGTCTGAAGAAAGCTGTCATTATACGAAACCAATCTTACGACTAATTTTCTAAAAACAAAACAAATGATTTCAGACAGATCTTTTTACGCTTGAGAGGCACACAAGCAACCTATCATAAAAGATGTTTTCAGAAGGTTGAAGACGCCCAAAAAAACAGAAAACAAGAGTTTTTTTATGAAAAATAAGAAGAAGAAGATGTATACAAATCGAAATGTTGTGGTTTATTCGCAAATCTACAATGTGTTAGGGAAAAGAGATCGAAATATTAAAGAGCTCGGTAGAGAGCAAGGCCTTTGGTGATACATGTATTGCCTTGTAGCTTAATAATGTTTTTTTACGCAATTTGTTTACACAATTTTATTCTTAAATAGTTATTTATAACTATTAATAACAAACAAACGATAAAGTGTACATTTATTTACACTGCATTTCCAAGAGTATAAGTACATTAAAATTCTTTTTAAAAATTCCTTAAGAGTAACAAAATCTACCTTTTTTACGACAGCATCATTACGATTAGCGTTAAGACATAATCTCATGATTCTCGTACTGACAGTTTTTACATGTAACGCCCTTGTTCATGTTGTTAGAGATAAGGACAATTTAGCATACTGCTTCACGCATGCGCTTTGGCGTAGACTTGGGGCATGTCTTTGCGTTGACACCGGTACAGTTTGAATTAATTTGAACACGCATCGAACAAAGTCAAGAAGAAGATAATTCTCGGCTTCAGATACTGGATAGCTGCAGTAAAATAATACAGGTATATAGCCTCCAACAAAAACGCCAAATTCTGGAAAGACCTCCGTTTCCGAATCTCTATCGGCTCAGACAAAATTACTTATTGTGGTGCGTCCTCCTGTGTTAACAGAATCTGCTTTTTAGAGTTAGCGCAACTTTCGCACTAGCGTCTGGTGGTTATGCTCAATGGTCTCGGAACCTAAGAAAATACACTTTGGGCTGGTCTCGGACTATTAACTGACTGACTGACTGACTCCCCGACTAACGTGTTAACCGGGCAGTGCTATCATATAGGATTACCTCATAAAGCTGATAAACGAGCTCCGGCAAAGATGCATGAAAAGACTTCCCGAGAAATATGAATCAAAATTGCATAGAATTCTGTGTACTCTCGGGCCTGCTTTACCACGCATGAGTATAATCTTGTTTATTTTTTGAAGCTGGTGTTTTCTTCCTGGTCTCTCTGGAGTTTGTGCTTGGTACTAAATAGAGTCGTTCAGCAAAGGTCTGTGACTTTCAGAGTGACAACCAGTGTTTCCTCTGTAAAGAGACGAGCGAAAACATCAGAAATTACGCACAGTACTGGGGCGAGATGCATGGTTTAATCCAACCAAACCGTAAAAACAAGAAAAGAAAACAGAAGAAAGGGGAAACAGAAATAAGGAACAGGCCTGATGCCTTACTGCTGATAAATTTATCGGAAAGTTAACAGTACAAATGGTTGTGGATATTGTACAGTTTGCTACACTCTGCCATACTTTAACAGTTGCGAACGCAGGGTGGCGCTTTTTATTTTAGTATTTGTCGGACCGATGGGAAATGTATCGATTGGCAATAATTAAACCGAAGCGGACGTAAATTAAAACATTACCTGAAACCTCTTGACCTTTCCCTTCCGCACATCGTCATGTTCAGCTTTCGGTGTGATGAGAAACGCCAATTTCTGCATTAACAAAAAAACAACAAAGTACACGATTTCAGAATTAGGCTATGTTGATGCTATCACATTGTCTTTTCTATACATGGTAGATAACTCCACTTTTGCAAAGGCAGTGATCATAAAAAATATCTGCTGGAAAAATCAATCCGATAAATTTAACCATGCTCACGAAATTATTAAAGAAAACAATTTTCAAAAGGAAAGCAAATATTTCAAACATTGTCGGCACTCTATTTTGGCGGTATAATCGAAACATATTGGTTACATTCTGGGGATAGGGGCCCAAACATTATAACCAAGTTCGGCTTAGCATCAGGAGATTTTTAGGCGTCAGTCCCAATGGACATTGGCTTATTGTAGACATTAACGTGAACGATGCAAATATTTTCTAGTGGGGAAGCACCCACCCTAAGCGATGCGAAGAAATCAACAGCCGTATTTTAGGCCCTTTTCCGACAGTTTCTTATCTTAAATATATGCATTCAATTAACAATACAATATGGATTTCGACCCTCTTTTCCTCGATTTATTTTCTTTTTCCTTTTTCTTTTTTTCAGGGGGTGCAAGTGCCCCCAAAGCAGTCCACGTTTATAGGGGTATAGTGCTTGGGTACTGTGAAGTTGGAAGTTTATTAATTTTAACTTTCGAAATGCTCCTATATGGAGCCAAACAAAAAGCCGAACAAGAGTTTGGGGAAACACTTGTGTGAGCTGTCGAGTACAATTAATTAATTCTTCGCCTACCATTTTGAAGCTGTCGCCCTCGGACCGGAAGGCATTCACCACGGCGAATATGGGCACGATAATCATGGACGAGATGGCGAGGAGCCAGCCTAGTGCCTGACCCCACGGCGGGTACACGTAATCATCGTAGGTCAAAGGCTCGCTCAGTGCCAGACTAATGATGAATATAAACTGGACAGGGAGATGAAGGAGAACAACAATTATTTTGGTGACACTTCGACAACGGCAGCGAAACCGGGGGGGGGGGGGGGGGGGGAGGGGGAACGGCCCCCACTGTTTTCCACGGGGAATCCCCCATTGTTATGCAAAATATACCCTATTGTGCAAAGGAAGTTCTCTAGTCTCTCGTCTCTGGAAATGATCGCTTTCGATCACCCTGTGGGCAAACACAAGCGCGCTAGGCAGCGCGGCAGCGGAAGGAAAAACACACAAAAGCCCCAAACCACCGTCCCAACCCCGCCCCCTACACAACCCCCTTAACCCCACCCTTTCGAATATGCAACGGCCGGCCGGCACCGGCAGTCCTTCTGCGCCCTCCCGTCCCACTTTCAAAATTGTTCCGCCGCCGCTGCACTTTGATGACCAAAAAAATATATATAATTGAAAAACACACAATTATCAATAGGATTTTGAACGAAAATTATGTGAGGATTCTGGAGCTGCTCAGCTTAAAATTGTGCACTTTGTGGTAAAAACATGATGAAACTTGGCATGCAGGGCTCAAATGGGCTAAAATTATTTCGAGAGGTGGACCCATCTTGAATCTTGCACATTTTTGAGCGGAGCTTGCTGTAAAAAAAAGGGCACACAATAATTTTCTTTTAGAATAACTGTAAATTACATTCGTTTCCCTTTTGTTTCATGCTCTGATGAAATAAACTTGGACATGAGATAAGATATTCAGCCATTTAAACACGTGTTATCAACGCCCCCCATTGTAGGCGTGGCCTAAATATGTAATAGAGGCGGTAGAATAAGAGCAGTTTGATTCAATAATTGTGCCAAGAAGTTATGCACTTTGCTGGTAAAAACATGCAATTTGGCATGCGCAGTTAAATTTGCCTCACACCTATATAAATTTACCTGAATTGCTCATAGGGAAAAGAGTTTTAAGAACTTACAACTAAGAATATAGGTGCGAAGATTTTCCAGCAGAGGCGCCACCAAATTCCCGGCTTGAAACCTAGCATCTCTTGTATGTTGTCAATGAAATTGTCTATCCCTGTTTAAAAAAAAAGAAGACAAACGTGATTAAAATCTTGGCAAAGGATTGCAAATTTAAATTTTGTTGAGAGATTTTCTTTAGTCGGCCTTAGATGAAAATTGCCTAATACACTTTTAGGCAATGCACTATAATTCAATTGGAAGTCTGGAATTTTTATAATTGGGTGTCGCTCTTTACTGATGAAAATCATTGCAGTTAATATTGGAGTTTAAGGATTTCCCTGATGCAAAAAATCCATCAAAAGGCATCGAAAAGTCTTGTTGTTACAGCCAAAAGGAGCATGTTTCACAAAGAAAGGAAGAAATCTTTGGGGCATGCATTTCAGTTTCACAAAGTAGTTAACTGCATAGGCGTAGCCATCGGGGGGGGGGGGGGGTAAGGGGATATTTACCCCACCCAATATTTTCTAGATCGCCTTGTTCCATTTAAATGCTCTTTTTTCACCAGCGCTTACCCCCTCCCCCACCCCAATTTCATTGAATTGTGATGTTAATTGTTGTCTGTTAATAAGTGAATTGTCTTTACATTGTAAATGATGTTTAATGTTAATGTTATAAGTAACCATAATAATGGTGATATAGGAAATGGGAAAGGGGTAGCAATAAATACCTAAGACAGTTTACCCATTCCCATTGGTCTAGAGCCCGTCACGTGGCCAGTTTTGAACGGTTGATAAAGACCGGCTGGCTGGTCTTAAACCTTTTTCCAGTGTCACAGGAGATTTGGACTCCTATGAAATCCGGTGCCTTTTACCGTTGTATTGGTTGAACGTTCACAATCCTCATGTATATGCATGCGCAATACTACCAGTGAGTCAGTATTTCATATTCCTAATTTCACAATACACCGGCACAGCTGCGTTCTGCGCCAATCGCGTAATCTCCAAGGAGTTGTTTTACGACGACTCACCAGAGACACAACCATAATATAGCTATACTATTAGTGGCGTCTCGAAAAACATAATGTAAAGTTGTTGAACAAAATCGTTGGAAATTTATAATTGTTGACCTATTTTGACTTTTAGACCGAACAGTTTTGACTGAAAAGGTATTTATGAATGGGAAATAATATGTGCTACGCCTGTGTTAAGCATGTTCAAGACCTGTTGGAGTCTGCATACTGACAGTTACCCTCGCCTTTAAGACTCCAACCGGTCTTAAACATAGTGTTTAAAACCGGCCAAGCACACATTTATTCCCTTAGTAATAACAACCTTTGGCTACTCCTACCCCCCCCCCCCAAAAAAAAAATGATAGCAGATTTTTTTCCTTTAACTTAAGACAGTTTTGTCATCGCGACTTTTCCAAATTGAGTTTAAATCGTCTGTCACCGTAAACTCCTTTATAGGTGTTACTTTTCGTGGCAATTTTACCATCTCTGAGGACAGACTTTTGTTTTGAACGGGTATTAACTAACCGTAAAACCACGATATGATAATTGCCTCTAACATGACCACGAAGAGCAGAGACGCGCCGGCCACGAATCTTTCCTGGAGTACGAACATGTAGATGCCACCGTATGTGACGTTGAGCAGGGCGCAGAAGAAAACGCTCGCTACCACGGCGAGGGTCAGCAGCTCTCGCCGCTTCCTGAAATACCTCGGGAATCGGTCCGTCAGGCCGGAGATGACGGCTTCTAGGCCGCCGAACTGTGGTAAAAAGAGAGAAGCAGAGAAGAAGGTTTTGTCATCCCAAATTCGACCATTATTATCCGATATCGGTTTCATGAGATTTGTAGGCCCCTGCACTCTAAAAAAGACCAGGGTCCGATTTAACCTTGAATCCGGATCATACAGTTGACTTTGTACTTCTCAGAGTCAAAATGACCCGGACTCCGTGTCAACTATGACCCTGGACCATTACGAGTGTAACTTCCAGAACTCCTGCTCAATAAAGACCTAATCCCATGCAGTTTCCCTCTTTTTGTGATTACTGCCGGCTGGCTTTCCACTATTACTGGGACGCTTGGATACTATAATACAGATGCTATAAAAGGGGAGTGCATAATCCTTTTATAGTGACCTGTTCAGCTCTATATACAAAGCGCACGTGTGATTGGTGTTCAGGCATGGAAGCGTGCCAGGATTGGCTATACCAGAGTCGTCACTGTAATTTCAAAATCGGATTGGTGTATTATGTCAAGCTCTGCTTCGGATATACATTACGTCGTTATACACTGCAAAAACTGTAGTGTTAATTCAACACCGTTCGTATCTATATAGGACAACACCAGTAATATTTAACACCAGATGGTCCTATATAGATACCAATGGTGTACATTTAACACTCCAGTTTTTGCAGTGTATGAGTGACCAAAGTATAGACGAATCCGCATCACTATGCACAAACGACGCCCCTTCCATGGCGAAAGTATTGTGCAAGCTATTGTGCAAAGTTACCTCCCAATGACGGATTATCTAGACAACAGCTAGCACAATGCTTTCGCCATTTAAGGGGGCCTTCCTGATAGAATTGACAGCGTGCCAGGATTGATATATACAGTGTATCCATTTGGTTTGGACAACTCAAGCTTGAGGCGAAACCGGGATTTCAATCAAAATCATTTGGTTGTCTAATCCCTTAAAAGCAGCTCTGACGTGCATAGTTCCTGATGACATCCGAAGTTCGAGGTCATCCACTTTCGTTTAAGCCACTTTTATAACTTAGTACCTATCGCTCAACTACTGTATACTTTGGTGACCCTCAGCAACTCTTAATATTGTACTTATCTATTTTAGGCCAAGACTGATTTCCACCGTTGCAACCTTCAAACGGCACACCCAAATACTGGGTATCAATCGATTTAGCTGTCGACTTCAAAATTCATTTTACATTCTTCTTGTCAACAAGTTTGACTATAAACCCTTTAGACTGATTTTTAGTGCAAGCGGACAAATGGTCTTATTTGATTTTAGTTAGATTTATGACTTTTTATTGAAAATCTGACCAAATATTGTTTGTACAGAGTGTCAGAACCATAGGAGTAGGAGTATACCCTTAATCTGATCCCTTCGTTACACGATGCCATATTGCAATATGGAGGGCAATCTTGCTTACCGAACTATCAAGGCCTAACGTAATCAGCATGATGTAGAATATGATGGACCAGAAGACGGAGCCACCCATTGTGGCTATGGCTTCTGGGTAGACCACGAAGACAAGTCCCGGACCTGAAAATTAAAAGAAAACAACACGAATTTGAAAATGAATGATACAAGTGGTACGTAATAGGATGCAGCCTCATACAAGCAACCTGTCGGCTTGCTCCTTTATTTTTCCTGAAAAAAAGGAGGAAGCGGGGCTTTTTATTTTTTGTCATGTTTTATTTTAAATGAAATAATTTTTAAAAATGAATAACATAATATAATACATTTGCGGGGTGAATATACAAGAGAGGTCACCTACTGAAAAAAGGCGCTCTCTCTTGCCCACAATATTTCAAAAAAGGCGTATATGGACCTTATAGGTAGCAGTCATCAAGGCAATACATTTGCCTTGCTGTGACATACCAGAAATAAACCTTTTAAGCACTCATTGTTACTGAATTAAAATAACAAAGGATGCCCTCTAAGATTGCCGCTATACGCATAAAGTCTACCCATGAGGTCTAAGAAATACGAAGGCTGCTCCAGTTTAAGGAATAAGTCAATCTGGCATGAAATGTCATCATGGCCTACGTCAAAGTGAAAATGCACAAAACGCTGCTCCGTCCCATAAATTCAAAACTTTTATATTTCGATTCATTGACATTCAACGGTTGTATTCAAAAATGCTATCAAAAGCTTGGAAAACACAACGACTATCCTCTATCAATAGAATTTCTGTAGAAATATAACTATGCAGTTTTTCTAGTATATATTTTCCTGGTCAGTCTTGCAATTGACTTTGTATTTCGTTAATCTTTCAGAAATTTGAGATAATTAACACACTGTTATAATGCAACTCAAAATAATTATAATATACACGACTACATGTAATTGTCGCACAGATTGTTCATATTATTCAGGGAATTATTGTAATTAAGGGAATTATTGTTGTTAATGTATTTTTACTCTGTTGGACGGTTTTAAATCAAATTTGGTATACTACTTTTAATTGGATAGCTGTATTTTTGGGAGACAGGTGTTTTTACCAATTAATCTGAATAAATAAAGTATTATTCCATCATGTATGCTCATTGTCTCTGTCCCTTTGCCAGATTCACGCTATTGTGTCGCATTCAGTGCACATCACTGGAGTTCGTTTCATTCCCTTTAACGCGTTTCTATCATTCCGTTCCCCCTGTGAGCGTCCTTCGTTTGTCTTCTAAGGCCAAAAAAAAAGTCTCCTCTTTCTGGTATGGAGCTGGCCCAAAAAGTGGGCGGCGACGCGGCTTTTTTTTTCTTTTTTTTACCTGATTTTTTTTATTCAAATGTCGGCTGATGACTGCAAATGGTGCCCGACTAAACTTAGTGCAAATATATGGGAGTCCAGAGAGGCCACATAAAGCTTATTCTCGATCCTAACCCATCTAAAAACACGTTAAAATTGTGCAGCAGCATGATTCCAGTCAAACCAGTGAGTTTGGCGGTTTTGAGACATCATCTTTCATTGAAAAAAAAACTTTTTCATTTTGCCGACGCGCATGGCTACGGCGACGCGCGCGCATACCAGAAACCGGAGACTTTTTGTTTTGGCCTTAGGATGCAGCCTCATACAAGCAACCTGTCGGCTGGCTCCTTTTTTTTTTCCTGAAAAAAAAAGGAGGAAGCGGGGCTTTTTATTTTTTGTCATGTTTTATTTTCAATGAAATAATTTTTAAAAATGAATAACATAATATAATACATTTGCGGGGTGAATATACAAGAGAGGTCACCCACTGAAAAAAGGCGCTCTCTCTTGCCCACATTATTTCAAACAAGGCGTATATGGACCTTATAGGTAGCAGTCATCAAGGCAATACATTTGTCTTGCTGTGACATACGAGAAATAAACCTTTTAAGCACTCATTGTTACTGAATTAAAATAACGAAGGATGCCCTATAAGATGGCCGCTATACGCATAAAGTCTACCCATGAGGTCTAAGAAATACGAAGGCTGCTCCAGTTTAAGGAATAAGTCAATCTGGCATGAAATGTCATCATGGCCTACGTCAAAGTGAAAATGCACAAAACGCTGCTCCGTCCCATAAATTCAAAACTTTTATTTTTCGATTCAGTGACATTCAACGGTTGTATTCAAAAATGCTATCAAAAGCTTGGAAAACACAACGACTATCCTCTATCAATAGAATTTCTGTAGAAATATAACTATGCAGATTTTCTAGTATATATTTTCTTGGTCAGTCTTGCAATTGACTTTGTATTTCGTTAATCTTTCAGAAATTTGAGATAATTAACACACTGTTATAATGCAACTCAAAATAATTATAATATACACGACTACATGTAATTGTCCCACAGATTGTTCGTATTATTCAGGGAATTATTGTAATTAAGGGAATTATTGTTGTTAATGTATTTTTACTCTGTTGGACGGTTTTTAATCAAATTTGGTATACTACTTTTAATTGGATAGTTGTATTTTTGGGAGACAGGTGTTTTTACCAATTTAATCTGAATAAATAAAGTATTATTCCATCATGTATGCTCATTGTCTCTGTCCCTTTGCCAGATTCACGCTATTGTGTCGCATTCAGTGCACATCACTGGAGTTCGTTTCATTCCCTTTAACGCGTTTCTATCATTCCGTTCCCCCTGTGAGCGTCCTTCGTTTGTCTTCTATGGCCAAAAAAAGTCTCCGTTTCTGGTATGGAGCTTGCCCAAAAAGTGGTGCGGCGACGCGGCTTTTTTTCTTTTTTTTTACCTGATTTTTTTGCTTCAAAATGGCTGATGACTGCCAATGGTGCCCGACTAAACTTAGTGCAAATATATGGGAGTCCAGAGAGGCCACATAAAGCTTATTCTCGACCATAACCATGGGCGTTGCGAGGGGGGGGGGGGGGCAAGGGGGGGGGGGCACTTGCCCCCCCCCCCCCTGGAAAAGCCAAAAAAAAAAAAGAGGCGCGAAGACAAAGTGGTGTAAATTTAATGAGTTGGGGGGGGGGCAAATGTCCCTGCCCCCCTCTAAAACTGATAATTCGAGAATGTGAAAAAAAAATTTTGCCCCCCTCTAGAAAAAATCCTGGCGACGCCCATGACCATAACCCAATCTAAAAACACGTTAAAATTGTGCAGCAGCATGATTCCAGTCAAACCAGTGAGTTGGCGGTTTTGAGACATCATCTTTCATTGAAAAAAAAACTTTTCATTTTGCCGACGCGCATGGCTACGGCGACGCGCGCGCATGTACCAGAAACCGGAGACTTTTCTTTTTTGGCCTAAAGGCGTTGTATGTTGTCCGAGCTAGCGGTGGCAAGTAAAATGAAAAAAAAAAATCGTTGAGGGGAATCAAACCCACGACTTTCCCTCTTCCCCGTGCAGATGCCTTGAAAGGGCGGGGCATACTTTGCCTTCCGTTTATTGATATTATTACCACATTTTCTTTAATTCGTGCCGAGCTCTTCTTATGAGTTTGTAGACAAAGGTGTTACAGACATTTTTTGACACCAATTTCACATAAAAAAAATTCGGACGTAGCGTTCCCGTAAATGTTAATTTTTTTTCGACGCTGTATGGGTATCGAAAACACTCATTATACGAAATGCTTTTTTTTCCTCAATTGAGCTGAAACTTTGCATTTTATGTACTATTTAGATTAATTGTACTTCTAGTATCACAAGGGAGCGAACTTATCCACCCTGATTGTCGTAAGGTAGCCCATAACCAGCTCTCTTAGAGTAATAACCCAGCAGGATCGACTGGCTGAATCTTGATAGCCGGTACCACAAATAATGCCTTATAATGGGTAAAGTCTATAAGAAAGACAATGTAAGAAGCACCAAATCCATCTTCCAGTGCTTCCATAATTACACAAACGTTCTGATAAAGAACTACAAACGTCCGAAACTGAATGTGACCTAGGGAATGCACGTGTGCATGGTTCTCTTAAAGATGCATTTCCCGTTCTGTGTCTCGAGAGTTTCACTGCCAAAAAATAGATTTGTTTGTTTCAATTGCTATTTTCCAAGCAATATAAAAGTTGGTCACTATATTGAAGGAGACATCGACCGACAAACCCACCGACGAATTAGTTATTGAATTATTTCTTCACAAAATTCCAATTATTTTCGGCCCGACAATATTATTCAGTTCTCTTCCGTGCATGGCGGGTCCATTGTTCGCAGCACGCGTACGAAAGCTCTTTTTTTCAAAGGGTTGTAGACGCGTATATGGAGACAAACTAGTTTTATCGCTAAAATAAAACATAGGCCTACAGATTGAAAAATTACTAGGATAAAAAAAATCTTGATCTTATTGAATGTGTGTTAATCTTCCTAATGTTATTGCTTTACCTTCCGTGGCTACATCTTCGATGTCTTTACCCGTCGTTTCCGACATGTATCCCAGCACAGCAAACACAGCGAAGCCAGCGAAGAAACTCGTCACGCTGTTGACTGCGCTGGTGAATAGGACGTCTCTGATTGGCGGAGAGGACAGACAGAAAGAAAAAAGAGAGTTTCTGTATGAATATTTTAATAAATTGTATTTTTCCAGTTAATTTTCGGTGACCGAGTGCTATAATGTACGAAAATGTATTAGGAAGTCTTGTAATGACAAGATTTGTGATATCTGATTGTTTTACTTTTCTTTATTGATACAAAGTGAAGTTTTTAGACTTTAGAGGGATAGGATACTTTGCTTTTGTGCATTTTTTGTTTGAATCAACATAATCGCTCAAAATCTGAAGTAGAGTGCATAACTACTAATCTATGGATGTTTTAGCTTAGAGAAAACAGACAAAAAACATATGCACACGTTTTGGGGTCTCATAATTGGATTCCGTTGCTAATGTACGTAAAAAAGTGTGCCGGCAGACACACTTTTTAAAGCACCTTTATTGATATAGTTTCTCTCCAAACGATACGATTTCGGACGAAATATTTTCACATGGGGTTGCCATCCGTATATCTTCACTTCGAGCAAGGATTTTCTCGTCATCTTATCGGTAGGTCCGGTACATACCAATGTTCCTATTTCTGCCTTTAAATTAAAAACGAAATTACTTAAAAAACCTTACTTGTAAATGTTATTGTGGAATTTGTTATAGCTAGCGTAAGCCAAGTGAACGCCGAAGCCAGCCCCGATGGAGTAGAATATCTGGACCGCGGCGTCGATCCAGACTTGGGCGGCGAGGAGGCGAGTAAAGTCCGGCGTGAGGTAGTACAGGATTCCCTTGCCGGAGCCCGGCAGCGTACAGCCGTGGATGAGCAGAATGATCAGGACGATGTAGGGTAAAGTTGCCGTCACCCACACCGCCTAGAAAGATGAGCATTTATGGACGTTCACTTTATACACATCTCCAATTTGACTGTATATATAATTCACGATAATGAGATCGATATAACGAGACAGGGATTGTTTGGTATAGTTTTTTTTCTTGTGTAATAATCAGGGGCGTAAATCCGGGGGGGGGGTGTTAATACATCCCCATCACTTTTTGACCGGGGGTTGGCTATTGGATCATCCTCCCCCCCCCCCCACTTTTTCGTGATGAGAAACCCCCGAAAACCCGATTTTGAGGTGTTTCTTCGAACTTCCCAACTACCTAAATGTGTCGCAAGCGCAATTTGGTGAAGAGCCGCCCCCAACGCCCCCGCTTTTCGAAATTCCCCGGCAATTTTGGTTTGTAGTCATCCCCCCCCCCCCCCCCCCCCCCCCCCCCCCCCCCCACTCACACACACACACACACACACCCCAGACAAACTCGCCGGCACAGATTTACGCCACTGGTGTTGATAATGCACCTGAGAAGGAGTTTATAATGGGTTACAGTTGTGATCTTTCATAGACATAAACTTTATACACACCTTCAACAATTCAACCTTCAACAACTGACTGTGTGACTTTGTTGAATTATATTTTTGAAATATAATCGCGATGTTTTATGTATAAAACGCAGACAGAAGTAGCTCGACACAGTGTTTGATTATACTTGGGAAGTATGGAAGACCAAATTATTATGTAGGTTTAAGTTACCATAAGAATTATACTTAGGAAGATAACTTTCATAAATACACTCATTTTAATGACCGTCAGACCTTGATCTGTAACCACGGAACATGTATTTTAAGTAGGCCTATACCAATTAAACGCAGACGGAAAGATTTTGGAACAGTATTTGTGTTGTAAAATGATTATAATATAGGCTACTAGAGAAAAAAATATACGATAAAAGTTGCCGTCACAAATAAAGCCTATAAAGATGTTAATGGACTTTACACACACCTTGATTTGTAATCGTTGTATTTTATGTAACCGACAATTTACCGCAGACAGAAATATCTTGGCACAATATTTGTTTGTATAATGATTAAAGGCTTTACTGGGGGGAAAAAACACACAATTATTGTAGGATACAAAGTTTCGTTCACTAATCAAGTCAGAATGATGTGCATAAACTTCAACTTGAATGCGATACATTGAAATGGCACTTCGCGATAATCGGTGACCGATATCACGTCGACAAAATTGGACTTTGAATTTGTGTGCATAATAATGTACTTGAGAGCTTTATTGTACAATGGGTAAAGTTGTCGTCACCAATAAAGCCTAAAAGGATGAGCATTTATATATTAATAGATATCAACTTTATACACACCCTCAACTTGATTGTATGCCGTTCAAATGTAGTCGCGGGACTTTATGTAACCGATAAATCTCAGACATGAAGATGTTGGCACAGTATTTTGTTTGTATTATAATCTACTTGAGAAACACTGTGTTGATTTGTTGAAGGATAAAAGATCTTAATCTTTAAGCTCTCCACTTCTCTGTCCGGGAAGCAATATGGAAGTGGCATAACCCCCTATGATAACTTGCAAAGAACTGAAACAAAGAAGAAAAGCTTACCTTTCCTGAGGATTTGACTCCTTTCCACAAGGAGAAAAACAAGATGACCATGACGGCGAGCAAGCACAGAACTAGTTCCCACTTGAGGCCCACTAAATCGTGCAAGCCGTCACTCAGATGCATCTCAAGAACTTTGCGTCTGAAGAATCGAGCAAATAAAACAAAACACCTTCTTCAGTCTCTTTAATCATTTAAATTAAGATTAGAATTGTCCATTGGTGTTAAAACTGCTTGAAGATTGAACAGAGACGAAAGCAATAGAAATCTTGAATAACCTTTGTGCCAGTTGTTTGTCGAAAACAATCAACGGGCGAAACTTGGGTCAAATTTGCCGGGGGGGGGGGGGACTTTGGTGCCTTATTTTGGAGCTAGGGAGGTATACTAAATGGGTTTCAAAATGATAACAAGCTTATTTTTGTCTTCCCCTAAACTCTTAACAGAGACGGGGCGGGCGCAAGGGGGATGGGAGGGGGCACACGACCCGTTGAGCGGGGCACTGTATCCTTCGTGCTCAGCCCCCTCTCCTCATGCCACTACTTAACAGTGTTGTTTCAAGCGCTTTAGGTAAATGATTAGAACCCAGTTAGCGTCAGCATTTTTAACGAAAAGGGGAAAATAACGGCGAATTTTGATGCAAGTCAAATAGCTATTATATTTTGGTGCAACGGACTCAATAGTCAGAAGTCACGAAAAAGGTTGTTTCACCGCCAAGTGGGCTGAGAAAAACAAATTAGGATCATGCATGGAAAGGAAAGGTGTTGTTTATATGCTGCGTTCGGTTTGTATGAATATGGAAACGGGAAAAGTGTTCGGGTTTTCGAAACCAAAGGCCTTTGTTACAATGAACACGGGCGGATCAGGAAATCAGACGGGCGGCGGGCGCAGAAGCAATTCACTGATCGCCGGAACGCGCAAGATATTTCGAACAGGGAACGGCGGAGGTATGGAGGGGCGTGTTAAGGTGAGGCTATGGGGCCAAGGAGTGTAGGATTGTGGGAACTAATATGGCTAAAGCAGGAGGGGCTACAGCCACCTCAATTCCTCCCCTCACCACCCCCCCCCCCACCCCCGCAACCCTTCCTCCCGGATCGGCCAGTGTTGTGAACCCAAACCGATTAAAGAGTGATGAGTCCTTACTCGTAATATTCCTTGGCGGGGGAGTTGCCCGTGCTGGAGTTAACGAAGAACGCCTCATCACCGATCCTAACCCAAGACTCGTTAAACGATCCATCGTAACAGAGGGGCGTGTTCCATTCGTTGCTGCAGTCGGACCAGGGTAATACGGACGTGAAAGAAGCGACGAGGTAGTAGATCGACCAGGCTATGATGACGTTGTAGTAGAATGCGACATACCAGGCTATGAGAACCACGGCCCAACCTAGACCTGAAATGCCAAAGTGTTAACGTTCAATTAATACAAGAGGAAACATGGGCGTCGCCAGGATTTTTTCTAGAGGGGGAAAAGCACCCCCCCCCCCCTGTCCCCCCGAAATCCCTGTACTTTTTTCGAGGGTGGGCAGAGACATCTGCCCCCCCCCCTCCCCAACCCATTAAATTAACAGCAAAATGACTTCGCGCCTTTTTTCTTTTTTCCTTCCCCCCCCCCCCCTTTTGTGCTTTTCCAGAGGGGGGCGCCCCCCCCCCCCTCGCGACGCCCATGAGAGGGAAAGCTAAGTTATACCTTTATAACAAACGTGTAACGTTTATGTTCATTGTGTGAAAGCGCGCTCCTTGTCCGGAAAAGCATGGGAAATTTTAAAAAGTTTAAAGAAGTGCACTCTTCAATAACATTAACCAAAAAGGGATATCAAGTTGTTTTCATACTCTTTTAAGAGGAGTAGAATGTTGCACAAAACAATGTTCTCAGTAAAATTTATGCCGTGGGCCCTTTAAGCTCGAGTACAATACCTATTGGGCGCAATACCTTGGAAGAGTGGACATATACTCCAGACGCTGATTGCCCCTTGACGAAAGTACTGACCCAAAGCCAGCTCCATGTAGAGCATGGGAAGACCGCCAAAGATTAAGAAGATCGCGTACGGAATCAAGAAAGCACCTTTAAAAAAAGGACAGTTATTATATTAGCTTAGAACTAATAAATGATTCACATGAAGTACGAGCAGACATGAAGCAAGTTCGGTACTCTGCTCCTATAACTCAAATTTAATCACGGTCTCTAATGGATCGCCGTCGGACAACAAAAGTATCGCTGCCGATGACAAAATAATTATACGGATATTCTCGACTTTTTGACACGCAAACTACACGTGAAAATTTGCCAACTCTGTATTGGGAAGAATTTGTCCAAGAGAGTAGGCAGTTGGTATGTTGATCAACATTGGGCGGAATACCAACCCATTTGCCCAACTTATTTTTAGTGTTCCGAAATATTGTTGACATTAGTTATCCTGTTTTAATTGCAAAATTGTTAGTTATAAAATAAACTCAAACTTTCAAACGCACCGAAAAAATAAGAAAGACTGCACAGTTGGGTATGTTTATAATGCCTAATAACGTCAATTGATAGTTAAGTGACCAACTTTTGAGAGGAATCTGCCCAAGACTGTAGGCAGTGGGTATATGTTGACGAACACACAGCAAAATACTAGTTATTTGCCCAACTTTTATTTCGGTGCACAATAAAGCGGGCCTAGCTTCCGTTTGAATTGGGGATTATCGTGTAAAACAACCGGCTCACGTTCGGACACTCGAAATGTTTCTGACAAGACCTTTGTTTGCAAGACCTTGGGATCGAAAGAATCGAACAATATGGGAAACAGATTACGGGGATGAAGAGGAAAAAAAAGTACAAAATGTTCGCACGGCCGCTCTGTTGCGTGTGAGAGCACTCGAGCATACCAGCTGTGACGTCAATCGCATACATTATAACGGTTCGCCCAAAATAACCCTTTCAAGACATTCGCTCCGAAAATAGTGGGAACAGTGATGCATTTTATACATCCTAGTTGAAGTAGAAACGGGAACACAAGTGATTACCGTGTGGGGGAGTAATTGTCGATGGGCGAAATCGTGATCCGTTTACCCTAAAAGGGCCGGGCTATTTTGATCATCTCTCAGCTGGGGGGGGGAGGGATTCCACCCCCCCCCCCCCCCAAAAAAGATCTCAGCCATTGAGTGACGAACAAATTTCAAACTCGGTACATGCATAAAACAACTATTCATAAACATACCCAAGAGATTTCATGACCATAGGTTAAAGGGTTTTGGAATTATGGCTAATTATTTATTCATGTGCATAAATGGTAATTTTGCTCCGTGAACACTCCCGCATATGGGGAAATTCAGTTTTCACGGCGCGTAGCGCCGGAAAATTTTATGTTTTTGGTATCAAACGATGCGCAAGGCTCGAGGCTAAAAAGTCAGAACAGCTCGGGTCGCGAAAAACATTTTTTTTTAAAGCTATCGCGGAAAAAGTGGAGGGGGTGGCCGGGTTCCCCCGGCCCCTTTAGGATTAAGGCGTGATTTTGAAGCACGCACAAATAAAACTTTGTGTCAGACTTTTAAAGCCATTGCATCCCCCACGCAAGGGCGGATCCAGAACACAATTTTTTGGGGGGGGAATTTTTTGGTCCCCCCAAAAAGTGGGTCAAAAAAATTACGGCGTGGGATTCGGGGCCCGCTTAAGGGCCCCGAAAAAAAATTGGATTCTAGATGCTCTGTGGTGCGATCTGAGGCAATTTCTGACCACTTTAACCAATGTTTTTTTGAGGAAAAGATGGTGGTGTACTCATTGCCTGCCTTTATTGCGATGTCACATAAAAAAAAAATTGATTTCGTTTTTTGGGGGGGGGGGGGGCCATGGCCCCCTTCGCCCCCCCCCCCCCCCCCCCCCTGTATCCGCCCTTGCCCCCACGGAGCAAATTTCGTGTAAGCAATCCTCATGGTGTATGCATAGGCCTACCTATAGCAAAGTGTCCCGCCCACCCCAACTTCCCACTAATGATAATAATAAACATGCCCATTCCTTGACCTAGGACTAAGGAGGGAGGGGTGTTCATCAACCTTCGAGTTGGAACTTTTCATCTCAATTAAATTACACAACACATATCATATAATTTATCGTGGTTAAAGACGTAATTATAATAGGATCATTTGCTTTTCATGCATTCTGATCGTTTTCAATAATAACACCACTCAAAATCCAAAAAAGAATGTTCCAAACCTAACCTGTTGAAATTTCAGCTCAGTGGATATTGCACTTTACGAGGAAACAGTGAAAATCCGTGCACAAGCTTTTGATCACGAAACACGAATTCGTCTATATAGCAATCTTTCTTTCCAAAACTCAGTCAATTGACAGATCGTTGGAAATCACATTTCTTGATTTCTTCTACATGAGACCAAGGTAGAGGGAATAATGTCACGGGGTGTTTATGCAATAGCAAGATCTTTATTTCAAGCAAGCTTTTTGATATGATTCGGAATGTTACTTTTGAGATGAATGCAAATGATTCTGTGCCTTTAAAGCGAGTTGTATTGTTTATCCTATACCGAAAGATATTATTGGGTACACAAAGGCCGTATACATCGTACTCCTTTTGGTCATCATGAAGCGACGCGACATGCACTGAGTTGAAAGTGCATGGAACTCATCCGCGAACGATTGGGATGGGGTTGGGGTGGGGGTGAGGGTCCGTCCGGAGCACCCCCTCCCCTTGCAGAGGGACAGACCAATGGTCAGAGACCCCGAATATAGTTCATATTCTCGAGGTAACGAGGACTCTATACTGAAACTCAAAACTCCCACGATTGGCGTGGTGTTTACGTTTTGCGTAACACTCTTATACGATTTTTTTCTCAAACAAACCTTGAAAAAAAAATTATGTCCCATTGTGACGTAGATTTATTACAAGACCTTGGGAAAGCCTTCACCTCGTGCGCGATTATGATGACCGAAGAAATATTAAAGTGCAAGGGCATTCAACTTTCGTTAGTTTTTTTTCTCAGTCAAAATTGCATGTTATTACAATACATAATTTAAGAAGAAACTTTAAAGGGAAATGGTATAACTATTTCGAGTGGGGCGTGACTTATTGAACAGGGTTCGTCACTTATGATCAGAGTGTCGGAAGTTTGAATCCAGCTGCTGGTCATTATGTGGTGTCCTTGGGCAAGCTATTTCACCCACTTGCCTCTCTCCACCCAGGAGTATATATGGGTATCGGCATCAGCTGGGGGGGGGGGGAGGGGGGACCTGAGACGGACTGGCATGCCATCCGGGGGGGGTAGAACATTTTCTCAGTGGTTTTATTCCAATGAAACAGGAGATTATAACTATTTTGAATAAGGTAAAGAACGAACAATTTCAAAACGTTTTAGCAGCACTCCGAACAGTTAGACTAAATTCAACATTTTTAAAGCCTAGCATCAGCCGTTCCCGTGACATCGCAAGACCTTTGACTGTCTACGAACAATTGAATGCTTTTATTAATGTTAAATGGCGTTGCATTATTCTAAATGTGTGGTGCATATTTGTCCAGGATGATGAAATTATAATGATGGTAATGGCAAATTCACTAAAGTCACACACAATAAGCGCCGATGGGTGAACTGAACAAAAACTCGACTGTAGTACCGGTCTGTCACAGCTGTGGTTAATTTCTTTTACAAGCTTCACAGTATACACCTATGGTATTCCGGTAAAATTGTTAATACAAAATGTATGTTATCTATAGTGTGTTTATAGGCCTTATACAAATTGATAAACAAACAAAAAACAACAAAATCACACACGGCAGCACAACGTGTACGGACTCCAGGCCTAATTCGTTGCGGCACGCGACGATACTGCATTTTTCTATAATGGACGTTTTAGACCTTTAGACTTATTTACTCAGGTGAGACAAAATCATGGAAATATTTACTTTTACCGGTTGCTAAAATTATGGCGGTGTCGTAATCTCGACCTACCTCCACCGTTACGGTAAGCCAGATAAGGGAAGCGCCACACGTTGGCCAAGTCCACAGCGAAGCCGATGATGGAGAGTAAGAAGTCGATCTTCCCGCCCCAGTTCTCGCGGCCGTCCGCCCGTCCGCCGTCGTCCACCACGGCCAACTCGTGGTCCGGCAGCTCCAGGACAATGTCATGCTGGCGAGCCTTTACCTTCATCTCCATCGCGGTGGTGGTCGGGCCGTCTGATGCGGGCGAGCTGCCCGGGTGATGCTCGGTGCTCAAGCTCGCGGCCTCCGGTGCTCTCCTTGACTCCAACTGATCATTGATGATGCACGCATCGTCCTCCGCTCCTAAGTTCACAAGTCCCTTGCCATCAGCAGCAGCCCCGCGTAAACTTCCGTGGGAGTTGTTGTACGCATGCCTCGCTGGTACTGGTCTATCACTGGCTCCCGGTTCAACCAACCGGCCGTCTGCTGTATCTTTATCGGTAGTCACATCACTGCGGTCCAAAGTTTGACCCTTCGGTCTCGAGGAGTTGTTGGCGCTCATTTTTAGTCAGACATCATGGCATGTCAATGGTCCGACTGCATTGAGTAAACAGACAATATAAAGACGTAATGCTGGACTAACCATGTTGATCACAAGGGCAAACACTTTTGTTGCATATTAGTATCCTCTTGATCATGTTTCATCTCCGTAACTATACTGTGAAACACGTCACGCACGAAAATAATTATGTTAGTAAAAGAATGTTAATTTGATTGCCTATTTCCAACTACAAGAATACTGCCCTTTTAAAATTCACATAACTTAAATACTTTAACTTCCCAATTATCGACTAATTAAAAGACAATCAGGTTGCTATGGCAACTTAGACAAGGACATCACATCACTTCCCCAACTAATTCCGTAAAAACATCACGAAAATACTTTGGCGCGTCTGTTCCTTTTCGTTATATTTTGATTGAGTTCCTGGTTTATTTCTTCTGGTCCGTGCTCTCATTTGTATGGTTTGCAAGTAGTCGCACGATCTTTGACATTGAGCGAAATGACTTTTTCTTCCGGGTCTGTCCCCTGAACTTGGCGCACCCAAGAGGAGGGGCCCTCGGGGGAATGGTGGGGTGTCTGCCCCATCGCCCACCGACCCCCAAAACGCGGTTGTACATATAAATTACCACGAACAGCGCCCCAAGCGTCTGATGTAAGTCCCCCCCCCCCCCCCCGCCCAAAGCATTTCGAATTTGCCTTTTTACTTGTTCTTCATAACAGGAATTGGTTTATGGTTTATGGTTTATTTTTTTCTAATCATATCACAAAACAATAATTAACGAGAATCTATATAAAGAATGACAGAAATGATACGAGGGATCCCGTAATTACAATCTATTAATTATAATGATACGAGAAAGGAAGGAAGAGGGAAAGGAGCAAAAAGTGGCCAAGGAATTATAAAACAATGATACCTTTTCAACAATCCGAGAAATGACATGAAATTGAGTATTTATTTTGATATCAGTATATCTATCAGTTTATTATCAGTATAACTTGTCAACAACAACTTTTTGATATAGTTGTTGAAGTGTTACATTGATTTACTAAAGATAGGCAGTGGTTTGGGGTGGTTCCACATGGTTTCTGACAGTCGATAAGTAGAGATGTTCTAGCTTTATGGAGGTGAAGGTTTGAGGCTGACCATGAGAATGAATATCCGAGGTTTTTTTCATGTATAGTTTGGGTAGATTGTTTTTTTTCTTCAAATTTATACAATTTATAATAATTGAGCGGAGGTGTTAGCAAACAATGATTATAGCGCAGTATTTATTTTGGAGGGGGGATGGAGGGGGTACTTATCGATGTATATCCGCGACTGTTGTGATTGTTGGGGGCGTTCCTCCCCACGCCCACACTGAGTGACCCACTTCCCTCAACTTCTTGTTCGAGTTTTACCGATTTTTTTTTCAAGGAGTTGACCTTTTCTTAGGGACACTGGCCTGTGCGAAATTCATCCCTGCGCTGTTTGGACAATGGTTGATTGCAGGCGCGTTTTGTGAAGTTTAAAATATCAACTTGCACTTTATGGTTGTTTGTATTTCTCGGACTCGGCGAGTATTGTGAACATGGGCGTCGCGAGGCAAGGGGAGGGGCGCTTGCCCTTTTCGGGGGGGGGGGGGTGGGGGTGGAGAGGGGGAAAAAGTGAAAAGAGGTGCGAAGCCATATTGCTGTTAATTTGATGGGGGTAGGGCAAACGGTCCCCTGCCCACGCTCGGAATAAGATAAATTGAGAAGAATAAGTTGAAAAAGTTAAGACATTTTTGGGGAAAATGTGCTTTGCACCCCCCCCCCCCGAAAAAAATCCTGCCGACGCCCATGATTGTAAACTTTTATAACGTGAAAGGCTCTCAATGTAATGAGTATGGATGCATATGTCCTATAGTAATATGTATGGTGAGAAAAGGATTAGAATTGCTCACGGAACTTTAAATTTTTACTTGTAGGAAAATAATATACTGAATAGTAAATGAAAATGATACACACAGGGACTTCAAAAATAAAAACTCCGAACATAGCAGGAAAGAAAATGTTAGGATTAGAAGGGCTTTTTTCAGAATTTATATGGACCTTACCCTATTCCCAACCTCTGTATAATCACCATTTATAATGGGTAACGCTAACAAATCGCATGTTTTATTATCAGAAGGAAAACAACAATCATGAATGGGGCCTTATTGTTTAAAAGGCTGCCCCAAATTTGCCAGGCCGGGATGGTATTATTCAGAGATGGTATACCGATTGAGAGAGCACCGTTTGAACCCCCAACCCCCATGGACAAGATGGGGTTACGGTACCTATATTCCTCAACACACAACTTTTCCTCCAAATGCGAACAAGCATCATATGAAACCCTATGGCCTATATGGCGGCAGAAATTTAAACCCCGTGGCACAACAAACAATTAATCCCTTCGCCCGACCAACTTTCACCTTTCCTTTATACACAAACTGCCAAAAATGTCAATGCCAAGTTCTTTTGTCCGATTTGCGAACGAGAAACAGCATGCAATGTGTACTTCAGTCCACTTTGATCGCGGGCTCTAACGTTGCAGGTTTTGTTTGGTTGAATGTTGGGGCACCGTGATGTTTTCAATGGTCTTTCAAATTCTATATACACGGGGTTTTTTTTCACTATTCGGTGTATAACCGGCTGCGGGGAAGGGGGTTTGCATTTCGGCATATGGGCACACCTCCTTTTGAAAAGTGTAATAATGTATTTGCCAACCCCATAACTTTTGGACCACCACTTGACAAAGATTAGTCATTTTAGTCAAATTTGCAGACTTTCATAACAGCATCCTCCGCACACTATAGCATTAAAGTAAAAATAACACAATACCGATGTTTCTCTGAAAGCCTGCGCCTGGGTAGAAAGCATCACTTGCAATTACAGACGCAGATAATCTCGGTAGTATAGCATGGAGGTATATAACCAATGACAAATATAATGAATATAGAGAGCTATAAAATTATGCATTGTGCATGACTGAATTTCATGTAGATTGCACTAAACCCATGATTGCCATGCGCCATGCAGGCATGCATAATCCTAAATCAACCGTGACAAGTTCATTTTTTCATTCATGGCAGTACCACAGTGCATGCCGGGTTCATGTTATTATAACTGATTTTGATGACTTATCGTACCGATGCAAATCCAGCATTTCATGAAGACATTCCTACCTGAAAAACGCTCCAGCTGGCCGGCAGTCCGCCTCTTATTAATTTGTAAGCTTTACTTGTGTCACATGGAAGACAATTTTCTGAGCCCATGCAAACCTCGAGGACAGCGAAAGACTTTGAAGTGGAGCTTGGAAAAGTTGCCCTGTCAGATTTAAGAAAGTTGGGTACTTCAACGGTCTGTATGCACACTGAATGGCGCCAGTCGAGTGACTATGCAAATAACAATGCAGTCCCTTTGTGCTTGCATTTCTGCTTTACACTTCCAGTTTTGTTGACTTACCGAGCCTACCATTTTCAAAGGGGAACCACTTCTGTTCAAGGCTTAATTCTGAAGAAAAAGTTAAACTATACGCATCGGCAAAAAAAGGATGTATACATGTATAGTACATGTAATACAATTATAGTAGGCTACAGGCTGCAAGGGTAAGTTAGTTTGGGCCTTTTAATTTTTGTAACCACACAAATGTTTTTAACATTAACATCAAGTTTGAAAAGTTTTGATTTTGGCGCCAAATCCCATTTATTTTGCTACAAAATTAAAACTATTTTTTAAACATCACTGAAAACTGTATGAAAAGTTTTTAATTTGTTTGGCAGATTAAAAAAGGCTTTTCTTTAAATTAAATTCAGAGCCCTTCCTTTTATTATTTTTTTTCCGAGCTTCACAATTACAATGTGCCAATTTCCTTCTGTTTAGTCGTGAAAATGATGTCTTTTGAGTCTTCTGTTTTGTTGCCGTTCTAATTCCTTAATTAAAAATATCTGGTTTGGGTGCTTTCCTCAGAACTGGTTTGAACTCGAGCTTGGTTTTGAAGGAACCCCCTAAAATAGATTGCGTTTGGATAGTTTGTAAGAAAATAGTGAATTGAGCCCCTCCCGTCGACTGAATGAACCCCTTCCACCCCCTGCGAAAACATGACTTCTCCGTTTTATGCAATATCTGATAACAAGGTTTGTACATAGTTACCGAAATAATCATGATCACTTGGCGACCGCTTTATCCATGTGTGCTTTGTTTTAAGTGTCATATAAAGTTGTGGTTTATTGCGGCACAGATAATCTATTTTTATGGTGTTCTTAATGGTGTTACAAATTTCTTTTCATATAGACGGCACCTGCAGCTGCTGATCGATGGCTAAGTGGCATAGCGCCCTCTCGTGAAAGACCACAGAGATCAGTTTACGACCCTCAAGACCCCCCCCCCCCCTGTACTTACTTCCGAAATATTTGGATCAATATTCAGTAGAAATCTTTGTTGAAGTATAGATCCAGGAAAACAATTGTTTACAAAAATATTTTAACTTAAACATTTGTTGATCCTTTTTATGTTTTTAATAATTATTATATAAGTGACTAAGAAATAAAGAAATGATTTTTAAATGCCAGTTTCGCCCATTCATTCAAGAAGTGAAGCGTGCGTTGGTGGTGTACATTACTATCGTCTTCAAGCTTACTAAACTATATGAGCAACGATGAAATCAGATATATTTTATGTTTAGTAATTCATCAAATGAATATAGTCATACGTCTTAATGAGATGAATAAATTGCTTGCATAATATTATTTATTGATATATTTTAACAGTGTCACCCATTCCGTAAGTTGACGAATCCAAACCCATGTGACTGCCTTCGCGGCAATGTTGTTTTCAGCCGTGTGTCAGCTGTTCACGTTCACTGCGTGCGGAGTCTAAACATTTTCGTTAAAAATTGTCTTGCATTTTATTTTCGTTAGTCGAAGCTGTTAATTTGATATGGCACAAGTAAAGGTGACGAGTTACTACACTCGTCGGAAACGAATTGACGATGCCCAGCCGACGAAAAGACGGAAACTGCAGCCGAGTGCATCGGGTCAGGAGACGGATTTGGGACCCGAGCAATCGGGCTTGAAGCTGAAAGCAGGCCTAGACGCCTTTACAAAGCAGTTACTTCCGCAAGTTGATCGAGCGGTGTTGCTCGAAGATACCATTTCCCAGTGTTCGAAAACCAGTGCCTCGACAACCCGACCCAAATCTGCCAAGAAATCTCGAGCAAGTGCCACGAGAACCGCTAAGAAAGCAACAAAAGGACCTTTGGATAAACACTTGGAGAAAGTAACTCAGTCTGAAAGTCCCAAACTAAAGTTAGGCCTGTCACTGGAGTTGAAAACAGACTTTGGTGATTCGGTTAAAATCCCAGAGTTTGTGACACACCGCTCGCCACCGTCAACACCGACAAAGCGTCCAAAGCAGACTGATGAAGCGCCGAGTCGAAAAAAGAGAAGTAGAATCGGAAGTGAAGATGTGGTTGTGGAAACTGACGGTTCCTCCTGTCAGATGACCAAGGAGGCTGAATCCTCTAGAGCATCCAGACGAAAAGTCCAGGCAGCTGGACGACAAGCATCGAAAAGGACAAATGGGGGAAGGTCGGCTAAGAAGAGTCTAGAGGCGTCATTGGGGGAGTTTGCTAATAGCAATGAATTGGACACGAGAGATCGCGTAAGATGAATTTTGTTCCAGTGACAAACACCTTTGAGATTTGCACCATTATGAAATTGGGATGAGCATTTTGAGGTGTAGAAATATTGTATCATTTGAACACTCTGCAAACATATTCTGGTTGGTAGAACAAAAATGTGTTTCTATTGTGAAAGTGTAAAAAAAATAGTCTTTCTTATTCCAGGCAAATACGAACATGTTTGTTGTAATACATGTTTAGGCTAGTATAATGCAAATATGTAATATTTCTGTAGATGTCAAATGTAGCACACATACTTGTCATAATTTGTTTGTAAATCTCCTTGTCAAAAACAGTTTCAAGGAAGTATACATTTTGGGAAAGATTTCCATATACGAAGTTCACTCAACACCCTGTGTACAAACCCTATGAGATTGGACTGAAAAATTCTAAGTGTTTTCTAAAAAAATGCTTGCATTTTCTCACTGCTCAAATTGACTTTGATGACATAAAATTGCTTTCTGGGGGCTTGTTAGTCAATACAGAGGAAAATTAGTGAACTTCGTGTATGGAAATCTTTCCAAATTTTGTTTTAATTTAATACTTCTTTTCCTGCTGGTTATTTTTTAGCCTAAGGCCTTCTAAATTTTCCTTAGAAACTTAAATTCTCCTGTTTATATGCATTATTTGCTGTTTTTCACTGTGTTGCTACAGCAAGCTGAGGTTTACATAATACACACTGATTTGGCTTTTTTCCTTTTCTCAGATTTTACCCAAAGTTGAAACGCCGCATCATTGTGTCAATGATGATTCACATGGAATCACTACCGATCGGCAAGAATCATCTCAACCGAGTACTCCTGTAAATCCTGAAAAATCAACAGCAGCATCAAGCTCAAGATCCTCAAGTGTAAGCCAGAAGATGCCAGACTCGAGCCAGTCATCCCGTGATAGTGGGAAGTTGCAGGCGTTCATGGAGAGGACAAGTCGATCTGTGGCCTCGGTGAACTCCAAGGGGTCAAAGGTCAAGGCTGGGTTTAGTGACCGAGTACAGGAAGCGGTCAGCAATGCTCAGAGCAGCCCATCAGAGAAAGTAGTAGACAGTGGTAGTGCAAGTGAAGAAAAGAAAAAGGTAGCAGATGTTGGAAAGAATTCAATACACGGCCTCCACTCAGACCTCCTGCACAAAGTCTATGGGCAGTGAGCATTACCTGGGGAGTAATCTGCGATGGACTAGCACCCCATCCAGCAAAAAAAAGAGAACATATTCTCAGTCATTTCATGCTACTGATACCAGAGATAAAGTAAACGCTGGCCTAATGAGCCACATTGGCTCACGGCAGACTTTACCGACTATACGTGTTTGTATTTTCATCTTTTATGCCTCTTTTCCAACCTTCTTCCACTATGGCCAAAAAAGTTTCCGGAAAGATTTCCATATACGAAGTTCACTAATTTTCCTCTGTATTGACAGAGTAACAAGCCCCCAGATAGCAATTTCATGTCATCAAAGTCAATTTGAGCAGTGAGAAAATACCAGCAGTTTCTTAGAAAACACTTAGAATTTTTCAGTCCAATCTCATAGGGTTTGTACACAGGTTGTTGAGTGAACTTCGTATATGGAAATCTTTCCTAATGCCATCTTGTGCACGATTTCTCTTCTAGACGAAGTTGACGCCGGCAGAGATGAAGGAACGTCTGTCCAAATCCTGCAAGCTGAGCGACCTGCAAGCCCGATTGGCCAGAGTCAGGCAGTGTGCAGACCAGGCCAAGAGCAGTCAAAAACCTGCAACGGCAGTCAACAGCGACATCGCTACTAGCACCAGAGAGCCCACAGCAAGTAAAATTAAGTCGTAAGTGTCTTTGAATTTCACTGATAATTATTCATCTGATATTGTTTTAATTATAAAGTTGAACAAAGTGTTCGATGAGAGCCAGTTCTGCTTGAGGTGAACCGGTTTTGATTTCAACACGGGTAGGTGAGACAATAGTGTAAAAACCACCTTATTTTGGGGTGAAATTCCTGAGCTTCTACACAAGAACAGCCAAAAATTATGTATTTCTCTTCATACAGGGAAGAGCCAGCAATGCCCGCCTACCAGAAGTACCATGCCCTGGTTAACTCCGCCCCTACCACCCTCAACCTGCCCTTCAAGTACAAACTTCTTGAGGAGATGTTTCGTAGTACAGACACTGTGGTCAGCATGCTGCACAACAGGTCCGAGACCTGCTCCTTCCCGAAGCTGAAACAAGCGGTGCAAGAAATGTGCCGCAGGTCAGTGGCAGATATACATATGATCTTCTTTACCCCTTGTCCCTCTTGGTTTTTTTTAAGACACCCTACAAAAACATACAAAAGCATACAAGTGTATTCCCGCATGCTCAGTAAATTTGGCTCATAGCTCAAGCAGATAAATGGGCAATAAACAAAGCAGATATATAAGGAAAAGTATATGGGGGCATGGTGAATCTTCAATCCAGAAGATGAAAGAATAGTCTGTACTTAGTTGTAGCCCCCCCCCCCCCCCCCCCCCCCCCCCCCCCCCCCCGAAAAAGGGGGGGAAAGTAACATGTTGTGCAGTCCATATTTTCCAGACTTTTTGCCCTTTAGTTCATGTTGTGGGTGAAATTAAAACTATTAGTTGGCAGCATTTTTATTAATAAATATGTCATTTCCTCTGCTACTCCACCCTCCAAAACACCTCAGCACGTCTTTGCCTTGGGAACATTTACAATATTGGCACAGAGGTCAGCAGCCACACACTCAAGGCATGCCAAGCTGAACCTCCGACAAGCAAATGAACAAGAGTGTCCTCTTGGATTGGATTTTTTGCTGATTTTTTGAGTTTGCTCTGTGAATAAACCTGAAAATGTATTTTTCAAATCTTAAACATCCAGCATCTAGTAATGGTCAAGGAGATTACAGACTAGTGAGTTTTGGATCATTTTTTTTTAAATCATTAATTAGATATCATGGTTTAAATGGCTCTGTCACGGACATTACACTTCCTTTCATCATCATCTTTCTCTACTGTGGAGAAACCTCATCTGGAGTATACTTGCCGGAATTAGAAAATCTGAACTGAAAAGTATGGGATAAAGATTATAGAATGCGGTGTAGCATCAAGTTTGATTTGTTTGTCTTAAACAGAACATTTGAGCAGCAGCATCTAGGCCAAATCAAGACAGTCTACCCGACAGCGTACTTCCTCAGGCAGCAGAAGGTCGGGAGGTCAGGGGTCAAGGAGAAGACAAACTATGAGTTGGTTCTGGAGGCCAATACTGGATCAGGGGTCGGAACGTCTGCTGGTATGAGATAATGACAAATTATTTACTTACATAGGATCCGTCACCACGAAATTTAGCATAAAGTTGAATATTGACATTTTGCAGTACAGTGCGGCAATGCCAGATTGAAGATGTGGTCCATTTTTTTATTGATTTTAATCAGGTGAACATCAATCGGTTTTTGTTCAACTTTACCAAATAGTTGTTTGTTTTGTCAGACATCTTTAAAACCTATTTTAATCCCGTGTTAATAGTTGACTGTTCATTTACTGCAATACAACAGTGAGATTTTTAAATGGCATTTTCTCAATACATTTGTAATTGCATTTACATGTACCACTTCAATTTAGTCGGTGGTTTACATTTCCGTTATTGAACTCAGTATGTTAGACACCATTAGAAAGGTCTTTTTCTGCAGAATCCAGAAAAAAAATTGCTCAATTCTTTAAAAGTCTGACTTTATGCTCATTTTGTGGTGAGAGGTCACATTATTTTGATTTTGATGAATTCAGGATGGCACAGTGCCGCCACTGTTACTTAAAGGTATGTAGGAACGTAAGACCTACCCATTTAATGAGAAAAACGTTACTCTAAGTAAACCTAGGGATAGTTGTTTCCTGTCTGAAATGGTATCATGAAGGAAGAAAATAACCATTGAAGGAGGTTTTAAAAATTGTGAAGATTACACATCACTGGGACCATGATGTCATACACTAACCGTCTGAATGAGAATCATGTCCCGAGTGCTGATTTTCATGTAGGAATTGTACACGAGAGGGTGTGATTCAAAATATGAAACACCATCTTTTGAGTATTAACCAAGTGTGTACGCTCGGCTACACAGTATGTAATTTTTTTTTCTATGACATGGCCCACACTCAGGCATGGCCTGTGACATATCATGCCTATGGGTTTTTATGCAAGACGAATTCAGCGAGCTGCACTTTGACGGTTGAAAACAGTTTTTTCCTCTCTTTTTTTGCACCAATGATCACAAAACATTGAACAAGGATGATATCTGTTCTAAATTACCTTTTAATCAAATTGTGACAAGTGCAGATTATGTCTATGACCTTTAACCTCTCAGGTCAAGAAAGCAGTGAGCCCACCAAGACCAAATCCCAGACCAACGCTGTGTCTAAGCTCATCAGCAAGTTCACTCCATCCATGCTGATCGCAAGACGCAGTATCTTTCATAACAACTTGGTGGATATCATCAAGGAACATCACAATGTAAGCAGGAAGTTCTAATTTTTTTAATTTTAAGTCCATGGGAGGCCGTATCACAAGTCTGACACCTCACAGGTCCGATGCCTCATAAGTCCGAAATTTCGGACTTGTGAGGCGTCGGACTTATGAGGCATAAATTCCGCCTCATAGGTCCGACGCCTCATAAGTCCGACTATGGACAAATGCTGTTTCGGACTTATGAGGCGTCGGAGCTATGAGGGGTCGGACTTATGCGGCGTCGGAACTATGAGGCGGAATAAATAAATTGTATGCCTCATAATTAGTCTGACGCCTCATAAGTCCAAAATTTCGGACTTATGAGGCGTCGGACCTATGAGGTGTCAGACTTATTAGCAGACCCCGTCCATGGATGCCGTGCACACTAAAACGAAACTAATGACCGGAAAAACGTACAATTTCAAATAGCCTGCACTGCAAATTTGTCGACCATCTCCCACAATACACTGGGAAAATGAACTCTCCGTGGCAAACTCTTGGTGGCACACTGCATTGTGAATCGCCCAAATTGAATAGAATTTTGTGCACTACTGTGCATCTAGCACTGGCATAAATGTGTGCTCATTAACCGGCAATTGACTGCTTCACTTGTGACGTTCTGAATCACATGCAGGAATTCCTGTCCAAGTTAGAGCGCCCTCTCTCGGTACCGAGTGACAAGCTGACCCGCTGGCATCCCAAGTTCCCCTTGGACCAGATCCCAGACGTTGAGCCCGCCGCCTTGCCCCAGCCCCCGACGGTGACCACCTACAACACGGCCAAGGATGTGCTGGACAAGGCTCGTGTCATGATGAACCCCAGAGTAAGTAATTTTTTTTGGGGGGGGGGGAGGGGAATAGTCCATGTACAGACTACAACTAATCTATGATATGTGAGCAGATTCACTGATTAATTAGGCAAGACAACCGCCTCTTGACCTCTAGATTTTGACCAATCAGCGGGCGCTTTCTAAATTGAGTCTTCGGTCATTCACCCATTGCGCGTCATAGACAATGGATAAAAAAAAACCTGTGTCACAAGCTCTGTATCATGTTACGCAATAATGCACCAGGCATTACAAAACAGTGCATTCAAACTGACCAATCAAACCATTTAGTCCTGATTTGGGAATGAAATGATTTAGTAAAGTCAACTCTGATTAATGAAAGGTTTGCGGAAACACCATGTGCGAATAATTTCTCAACTAAGAGAATGGTTCTGAAAAGAACCAGAGGTATAAACTCGACGTTCCGGTCAGTATGCTCTGACCGTCTGACTCTCCTGAAGACGTTTAGTTGAGAAATTATTCGCACATGGTGTTTCCGCAAACCTTTCATTATTTAGTATCTCCACCATGCAAAGCCTCAAATCTTACTCGACTCTGATTGGCTGCATGGCGCGCAGCTTGCATATATCTGCATGTCTAGACATATCAGACGTTATACAGGAGACTCTTGGCTCCGTCAACAGGTGATACTCGGACTAGGGGGAAAGTGGTCTCACTAGGATTTTTACTTGGGGTGGGAGAAATTGAAAATGGTGGCTGCAGACAAACTTGAGGTTGGAGGAGCTTTTCTTTAACCCTAACCGCCCCACTCCATCTAAATCCATCCCCGCATTTTGAAAGATTTTGGGGGACTTGGTCCTGCAGGCCTGGTTTGACTAAATATTGATGGAGTATGATGGACTTGGGCCTGCAGGCCTAGAGCAAAGCATGTGTTGGAAGCAGTGTGATTGATGGATTTTGGCGGACTTGGTCCAGTACTTACTGAAAGACAGTAGGGAGTTAGGGTTAAGGAGAAAGGAAATACAATGATTATTATTTCCATGTTGCAAATTTCCATGTTGCAAATAGTTTTCAATTTGAATTTTCTGCTGATCCTAGGTTGCCAAGGCGCTTGAGGTGGTTGCTAAGAACTCGGCGCTCTTGAAAGCAGAGAAGGGCAAACCGACTGCTGAGCAGGAGACTAGCATTGTCAAGCAGGAGCCCAAAGTTGTCAAGAATGTCAAATCAGTCAGTGGTGTCAACCAGTCCCTTCTGGACAGGGTATGTGTCATGCAATTCTTTTTCCCACGGCGGTGTTTCACACCCTTTCAGTGGAGAAAGCATTGTGCTAGCTGTTGTTCATCATAATCCGTCATGGGGCAATTGCTTTGAACAATAGCCGGCACAATGCTTTCATTTAGTGAAGTTGGTCTCCGTGAGTGTAAGCTCTTCTTTATTTTGTTTTCTATTGCCATGCAGTTGCATCACATTTGCTAATTTGTTTAAATTTTTTTTTATAGATTCGGGCCAAGGAAGCACAAAACGTGACCGCCATGATGACTCGTAGCCCAGCCGATCAAGAGAGAATCACCATGCTGGAACGTCTTCCGGAGCTCTGCCGCATTCTCAGAGTGTATCCCTTTTTTGTCATAAAAGCTCACAAGGTTGTGAGGGACTCGAATTTCACAGAAAATGTCAAAGGCTGGTTGCCCTACAGTTTCATAATATTGTAAGACAGGCACTCGATATTCGTATTAAAGACAAAATTTGACCATGTGTTTTTCTCCATTCCACAATACCTGAAATTTGTCACGCGAACCAGTTTGTACATGCGATGGGTCCCTCCTACTGGGGATCTCGAAAGTGGTCACAATGTGCCATCTACTGTTTGTCCATTATTGATCTGTGTTTCTCTAGACAATATAGGCTAGATCTATTTGCTTCCAACTGGAACAGTCCAGTGCCATCCTTAACTATTTTTCTGCTCAGATTTTTCATCGCTGAGAAGAAAGCAGCCATACCCATTGAGGCTGTCATTCAGAAATTGGCCGACAGTTATCCCTCCATACTCTCCAAAGGTAACAACCGTTGTACTTACATGTCTTGCTTTTACTTCCGTTAGAACAGGCATGCAACTTTTCCTCGGATCTGCTGATTTTCTCGTTGTTTACTTCTCATGAGTGTCATTACAACTTGAAAAATACTGTACAAAGTCTTGTGTGTTTTGGAATGTCCTCATTTTTTCTAAATTCCCAGTTGCATGCCTGTTAGAAGTCATCTCAGTGTCCAGTAAAGGTTTATCCACAATAGGCCCCTTGTTTCAGTAGTCTGAGGAGCAGACATTCACCTGTGTAGAGCCACGGTTATATCCTAGCATGTTAATTTTATGCAACCCTGCGCGCCAGCCAATCGGAGTCGACTTTAGGAACTGTAACGTCATTTCAATCAGAAATATGGACTAAGCTGTTGATTGGTTAATTTGGATGCCAGGTTTTTGTAATACAGCGCAACGCCGCTTTAACGAACATCGTGGGATCTACAGAAAATATTCGTAATAGTGATCATTCGGTATAGCGATTTTAAGCTGCCAGTGCTCCGATACTCACTTTTCAATAAATGGCGCCCTTCATAACTTCACCCTGCATGCCTATTGAATTCAGTAATTACACAGTTTTGAGCTTACTACCTACATCGATGGGTGGTTTTCCTCTTCTATGCCTTAGAAATAATAGCCACTTGTTGCTTTTCTGTTGACAGTTTTCAACAACAATGTTCGGTTGGTTTTGTACACAAAAATCGGCAGCCAAGGACGGTGTTCGGTATAGCCGAATGTTTGGTATAGCGGTGTTCAGTATAGTGACATTCCACTGTACAACAACGGGTTAAGGAATACCCAATAGAAGAATCTGGATGTCAAGATGCAGTCTAACTTTGTTAATAAATCGCCGAATCTGCATGAATATGCGGTTGTGTGCAAGCGGCTATTCCATAGACTATTGTATCGAGTGTTTGTTGCAGAATTCTGACAGCTTCACCTGAATCTTCCCGTTATGAAAATATCATTTGGCAAACCATGCTGATCACTTTATCACAGGAAGATTTCGAGTAATTTATTCAAAATCCTTTAAGTAATACTTGATACAATGGGCCAAATGCAGTTAAACCTTTCTCCAACTTATTCAGGATATTTTTTTGGCATGGCTGCATAGCTTTAATTGCCACAGTTTCTGTTTCTCTTCACTATTTCATAGGAATTATTTCTTATTTGTGGAAAGACCCATTTTCTGGCAAGGCACTGGACAGAATTGATTAAGTCAACCTTAAACTATTGAGAAATCAATAGTAAAAAACTTAGTAAAAAAAGGAGATTGACTGAATATTCTCAATTTAAATTGTGGGACCAGAACCGAAAGGGCAGTCCTGTCTTTCTGGTGTTTTATTTCTAGACAGTGATCACATTGGCAAAGCAAGATTTCAAATTTGGTTGCTCCAATATTGTTTCTCTTAATGATATCAAGGTTTGAACCTCTTGTTTCTCATCTTTTACAGCTCAAGTTGAGAAGCACGTTAGTCTGATGGTGGAGGTTCTGCCGCAGTGGCTGAGCAGGGTCGTAGTGCGGAAGGACCATTACCTGAAGATGAACCGCACCAAAGATATGAGTCTGATCAATGACAGGATCAACCAGCTGCTCAAGGAAAGCAAACAGGTCAAAGGTTAGAGTTCAAGAGGTCAATATCAAATGTCAAAAATGGTTCTAGATTGTTACCTGAAGGTGCACAGAACCAAAGATATGAGCCAGATCCATGACAGGGTCAACCAGCTGCTCATGGAAAGCAAACAGGTCAAAGGTTAGAGTTCAAGAGGTCAATATCAAATGTCAAAAATGGTTCTAGATTGTTACCTGAAGGTGCACAGAACCAAAGATATGAGCCAGATCAATGACAGGGTCAACCAGCTGCTCATGGAAAGCAAACAGGTCAAAGGTTTAGAGTTCAAGAGGTCAATTTCAAATGTCCAAAATGGTTCTAGATTGTTACCTGAAGGTGCACAGAACCAAAGATATGAGCCAGATCAATGCCAGGGTCAACCAGCTGCTCAAGGAAAGCAAACAGGTCAAAGGTTAGAGTTCATGGGTTAGACTTCAAGAGGTCAATATAGGTTATATTTTGGCAGAGACCATTCATTACCTGTATATGAACCTCCCAAAAAATTGAGCAATATCATACTCAAATAAATCCTCAGAAAAAGTGGCCAGGTTAAAAGTAAGAGTTCAAAGGTTATTTTGATTAAGTACCAACAAAATGCAGTTTTAGCCAAATTAGAGTGAATGGGTTCCCCAAGGACTGAAGGAAAGTGTTACGACCAAATATGAGGAAAGTTTTGTTTTTCTTTTGGATATAGCCTGTCCTTTGTGGTACGATAAATGAGATTGTGAGATTATCATAGCAATATCAGAAATGTGCTTCCATAAATTTAGAAATTGTACAGCTGTCACTCATTTTTCATAGCTCTAATTCTTATTCAGTTCTTCAAAACAACTGAAATTGCATTTCTTTTTATGACCTTGTTTTTTGCATTATTTTCTTATTATGTTTTACAAACTTGGGTCAAGTGATTATGAGTGTTGGGAGATGTCAGTGTTCCTTGTGCCATTTTAGATTGAACGGTTTTAGATATCAGTTCCAAACGATTTTATCATTGCATTTTTCTGGCTGTTTATTACTTTAGTCTGAATTATACACTGTTTTATACAGACCGTAATTTGTTGCCAAAATGCTCATTATTAACATGTGTGCTTGAAATCAACTCATCTAGAATTTTCTTTTATATTGAGCTGAGATTTTGTCACAGGCCTTATTTCGTAACTTTCCTGTGTTGGTTGTTTGTGACTAATGATTAACACAATAGTAATAACTACATGTACACATGTTAACATTGGACCCCTACTCATTTAATACAACTTTGTATGTGAAGATGCATGTGGCATAACATTGTTTTCATTTTGCTCTTCGATTTGTATGCATGTTTGATAAGTTTAAAGGAGTCTTTTTATTCACATTTCTTTCCAGATATATCTTGATGTTGTGAGTGTACTTGTAGTAATTTTATGGTCATCGTTTTTTGATTGTGTCTAAAAAAAAACCCTGAATATCATGATGATAATAGTGATTTTAATCTTTCAAATTTGTAAAAATGTAAAGAAATAATCATCCAAATTATGTAAAGCAACCGTTTTTAATGGCCAAGTTCTTTTCAACCAGTTTAACAAGTTCCGTGTTAAAATGTTGACTTACAGCATTAGACAGTGAAAATATGGTGGAATTTTTAGACTTTTTGTCTGAGTTGACTTCAGTTAACCTTAGCGACAGCATCCTTGTTGAATGAATACATGCTTGTAAAAGTTGGCAATCAAAAGACAAAAACGTCTTCTCTGTCGGATTTAAAGAAATAATTCTCCGCACCTTTGGAAAAGATTGTTTCCCAACTTCACACACACACACCCACACACTGTTTCCGCTGATTGCGATGTTTTTAAAAGTGTTTAAAAAATGTTTTCTTGTTGAATAAAACGGTTAGTATTCGAAGAGAATTTGTTTGAGGGTAAGAAGTCACATTTGTTTAGTTCTCACTTGAAAACACGACAGTCAGTGTCCAATGTACTCCACAAGAGGTCGCTGTCATAATGAAGTACAGCTTTTTCATAGTATTTCAATCTGATAATTATTTCGGTGAGGTTTCCAAGTCGTCTAGTTACTAGGTTCATTTTTTTGTAAATAAGAGGGGGGGGGCGCCCAATTTCTGTTTACCCCATTAACCATGGTCACTTATAAGACTAACAAATTTCCAGTGGGGGACGACTGGTGACAATTTTTTATGGGGGGAGCGTTCATCCCCGGCCATGCCGCCCCCCCCCCCCCCCCTCACCTTTTCTTCACCGCTGTCTCGACCATGATTGTATCCTAGCCACAATATAGCATTCACAATTTATACCTTATGGAGGATATTATTTTCTCATTATTTATTATAATTTCAGTTCGAAAGGACACAATACAAAAAAAGTCGAAAGTTATTATAAGCTCACAATGATTATTACAAAGTATAAAAAAATCTGAAAACGTATATCTAAACACAGGATTTACACGCAAGGAATTATTTTTGAAATAATGAAAACAATAACATAAAACGATAGTAATTAATTAAACAAGATTAGGAGTTATTTGGGAACAGTATATGGGACGGTCAATATTTTCTATTAGCCCTCCCTCATACTATAGCCTAGTGGGTACAAAATCAAGTATTGTATACTTTATTGCTATCCAGCTCAAACGCAGATACATGTATGCATAAGGTTAGTATAAAAAAAAATACATGTACAAATTGACGATTATGTCCATAGATGCTAAACTTGAGTATGGTAGCTATTTATAAATTCATGTGAATTAAAAACAAAATCAAAGATTTTTCCTGCAAGGAACCAAACATCAGGCCCGCTAACTTTCTTGATTTGAATATTTCAGGTCAATCCAGCAAGTAAGTCGTTTGCAGCAGTTTTATTCGTTTTTCTGATTTTCTTCACTCGGCTGCATTGAAGTGAAACGCGTAGTTGTACATGCATGACATCACTTCTCAGAGACTGAGCTCGGGGAATGGAAATTTGTAATAATAAGGTTCCAAATCTGCCTTATAACACGACGATAACAAAGTGTACGAAGATTGTTAAACAACTGCATAGGCTATTCGATATCATTGCTCCTTTTGATGCATGATCAATCTTGTTAATGAGCATTTTAAGGTACTCGTTTCCAGTCACAAAATGCATATGCCAACAGAGCAAAACGGTGCAGTATCTAGGTGCATGCAAGGCCGAAAAAAAAAATAAGTCGGTCTCTGGTCAGCGCGCGCGTCGATTTTAATCATGCGCGTCGATCTTTTTTTTTTCCAAAATGTTCCGCGGTAGCTCCAAAAGCGCCCTCTATTTCCGCACCTCCTCAATTTTTTTTACCAAAGAGCATTAAGGAATGGGAAATTGCACCAAGGCAAATGATCGAAAACACCAAGGCAAATTATGGAGGACACCAATGTACATGAGGACACCAAAAAAAACAAAATAGTACCCCACCTTGTCTGTACAATCTAAGCTTGAAGAAAAAAAAAAAAGCCGCGTGGCCGCGTCAATTCCGGAACTTTGGTCTGACCAGAGACCGAATATTTTTTTTTGGGGGGGGGCCTAATCGTCAGTTCATTTTTTGTTGTAAAGTAGGCCTACATGTACATGTAAAAAAAAATGTTAACAAAGTTTCAAGATATAAGATTTGAGGCTTTGCATGGTGGGGTATCGGTATCGTTTCGGGTTTTTGCGGTAACACCATGTGGTAATAACTACTGCTTAGAAGATATTAGTTCTGAGAAGAACTTGTCCTGCTTATTATCAACTTGCTAAGTAGTTTTTTGTTCTGTTTAGAACAGTCCTGCTGTAAGTTCTAAAAGAACTTGTCTTTGGTCTCAACGTTTCGACTAGCCTGCTCTAGTCATCGTCAGGAGACTGAAGAAAGTTGGAGATGCTACTCCTTAAGTAGGGTTTGTTAGGATTAGGAGTGCTTGCTGGGCATGCCCTGCTCGCTCGGGTGTGTCAGTTGGTTGTGAGCCATGGGCATTGTGTTGAGGGATGCCCGCTGAGCGTCCTGCTCGCTCGACTGTGTCAGTTGGCTGTGAGCCTTGGGCATTGTGTTGAGGGATGCCCGCTGAGCGTCCTGCTCGCTCAGGTGTGTCAGTTGGCTGTGAGCCACGGGTGTTGCAACTTGGAATAACTGAATGCCATATGTGGCTTATGAAGTAGCCGATATCTTGTGGGACAGTGTCATGTTTGTGGATCTCAATAGCTTCTCTGATACGACGGGTGTACCAGTGTTTCTCTGGGGCTATGATTTCCGCTTGTTCCCAATCAACAACATGATCCAGATCAGCAGAGTGTTTGACAATTGCCGATTTGTCAAGTTCCCCTCTGCGGCCGTGAGCTATGTGTTCTTTAAGCCTGGTAGTGAGGTCTCTGCCAGTCTCGCCAATGTACACTTTGCCACATGAGCAAGGAATTCGGTAAACTCCTGCTTGACTTCTCGGGTTGTGCTTGTCTTTGTGGGTGTACAATTTCGTTTCGAGTTTATTGCGAGTTCGGTAGTAGACCTTAATATTGGCTTCACGGAGGATTCGCTGGATCTTGTGTGATGCATGGCCAATATATGGAAGGACTGCAACCGGCATATCGGGTGTGTTCAGGGTCTGAGACATGCTCGAATCCGGTGCGAGGCTGTGATTCTTAGGTCTGTACCCATTGTCTCTTAGCACTTTATTGAGGTGCTTCAGTTCGGATTGTAGGTGTTCATCATCACTGATGATATGTGCCCTTCGAAGTAGGGTGCGGTTCACCGAGGTTTTCACTGATGGTGGGTGGAATGAACGAGCATTGAGGTATCGGTCTGTATGTGTAGGTTTCCTGTACACAGAGTGTCCAAGTGAACCATCGGCCCGTTTGGAAATGAGTACATCAAGGAAAGGCAATGAATCGGATGTCTCAGTTTCCATGGTGAATTGTATACTCGGGTGTTGTTGGTTGAGATGGCGGAGGAAACCATCAAGCTTGTCCGGGCCATGTGGCCATATGATGAATGTATCATCTACGTATCGAAGCCATAACTTAGGTTGGAATTGAGCTGTTGCCAAAGTTTTTTGCTCGAAATCTTCCATGAAGATGTTAGCCAGGACTGGGGAAATTGGAGACCCCATAGGAGTGCCTGAAGCCTGTTGATAGTAATTGTCTCTCCATTGGAAGTACGTAGACTTTACGCAAGTCAGGAGAAGATCATAGATTTGATCTGGCGTTAAGCTGGTTCTTTCCGTGAGTGTGCCATCTTGTTCGAGTATCGACTTGGTTACGAGGCATGCTTCTTCGGTCGGTACATTAGTGAATAAAGATTTGACATCAAAACTCACTAGCATGTCTGCGGATTGCAATTTAATTCCCTTTATGGTGTTGATGAACCCTGCTGAATTGGGTACATGGTGAGGCGTTTTTCCCACGAGTGGGTGTAGGAGCTTTGTTAAGTGTTGTGCGAGGTTGTAGGTTGGGGAACCTCTTGACGACACAATAGGTCGGAGCGGTTTGTCCGGTTTGTGAATCTTCGGTTGGCCAAAGAATCTTGGGCATTTCGAGCTGGATGGACGAAGATGCCTGTATAATGGAGTCGGTAAGGCTGAGCTACGATTTAAGGAGAGTAGTTTGGCGGCAACTTTCCTTTCGACTGCTGGAATGGGATTTTTCTTGAGGCAAGTATAGGTATCTGTGTTGAGGATATCCTGAACCTTATGGTCATACTCCGTGCGGTCCATTATGACAGTTGCATTACCCTTGTCTGCCTTTAGGATGTGTATCGAAGAATCATTGCGGAGGCTGTTGATAGCCTGGTGTTCAAGTCTTGTTATATTGGATTTGGGTGGCTTTGAGTGCTTCAAGACTTGGTGTATTTGGATACGGATGTTGTCTGCCTTTTCTTTATCCATCTTACGAATAGAAGGTTCAATCGATTGTATGAACTCTTCCACCGGGATCTTGCTAGGGGTAGTGGCAAAATTCATACCCAAGGCTAGGACATTCGATTCCGTTTTAGATAGCTGGCGTTGGCTGAGGTTTATGACTGAGTTCGCTTTATTCATGTCATCATTGTTCCCTTTGTTTGTGGACGTGTTACGTGAGGCTCTGTCCATTCTCTTCTTGCCACAAGAAATGAGGCGTTGGAATTTTCGGATCTGTTTCCTTTGGGTGGCATGAAAAGTGTGGGATACAGATTTATCCGTGAGGGCGGATATCTTGTCATAATCTGTGGGCTGCATAGTCGTGCGGAGACTATCCTTGCTACTCTTTATTTCTTGATCGGTTCGGTATAGGCAACATCGGGTGGAGGCAATTCGTGATCGGAGTAGGGCTTTATTGGCAGTATGTATGATTCGAGCAGAATTGTTTTCTTTGATAGGGTCTCGTAGGCGGAGACTCTTTGGGACTACGTTCGCATCTCTACATCTCTTCAGAAATGTCCAAGCACTCCTAATCCTAACAAACCCTACTTAAGGAGTAGCATCTCCAACTTTCTTCAGTCTCCTGACGATGACTAGAGCAGGCTAGTCGAAACGTTGAGACCAAAGACAAGTTCTTTTAGAACTTACAGCAGGACTGTTCTAAACAGAACAAAAACTACTTAGCAAGTTGATAATAAGCAGGACAAGTTCTTCTCAGAACTAATATCTTCTAAGCAGTAGTTATTACCACATGGTTTTACCGCAAAACCCGAAACGATAAAGTTTCAAGACTTTGGTTTCACAAATCTTAGCAGCGAGACTAACTTTGGCAGCAACGAACGCTCAAGTGTAACTTCATCAATGGAGCGGATCTATATGCGAAATATTACCAAAATATCCACTTGTCTTAGGCCTATAGTTTGGAAACAAAAGTGCGAGAGTGCCGAAATGAAAGGGATTTCTAGAAGCTTATTTGAAGTTTTAGGAACGGTTGCGGAAAAAAAGGTTCAGCTTTTTCATCAGTGGGTAGCTGATGAGGAGGACAAACTCACTGAAGAGCAAGGGAAAACTGACGATGTACACGTAATGGGAAACATGTTCCGATAAACCCTCAGTTTCCGAAACATTGCTTTGTAAAACATGAACAGCGGTTTACAACAAATTTAAAAGAGCTGCAACTAGATAGGCAATATTCTCGTATATTGTGATGATCTAGGGCATGCATACTGCATTTAGCATTTAGGGTTATATCGACGTGCGTCACTCCTTACAACAGACAAAAATACAGACACTCTCTACTGAGCTTGCGTCAGTCTCTTCATCAATTCAACTGAACCCATCAGGGAGAAAATAAGCCATTTGTAGTTTTATTCATCGACAAGGTTCACGACGAAATTCCAGAGTGTTAATTCTCAGTATGATCATGTGGGCAAGCATCAGAACTTGCATGTGCGTCCATGACTGTCAAAAACAAACATGGCATGAAATTGAGCGGAATACTTTGATACTTGGGGTAGGAAAGGTCTATCTAATATAGCAGTGTTGTTTCTGTAAAGCGGCATGTTTGGTAAAATATGGTCCTCGAGGAAGCAGTTTGGAAAAGATGCAGCCGGTTTTGTAGCAGCTGATATGCAATAGTGGAAAGTTTTGCCTGGTATCCTGAGGTATAAAGTTTACGAAGATTCTGACTATTGAAATAATGTTATAGAGGTTTACAAGACCATGTATACAACAATGTATAGCAAAAGGAATGCCAAACCAAGGCGCAGTAGCAGTGGCGTCCCAGTCTTCTCTTGGACAGCAGGGAGGCGTGTCTTCAGAGGTGCGTGAACTCGATCCCAGAAGGTGATAATGGCTTCCCTGGCTCCCACCCATTTCCCCGGTCCCACCAAGCGATACTGGTAAGGCGAGCAGGGCCCAAAATAGCACAGGACAGCCAGAAACGGGTCAGAGAGGAACATCTTCAAGAAATCTGGCTTGACTCCAAACTCGATGGCGACGCTATCCATGTACTTGATCCAGTCCACCTGGAGGGTGTGACGTTGGGATTTCACGTACCGCTTCCTCATGTCATCTTTCGCCTTCTTGATAGATGCTTCCATCTCCGGACGAGACGGAAGGCGTGCTTGGCCAGTGAAGACACGAGCCGCCCAACGGCTCTGGATCTCGGAGCATGGGTTGATGGCCCCGACAGGCTGAACCAAACCAATGGTACAGATGCTTGGATGCTTCAGGTCTGGGGCAAAGACGTACTTGTAAAGCGACACTTCATTCTTGATGACATGGAAGGAAGGGCAGTCCACGAACGGAAAACTGAACGAGTATCCAGTGGCGAGAATGACGCAGTCGATGTTATCCTCAAAAGTCCCGTCCACGAACTTAACCCCTGTTTCAGTGAAGCGGGCGATGTTTGGCTTGACGACGACCGCACCACTCAAAATGCGATTCGGGAGGTCGTCGCTGAGAAAGGGATGATGATGGAAAGGATCGCACTTGGGCTGCAATCCGTATTTGGCGTGATCAAACTTAGCCTGAAGCTGCCTCTTTGCCAAAAAGGTTTGCAGTTTGAAGGGGACAAGGTCACCGAACCGCCTCAATATCACAGTATCGACGGGATTGCCATAATCAGCGACACGATTGAGGACCCAAGCCCCACTCCTTGTACTCAGGAAGACCTGCAGGTGGAAACTATTGAAATTATATTACATGTACTTGCACTGCAATGGTCAAAACGCAGTTTGAAAAAAATTCCCTAAACTTCACCGAATCTATTTTTATCTATTGCCTTTGCAACCAGCGTATCCAGATTTTTTTACGACTCGGGAACAATGCTTTGTGTTTCCCTTTGTCCCTGTAATATAACACTCTCCCATTCCTATTGTGTCTGATGAATGGATCTGCGATCCTGTTGCTTACAATAGGAATTAATAAGAAATATGCCTACCTTTGATGAGATGCGACTCAGTTCCACTGCTGCATCCCCTCCAGAGTTACCGATCCCAATAACGACAACTCGCTTGTCGATCAAATCGTAGGGAGTTTTGTAATCATGGGTGTGGAGTACCTTTCCCTGAAACTCCTTCAAGCCAGGGAAGTCGGGGATGTTGGGGGTTGTGTGATGCCCGGTGCAGATCATAACAGCATCAAAGTGATCAGTGGTACTCTCACCGCTGTCTCGATTCTTGGTGGTGATTTTCCATCGGCCAGTCGTGTCGTAGTCAGCAGCCTGCGTGACCTTCTCAACCTCGGTGCGAAACTGGATGTGGCGTCTCAGATCGAAGTGGTCCACGTAGCTCAGGAAGTACTTCTCAATGTAGGAGTTGTGCATGTAGTTGGGGTTCTCCTTGGGGATGGGGTAGTCGCTGTAGCACATCACCTCTTTGCTGGTGTTGATGATGGTGGACTTGAAGACGCAGCCTTGGCCGTCAACGTCTTCACGGTAAGCCCAGAGCCCACCAATCCGGTCCGATCTCTCAAAACACGTGACTTGGAGACCCTCATCCAAGCAGCACTTGATTGCTGTGATGCCACTGGCACCCGCTCCGATGATAGCTACCTTCTTACTCATTCTGGCTTCTTGCTTTTTCGAAAACCCTTTTGGCCAATCTGTGAACTTTATTTAAAAAATCAATAAATAAATACATAAATAAATCGATTGTTACTTGCAGCGGGATCCGATCCCAAATCCTTAACACTATAGTATACTCTGCTGAAGATGGGTATGGTGACTGTTAATATGCTCTGCCTACATATGGGAAGAACTACGCAGGAGGGGATGATAATCATAAAACGGTACAGTCCTTAGAGTGGAGGAAATACACCAAGACCAGGACTGAATTCAGTTTCGTAATTAATATTCTTACCTTTGCCAGCCTGACTAATAATATTATGGGACCAAATGGCTGAAGATTTCTCTACAATAACGTAGCCTCATTGTGCAGGCCTAGGTCAGTTAAGTGGGTGTGCATTGTAGATTTAAAGTAGGTCAGTGCAATTTCAATACACTTGCACAAATAGTGGTGTCGGTAGCCGAACAAAGTCTAAAGATAACAGATGGAGATACGACTGCTAATGCCCCTCTCACACCAATCCAAGAACAGTGCGAGGTCACTTCGGAAATGCAATTGTTTTCAGCAGTATCCGTGGTCTCCGTTTTTGGTCGTTTTTTTTTTTATACCAGCACGTCTTTATTTCGTGGTACCCGTTTTTACTTCGTGAGTAATCCGTGGCCACCTAGGAAACACCACGGGACCAACCCATGTTCATGTCCGTTTCCTGAAATTCACGGACTGCACACCGGCGACATCTCGTGGCCATCCCGATTGCATCCCGTGATGACTTTGGCGCCAGCTCGAGACTACTACGTGGTGTCAGTGGTGACTACGGCGCCAGCTCGAGACTACTACGTGTAGTCCGTGAGCACTTTTTGTGGCCAACTCGAGTTCCGCGTGATAAAAACGGCCGTAAAACAGGCCAACAATCAATCCGGGGCCATCCCGTAAAATCCGATGTAACTTCAGCCCAACCTTGAGAACTTTACGAGAGTACTATACGAATCAGCCGTATTGAACACGTTTTTAATTCTGCAATAAATTTCCGAAGTGCACACGTTTCAGTTTTTCAACATATCCAAAAACTTTTTGGGTGATCCGTGGACAGTGGCGTAGCCAGGAATTTTTCAGTGGGGGGGCGCTGGGGTGGGGGGGGGGGCTGGAACATTTCATGGGGGGGCGTCATGTAGGGGCGTCAATCGATTCTCAAAAGTGGGGGGGGGGGAACAAACCTTGATCAGAACTGATGCGAGCGCGAAGCCCTTTACGGCGTGGGGGTTCGGGGCCCGCTTAAGGGCCCCGAAAAAAATTTGATTTTAGATGATCTGTGGTGTGATTTGAAGCAATTTCTTACCACTTTCCTCTATGCTTTAACTAATATTTTCTTAGCAAAAGATAATTATTTGAACATCGTTTTCGAGGTTGGAGTCATTGAATCAGCTATCGGTATTCTGAGCTATAGGCGTGGGGTTCGGGGCCCGCTTAAGGGCCCCGAAAAAAATTAGATTCTCGATGCTCTGTGGTGTGATCTGAGGCATTTTCTTACCACTTTAACCAATAATTATCTTAGCACAAAAGATAATAATTTAAACATAATTTTCGAGGTTTTCTCAGCTAAAGGCATAAGAAATTTTTTTGAACATTGTTTTTGAGGTTGGATGGAGTCATTGAATCAGCTACCAGATTTCTGAGCTATAGGTGTGGGGTTCGGGGCCCGCTTTAGGGCCCCGAAAATTTTGGATTCTAAATGCTCTGTGGTGCTATCTGAGGCAATTTCTGACCACTTTAACCAATATTTTCTAAGCAAAAGATACATTGTAGTACATAATAGGGCCCTGTAAATGAGACACGAGTTCAAAAATCTTGGGGGGGGGGACATTTGATATTGTGTCCCCCACCCTTCAAAAAGGGGGGGGGGACCCAGTCCCCCTGTCCCCCCAGGATTGACGCCCATGGCGTCATGTAGATCAATGATATTTTTTTAGAAACTCAAAATCTCAGTGGGGGGGGGGGGGGGCGACTGGGGGGGCGACAAGGTTTCATGGGGGGGCGGTCACCCCCCACGCCCCCCGGTGGCTACGCCACTGTCCGTGGAGCATCCGCGAGAATCAGACCACGGAAGGAATTGACACTTCCTTAATTCGTGGTTAGTTCGTGCATGGAGCAAGGAAAACGTTTTCCTTGCTCCATGGTTCGTGGCAACCAGTGGCGTAGCCACGGGGGGGGGGGGGGGGGCACAGCCCCCCCATGAAACCTTGTCGCCCCCCCCCCCCAGTCGCCCCCCCCCCCACTGAGATTTTGAGTTTCTAAAAAATTATCATTGATCTACATGACGCCCCCCCCCCCATGAAATGTTCCAGCCCCCCCCCCCCCCCCCCCCCATACCACTGAATAATTCCTGGCTACGCCACTGGTGGCAACCCGTGAGATCCAATTCCATTTCGTGGTTACTTCGATTTTTTAACTCAAGTTTTGCGCCCACGGACACCTCGCTCGAAACCCTCCGACGTAGAAAGCCCATTTACTAACACGCTTAAAGTAAGGGGTCCCTCCGGGGACGCATATTTTTAGCGCCTTGGTTTGAGGCGACACAACAGTCGAGGCGGAACCCTCGACTTACTGTACGGCTGTTCGCGGAAGTGTGTGTGGGGCGTAAGTACATGCACACAAAGCACACGCAAGGGTCGTGGGGCTAACGGTATAGTAAAACTTGTGATTGAGTCGCGGCGCGCGCGGTGTGCGGTAGCGGGAACAAGCTGGCGGGAACAAGCTGGCAGCAACAAGCTGATAGCCTAGGTCAAGGCTACGTATCAAGTTAAATGTACACAATCTCGACATGTCTGTAGACTATAAATAAGGCCGTCCTTGACAGGAAACAGATGTTGTATACATAGTCTGTGGTCAAGCCGTGCACTGTCTACCCGCAAGTGACCTTGTTTTGTGCACGTGTATATGGGCGGTTTGTCGCCAGCCCAGGTTGTCAGGCTCAGATATGCCTGACCCGGGGTCACACACTAAAGGTGACTGCATCTGTAGTGTGTGTCTCTGGCTAGGATTAGATGGAAGATCCGAACCAGAATCGGTTTGAATGTTTTTTATTAAGGTAATTAACAAAATTGGGTCCCCAAAAGGGCCAGTATCTGCGTCGGAGGGGAAACAGTATGGGAACTTTGGTGAAGTTGAAGCTTATAGGTAGCGTCGGTTTTCCTCCAGCGTTTAGAACATCAACACTTGCTCGTCCTCCGGATTTCGATTATGTGTTCCAAAGGCACATAGGCACCAGTGTTCCGTAGGCCCTATGCTTACTCCCGTCCTGCGGCACCAGCTGCACCATTTCGTAGCTAGCGCTGCATGATACGCACTAGACTGGAGCGAGACTCGCATTTCACGTTGCTGCCAAGCTGATGTAAGCTAGCATGAGGCCAAACTGGTAACGTTACATGTATAGCTCTAAAAGCCCGTTGGCAACGTGTGCTTCTGACCGACACATCACTTTACACGTAAACTTATATATGCGTAGACCTACATGAACATGCAGCAATACGTCAGTCCGCGTCATGCCAAAACTTCACTCGGATTGTTTCAGTTTAGTTCGGATTAGCTCATTCAAAAACGAATGTATTTCTTATAATGCTGTTGGTGTGGGTGCGAGTGTTTTATGGCACAACTGTGGTATTTTCGTAGGCCCTCAAACTTTTCGTAGGCTCTCAAATTCGTCGTATGCCCTCATATTTTTCGTAGGCCCTATATAGGCTATACGGGAGGATGGTGTGGCAACTTACCCATTCATTAGCTCCTACAGCTGCAGCTAGTTGCTGAACCGGTACTGCTCTGCTTCCTTTAGCCTCAGTGGTGGTTTTACAACCAAAATGGGGTCAGTACATGTAGTTTCGTTTAGTGACTGGCTACCCAGCTAGGTCCATTGGCGTATGGTCTCCGTGCGCCAGCAAAGAGGGCGCGATTTTACCTCTTTTGAGAGCTCCGTGGACGGGACACACAGCTTGCGCGTACTGTACTGTACTGGTTCGCGCGTGAAATACGCACGACTTCCTGAATGTGCAAAAGCTATATAGCCACCGCGTCCAGGCCTTGCGTGAGCGTCAGGCGTCGTCGCCGCGCGAATACGTTCGAATTCAACTTGCGATGGTCTCCGAGACTAATCCCCGCCTCCAATAACTTTGGATACATTCGAAATACGCAGTGGATGGATTAGGATCCAGTCTAGGTCACCCCCAACTCTCTGTTTCTGGCCGTTGATGGGGTACTTGTGCACGGAGCCCATAGATAGCTAGGATTTTTTTTAGTGGGGGGAGGGGCATCAGAATAGTATGGGGCACATATCGCAAACGTCCTATTGCAGTTTTTCCCAGTTGGGCCCCATAATGCCTCGCTATATATCCATTGACATAAGAAATTGTAAACAGTAAGCCTTTGGCTAACTGAAAAAAACTACAACTTACAAAAACCCTTTTCGGTTGGGGAAGGAAAAAGGGGCATCATTGGTGGGGGCAGCTGGGGGGGGGGGCAGTCACGGAAAATTTATGGGGGGACACGTTCCCCCTCCCGATCCAGGCCCCTGCATGCTCAGTCTTTGCTCTCTCAGGAGGACACTGTTGAAATGTTTTAAACTTTTGCGAATGTGAAAAAACTTGATGCGCCAGTCACAAATTTGCGTTCGGGGTCTGTGCCAAACCTGATTGGCGCAGCCAGGAAAAGGGTGGCTGCCGGGTACGGGTCGCCCCCGACGGGCGGAAGGGATCTTCGTGTTCGATTCAGTATTTTTTGTCAGCAACCGCCCACGTACCGTACCTTCGACCGGTAATTAAGGCCGGGGCTTATGCTCAGTCCGCCGGCTGTGGGGTCGGTAGTTATAGTAGTTATAATTCCCCCCCCCCCCCCAAAAAAAAAAAAAAAAAACAGTTTTGGGTTTAATAAAACGTCATCATCAGAAGAAAAAAAATTCCTGACTTATCAGAAGATTTTACCGAGACAAGTGAAAGGAATGAAGTTTTTTTCGGGACAGTGGGAAGAGCTCGAGCCGCGACTCGACTAGGTATTGGTGTGGCCTGTCCAAACATCTTGTTCACCACGGCAAATTGACAATTTGACATCGTCTTCTTGAAATTTGTTGTTATAATGCATGGTATCATCTAGCCCAGGTTGGACGAAGTCTTCATTGCAATACGACTAACGTAGGGAGTCCACCAGGGCTAGGTATCATCGCCTTTTTGCAGATAAGCTATTTTTAATTTTTTAAATTTTTTTGCGCAGCATGTTTGCTTGTCAACATCAGGGCCAGGAACGGACGGACAGCGAGACAGCGATAGTTTACAACGCATGCTTGGTCACTACCCTAGAGGTTGGCGTTCGCGTTGTAAATGATGCATACATGATGCAGTCACGGATCCTCTCAAGTCATGCCATGAAGACGTTGTCCAACCTTACTTGATCACGAGCACTTGGTGGCGCTGCTGCGCCTAGTTTTATACCGCTTGCGCTTGCACGACGGCCGACAAAATTCTTTGGCGACAAACGTAAACAGACTTTTGCAACGTCGTCTCTGCCTCTTTGGTAATTATTTTTTTATTTGACCATGATTATGAAGGCATGATCTATGGAGCAACATGTGGAAAGACTTCCATATCTGGCCATCACTAATTTTTCCCTTCAGAGTTCAGTGACCTATCACATATCACTCTAGCCCGACTGCGTCTGGCCGTACAGTACTATCGCAAGCTCTGTAGTACGGCCAGACGCTGAATGCTTCCACAGAGACTGAATTTTTTTGGCCGCTGATGTAGCGATTTTGCTACATCTTTTGATCGAGATTATCTTTTCATCCAGGACAAAAATTTCCACAGTTAAGGTTCTTAGTCGTAGAGCAACTCGTACCTTTTCGAAAAAACGTTCTTTGGTCTCAATATTTTCATCCATCTGGCCAAATAACGACTTTCAGTGATCATCTTCCACAAATATCGTCCCGAAAATGCTCCCCCATGCGATTTCAAAATGGCGGCCGCGCTGTAACTCATGAATATGCATGAAAAGTCTGTGACGTATGACCTCGTGTTTTTGGACGTGCGTGCGGCGGCGCCGTACGTACATGTACGTACATGTACATTACTTGTAGACAACAGCCCAGTACGTGCATGCACACTTACGTCCGCGCGGCGGTGTGCATGCACGTACTGGGCTGTTGTCTACAAGTAATGTACATGTACATATGTACGTACGGCGCCGCCGCACGCACGTCCAAAAACACGAGGTCATACGTCACAGACTTTTCATGCATATTCATGAGTTACAGCGCGGCCGCCATTTTGAAATCGCATGGGGGAGCATTTTCGGGACGATATTTGTGGAAGATGATCACTGAAAGTCGTCTTTTGGCCAGATGGATGAAAATATTGAGACCAAAGAACGTTTTTTCGGAAAGGTATGAGTTGCTCTACGACTAAGAACCTTAAATGTGGAAATTTTTGTCCTGGATGAAAAGATAATCTCGATCAAAAGATGTAGCAAAATCGCTACATCAGCGGCCAAAAACATTCAGTCTTTTGGGAAGCATTCAGCGTCGTACTACAGAGCTTGCGATAGTACTGTACGGCCAGACGCAGTCGGGCTATCCACCTCGTTACCGGCTACAGAGTCACGGTTGATTGCCCTCATGCCTCAATAAATCTTCTCAGCATGCTCGGTGCTCATGGTGCTACTTGTAATTGTACATGTATGTACTATGCGTCATGATCCACTGCACTCCCACTCCGTATCCGCGTAGGCATGGTAGGTAGCTAGCCGGCAACAGGGTAGTTGGTTTGGACTTGCAATTTTTTCAGCAACTCCGAGTCCCAATCCCATGCCATTCCTTTTGTGTTGCTTCGTTCTCAAGCATATTAAGGGGACTTCCACTCCGTATCCGCGTAGCCGGCAACAGGCATGACAGGGTAGTTGGTTTGGAATTTTTTTCAGCAACTCCCATTCCTTTTGTGTTGCTTCGTTCTCAAATAGTGGACCCCCACTCAGTAACCGCGTAGCTGGCAATGGACTTGAATTGTTTCTTTTTTTTCCAGTAATTCCAACCGCGTATCCAGAGATTTTAGGGGTGTATTTCCTTAATATGTCCTAAAAACATGAAAAAAGGCAAATTGAGCAGGACAAATATTGAAGTAGGCCCCCTATTTTAATAACTAGGCCTATTATGAGAAAACACTTATTTTCAGACCAGTCTCATATAGGGTTTGTGCACAGGGTGTCGAATGATGGCCAGATATGGGAATCTTTCCCAACATGTTGATATAGCTTTCAAACTCATCAATCCATCCTTAATTTCCATGTACTACATATGTAAGCCCTATGAGTATGACGCATTGTAACATTTGGAGATTGCTTTGCCGTTTGCGTATATATTGCTAGCTGACCCATGCAGCTGGCCACATGACGAGAAGATCCGATTACATCATAATTCGGGACGGACAGATTTGGTTACACCTCTATGTTCCGACACCCCTATGTTCCGACTGCACATATTCCTATTCCTAACCCTAACCCTAACCCTAACCGGGAGTAACACAATCTAGGTTGTCGGAACATAGGGGTGTCGGAACATAGAGCAGTCACCACAGATTTCACCCAGTATATAGCATGCCAAGGCAGTAGGCAGGGCGTATCTTTTCTTGGGGCGCAAGGGCAGGGGTTGGAACTTGGAAGGGAGGCGGGGTTGCTGTCAAGGTGGGAGGGGGTGTTACTGTAGCAGGCATTAGCCCCATAAATGTGGCCAATTCACTGGACTACTTCCATAATTGAAGGGCACACTTGGAACAGGGTAGGTCCCCTAGCCCTACTTGAATATGTAGAACTGCGTCAAGTTTTTATTTTCACATACTTTGTTTGTAGTTTGTTTACGCTTTAAAAGCACACTCACCCTCTTTAAAAGCTATAAAAAGGTAGTCCCCCTTTTTCAGATGCCCTTTTTGGAGGCCGCGTCCTTTTTCTTTTCTTTTATTGAAAAAAAAAGAAAAAAAGATAAATTTTAAACAGTGACATCATTTTGGCCTCTTTGTCTGTTGCCTGTAGCCCATAAAAAGCTGGTATGTCATTTCCTGAGTCCAAGTGGCGGCAATTTTTTTTAAAAAGCTGGCGACCAACTTGAAAAATAGCCCGGCTCGTCATTTTTGACAATGGGTCAGGTGGCCATTTTGGTGAAAGAAAAAAAGGGCCTCGTCGTCCTTCCTTTTTTGGAAAACTGGCATCTGCAGAGATTGCGATCAATGCGACGCACCATGAATGCGCAAAACCGCAATAACTCATATATGGCATGAACTGTTACAATATGCCAGAGACTAATACTTAGGTTTTTTTGACAAAAGATAATTAAGTCTGTTCAAAATTATAATTAAAATGGCTATTTTCAAAGCAAACATGATAAAGGAGATGAACTTGAGATTGAGTTGGCGTCAACACTGCTGAAATCACATTTCGGTGAAATTTTACATACATGTACATGAGGCCAAAAAAAAAGGTCTCTGGTTTCTGGTATGGAGCTTGTCCAAAAAGTGGTGCGGCGACGCGGCTTTTTTTTTTTTTTTTACCCGACTTTTTTGCTTCAAATGTCGGCTGATGACTGCAAATGGTGCCCGACTAAACTTAGTGCAAATATATGGGAGTCCAGAGAGGCCACATATCAAGCTTATTCTCGATCATAACCCCATCTAAAAACACGTTGAAATTGCGCAGCAGAATTCCAGTCAAACCAGTGAGTTTGGCGGTTTTGAGACATCATCTTTCATTGAAAAAAAAACTTTTTCATTTTGCCGACGCGCACAGCTACGGCGACGCGCGCGTATACCAGAAACCGGAGACTTTTTTTTTTTGGCCTTAGCAAAGTTGGTGTCAAGTTTAACTTAAAGGTGCACTACAGAGTATATTAATTATGCAATTTGTGGAGAAAATACTTGCATGTGGGGTTTTTCTTTACGACGTGGCTACCATTATGGCAGCCGTTATGGCAGCCTTGACTATGCCTTCATCCGAGCTGGGAGTTGGAACTCTCAGCTCCGATAAAGGCCTAGTAGCCAGGCCGAAAATTCAGCTAGAATATTCCTGGTGAGCACTGCTTTAACTCATTTCTATCTTCAGTGCTATGCAGTTCTGTTTCATTTTCTTCAGTCACATGTATGATGTGTTTTGTCCACAGACAATCCTATCGTCCGTTATCTTTGGACTTTGATCGACCTACCAGTTTGCTTGTGCAATGTCATTTGATATCGCAGACCTGCATTTACACTTGGATAACAGTGTCCATGTACATGTACCTGGAAGAGGAGCTGTAAAGGTAAGACTAAGCTTATAATTACAAATAAAGTAATAGTATTCAATTGCTTCATTACATTTTTCACCTTAATGCCACATCACATGATGTAAACTTTTTGAGTTTACGTATACATCATGTAAATTTGACCCATATTAAATGGAAGATACAACATTTGCAAACAACACAAAACAAAATTGATCAAATTTTCACAAAATACTTTACTGGATTGTTAGGGAATGCAGTCTAAAGCATCCTGTAAAATTGTGGCTCCTGGTGTGGTGACATTTTCAAGAATTTTTTTTATTTTTCCAGCGCTGGGCGGCCGACCAGCGTTGGAGAAAACTGGCGTTTTTTCAAAAAAAAGTGCTCCTACTTTTTCATAATTAGTTATTCCGCATTTTCTTTGCAATTGATTACAAACCCGTGAAGGCACGAGCATGCTAGACAGAGTCTCTGACCTTATTACAATTTCCCAAAGTCTATAAATTGCTCCGTTTCTTCTTAAATGGAATCAGGGAACCAGACTACAATAATATGATTGGTTTTCTTGGTTTCTCCAGCATCTACGAGCCCAAAACGTGAAACAGGGCATTTTAACAATATTTGCTATAACAAAACTAATCCTCCAAATCCATTTATTTCCGAAAATTGCAGCTAAAGCAAATGTTGTACATATGTATTCCCTTTAAAGGGCATACCTTGTACAAGAGGCTTAGGGCCTACATGTACCAAGTCAAGCTGGACGCTTGTGTTGTCATTTAGGACATTTCAGTGACTCAGTGCTCAGTCGGTAGATGGTAGAGGACAACAGGCTGGCCCTCGGGTCCAGCAGAAATATCCAGAACATCAAGAGTGTCCACAATTAAATACGGAACGATACGACTTGGATTACAATGATGTTGAAAGGGTACTCGCTGGCGGGGACGTCTCTATAGTCAGAAGTACCATTGGTCCAAGTCCCATTGGTCCAAGTCCCATTGGTCCGACGTCCCATTGGTCCGACGTCCCATTGGTCTGACAGCCCATTGCTCTATTCGTTCCATTGGTATAAACGTCCCATTGGTCTGACGCGGGACTTCGGATCAATGGGACGTCGGACCAATGGTACTTCGGACCAATGGTACTTCGGACTATCCAGACGTAACCCTCTCTGGCAGTCTGTTAATTTAATGAAAGGCTGGGCTTAAAATAATTCATAAATACCTGAGACAGTTTACCCGTTCCTATTGGTCAAGAGCCCATCACATGGGTGGTTTAATCCGCTGATGTCCAAACAGCATGCATTAATGTACAGATAGTGTCTCTCGGAGCGAAGACAATGAAGTAAGAGTGCGGACATTGATTGCCATTACAGTGTTCTGGAACTTGCATGCAATTGTGCTTCAGTCGACTTCCTATTTCTATTTCTATTTCAGAGATTACTTGGACATTTCAAGAAGCCAGAATGAGTAAGACGGTAGCTATCATCGGAGCAGGTGCCAGTGGCATCACAGCAATCAAGTGCTGCTTGGATGAGGGTCTCCAAGTCACGTGTTTTGAGAGATCGAGCCGGATTGGTGGGCTCTGGGCTTACCGTGAAGACGTTGACGGCCAAGGCTGCGTCTTCAAGTCCACCATCATCAACACCAGCAAAGAAATGATGTGCTACAGCGACTACCCCATCCCCAAGGAGTACCCAAACTACATGCACAACTCCTACATTGAGAAGTACTTCCTGAGCTACGTGGACCACTTCGATCTGAGACGCCACATCCAGTTTCGCACCGAGGTTGAGAAGGTCACGCAGGCTGCCGACTATGACGCGACTGGCCGATGGAAAGTCACCACCAAGAATCGAGACAGCGGTGAGAGTACCACTGATCACTTTGATGCTGTCATGATCTGCACCGGGCATCACACAACCCCCAACATCCCCGACTTCCCTGGCTTGAAGGAGTTTCAGGGAAAGGTACTCCACACTCACGAGTACAAAACTCCCTATGATTTGATCGACAAGCGAGTTGTCGTCATCGGGATCGGTAACTCTGGAGGGGATGCAGCAGTGGAACTGGGCCGTATCTCATCAAAGGTATTTCCTAAATTAGCGCCCTTCGTTATTAAGCAACTACAAGCACTCTTAGTTTGAAGTTTGGCAACTTCAGGAAGGTCTATTTGGGGTTGGGCATGTAAACGTAATATACTCGTAGCAGGTTGACTCATGAAAAGAGCATTCAGGGACTGTTCGTTAGTATTTGAATACATTTCTATAACCTCCGTTCGACAAGTAATATTCGATCTGATGTTTTTTTTTCCTGCTTTCAGGTCTTTCTGAGTACAAGGAGTGGAACTTGGATCCTCAATCGTGTGGGTGATTACGGCAATCCCATCGATATTGTGGTTGCAAATCGATTCGTAGACATTTTCCCCACAAGTTTTAAAAACACCATGGTAAAGAGGAAGCTGCAGGCTAAATTTGATCACGCCAAGTACGGACTGCAGCCAGCACATGACCCTTTCCGTGCCCACCCCTTTGTCAACGATGACCTCCCAAATCGTATTCTAAGCGGTGCAGTGATCGTCAAGCCCAACGTCGCCCGCTTCACTGAAACTGGGGTCGAGTTCGAGGACGGGACTTTTGAGGATAACATCGACTGCGTCATCCTCGGCACTGGGTACACATTCAGCTATCCATTCATGGACTGCCCTTCCTTCCAAGTCATCAAGAATGAGGTGTCGCTGTACAAGTACGTCTTTCCAGCTGACCTGAAGCACCCAACCATCTGCACCATTGGTTTGGTTCAACCTCTGGGAGCCATTCACCCAATCTCCGAGCTCCAGAGCCGATGGGCCGCCCAGGTCTTCACTGGCCAAGCAAGCCTTCCGTCTCGTCCAGAGATGGAAGCATCTATCAAGAAGGCGAAAGACGACATGAGTAAGCGGTACGTGAAATCCCAACGTCACACCATCCAGGTGGACTGGATCAAGTACATGGATTGCGTCGCCATTGAGTTCGGTGTCAAGCCTGATATCTTGAAGCTGTTCCTGTCTGACCCGGCACTGGCTCTCCGTTGCTACTTTGGGCCTTGCTTGCCTTACCAGTACCGCTTGATGGGACCAGGGAAGTGGACGGGAGCCAGGGAAGCCATTAACACCATGTGGGAGAGGGTCAACGCACCTCTGAAGACACGCCTCCCTGCTGTCGAAGAGAAAAAGTCAGGGGCATCTTTGCTACTGCGTCTTGGTTTGGCTTTCCTTCTGATTTACATTGTTGTATCTATTATCTTATAACATTTGAACAGAAGGGAAAATATTTCCAAATTGACAGGTCATTACAAACACTCCTATAGATTGTCGATAATCTGTTTAATCAGGACTGTATGAAACTGGCATTTGTGAACTTTGTTTTATGCACTGTCATTTAAAAAAACAGATGTTCCATTGAGACTACTTAATACATTGCATCAAACCTTTGGCAGATACACATACACGAATTAGGGTGGTTTGAAGTGTTGCCGATTTGTAGTAATGTCCTCACAAGTCACAAACTGTTGAAATCAACTTTTTACATGAGGCCATTGATCAACATTGGTTTTTAGGTTTTAATCACTCAAGGTTGAAAAAAAATTGGTCGGGAAGGGAATTTATATTTTATATTATATAAATTCCTGCGGCAAAGCTGTTGTACAGTTCATTCACGGAAAGCGTCCTTGGGACATTAATCCCAAACCATGGCTTGAAAACCTTTACTCCACATGTAACATGTGTAATCTGGGGGATTACAAAAGGCATGATGCAGGGTCCAAAGAAACAACACAACAATTGGCCTACCCTTGCCAGCTATATGTAAAACATTGAACTTTAAGAACTTAACGACCACGAGTACTGTACAACACGCGCTCACAGTATGGTGCCGAGAGCGTTGTCGTATCAATACCACATCGCCTGGCTATGGCATGCATAACACCTCAGTATGTCATGCACAATGTTTGCGTGCAAATCAGTGCGACCGTGCCTGTGGATTTGGTGAGAAACTTGTCTGGAAACTACTCTTTCTTTAGGAAAAAAACACACTCAGAAAATATAAAATATAAAAAAACCGAGGGAGTGAAAATCGAGGCGGAAGTGATGAAAACCTAAAAATCAATGTTGAATGGCCTAATAAGCATTACTTTATTGTTGTTCATCCCTACTTATTTGTATAACTGGATTTGTGTTTTAATTACTTTTGGCCAGAATCATGACTACAACAATGTTTTGTGTATATCATCAAAATTATTGGATTGGGTACTAGATTGGAGTATGGGTACTAGATTGGAGTATGGGTACTAGATTGGAGTATGGGTACTTGGAAGGAGGGGGCTTGGGATGCAAATAATGTGTTTGAATCCGTTAAGGTGACAGTTGGTTTAAGGTACCAGTAGTACTGGTGAGTCCACATGGCTGCAACAAATTATTTTTGCTGAAACGAATAATTGTGACGTCCAGTTTATTAACCGTTGCAAACCATGTTGTTGTTGTTTTTTCAAATGACTTGAATAAAGGCAATTAGGATTCCTGATGAACTGAAAGGTAGCTATTAAAAAAAAGTACTAACTGCAAATTTTTAAACAGGAATGATTTTTTTATGTGCTCTCTAAAATGTTATGCTTGTAATTTATACATGTATATTGCAAAGTGACTTTTAAAATTTGTTTTGAAATTATGTTTTATATACATGTACATGTATGTGCATGTCACATAGATTTTGTGCCTGAAAAGATTAAAGAAAATTGATATGAATGTTATGCTCCGTTGATTCGTGCTTCAAAAGTAACGAATTACTTGAATAATCAATGCAGCTTATACTCATGCACTTTTCTGTTTTACAAAAATGTATTATGTGGAAAATCATGTGTTTTGTTTCTGTTGTCGCAGAGATGTCGTGCCTGAAAGGATTAATGAAAATGGGTTTATATACACATTTTATGTTCTGTTGATTGTTGACTCATGCACCAGAAGTTTTGGACATAACAGTTTTATGAATAATTCGAAAAATAAAGATTTTTCTAGTGAGGGTTTATCAATTGTAGTGATGTGGGGGGAGGGGGGGGGTGTTGATAGACTTGTAAAGCTACTGTGATTATGTGATAACGACATCTCGAAAAGAATCATATTACACTGTCTGTAAACCTTTGTTACTGACCAAATGATCATGTTCACTTGTTGCCTCTGAAATACTTTGTCCGTTTTAATCTAAAAACAATAATAATATTCTATTCATGTGGACAATGAAAAAGTATGGAACTCATTTATCATATAACCATTAATCAGACCACTGAGTTAGAAAAAAAAACATTTTGTGAAATACAATGTAATTATGATCTTGTATTTTTCATATTAACCAATTCGCGCCAGATGACGTGTACCCACGCAAAGCTTTTGGGGTATTTGGAACGGATGACAGATAATAGTTAAAAGAGGGAGCGACCCACTCATAGCGAGCAAGGCCAGAAATATAAGTGCGCTGCCCGAGGGTGATGGCTTCAACCCGCCTGGCTTGAGGTCGAGTGAAAAATAATCTTGCGCCTCGTTCCATTCTTGTCAAAATAGTCCCGGCGTCGACTGGTTAACAGGTTAAAAATCAATCCTAGGAAGCAACCAGATGTTGCATGGTGCTAGGTCTGCATGGTGAGTAGGGTGGGTGTTGCATCAAGGCCAAGCCATCTTCATTCAGGAAGGTCTGGGTGAGGCGGGCTTTGTGAAGTCCTGTATTGTCATCACACAGATGGATTTGAAGACCGTCTCAAATACATACTTCAGAGTACTACCAGTGCTTTGAGAGATGAGTAATGAGGATATAGCAATGCGCTACCACTCAACCGAATTTCTGTTGGTGAGGGGGACATGTGTGTACAATTAATCTTATTCTGAATGGACACAGACCCTTATCGTCATTGTTTACGAGTCCCTCCTAACTCAATTGAACCAAGCGAGGGGGTACTTGGGCATATAGAAATTGGTTGGGCGCACTTCATTTCATTTGCATACCCGAGCATACATGTACGCCCGCAATGTGTCAGTTTTGCGTAAACCCTCCTGCTTTCTGAACAGTCACAGACAGTCTTAAAAATCAATCCTGTTCCCCTGCTGTGTCTTTATACACGGGCTCTAGTCACCAACAGTCGGATCACATTTCTTGTAAACAATGCGACTAGAATAAAAAAAACCATCAACAGACAAAAGCAGGTAACTGGAAGGTACATGTACAGCTGGATTATCAATCTCCAAAAGTCAAGGCAAAGCTGTATCAAGTTGCATAAACAGTCACAGCCAGTCAATCCTGTTTTGTTGTAAACAGGGAGCTCTTAACTGTTGAAACAGTCACTTGATTGATTTTGGCTACTGGAATGGCTTTGTTGAATTGGCCAGCCGGATAGGGAGGGTTACAGTCAGATAGTGGTAGATGCTTGAAGGGTTTCCAGTGGATGCTAGCAATTTTAGGGTTAAAGAATGTACACACAACTCCGAAACTACTTCCAAAATTGTCATCTCCACAAACATTACAAACCACTGGTATGGGCTCCGTATGCCAACCAATGAGGGCGCTTTTTTAACTCTTTTGAGAACTCCCTGGACGGGACACACAGGGTGAGCGTTCTGTACTGTACCGGTTTGCACGTGAAGTATGCATAACTTTTTGAACGTGCCAAAGCTATAGCGACCACGTCTTTGCATGAGCGTCGGGCGTCGCTGGCGCGAGAATACATTGGAATTCAACTTGCGATGGTCTCGGAGACTAAAACCCGCCTCCAATAACTTTGGATACATTCGAAATACGCAGTGGATGGATCGGGAACCAGTCTAGGTCTCCCCCAACTCTCCTTTTCTGGCCGTTGATGGAGTACTTGTGCAAGGAGCCCATAGCGTTGATTACCAGCACTGTGTGTTCTATGCTTTCATGAAGCCTTTGAGTTCTCAATTGAAGCAAAAACGAGGTGACTTTAATAAGGTCAACTATTATGGTATTATTTTTGATGTACAAATTTTCCGTTTTAAAAATGTTCACAGTATGAACTGGCCTTTTACTCAACACTGAGCATGCAGTTCAAATAACTCCACTTGTGTGCAAGGAAAATCCTTCTCCATGAAATGTCATCATCCTGATGCAAAAATCCATAATTTTCCAAACTTTCATAGTTCTGGTTTTCCAAACAAGTCACAATCCGTAACCCTCAACTTTCTGCCTCATCCTCTGGGTACTCGATACTCGCATCGCTGAAGTTGAACATGTCGTCGTCGTACAGTTCTTCCTCGAGTTCCTCGTCCTCGTAGAACGTGGGAAACGGCGGTGGGGCCTTGACTTTCTTGTTCTTGGGCAGTACGCTGTCTATGACCTTGATGTAACCGTACTTGCGTCCGGCGACGGAGCCGGCGACGTAAAGGATGTTGTGCTTTGTGTCGACTCGCCAGACCTGCGAGAGTGGTAGTAGCCTTGGTCAATGCTCTCGTCGTTATTCGTCCCGTACGCGGTCAATCGTCGGCATATATCCTCACGCGCTATGCACATGCATTTAAAAATACAGCGCGAACAGCGACCTCACGCGGCCACTATTTTTATGCAAATCAGTTGGAGACGATGTCGAGCCTTGGTTCAATCGTCCATGTGAGGTTTTTGGGGTGGTGCTCATTATGTTAATAGCCTTAGCTGACCTTAAATTTCGTTTTCTTATTGGTCGATCGTTGCGTGGAAACTTGCATAGTGAAACGTGGCACCGTACATAATCCATACACGAACACATTGTGTGTCTCTGCACACGGCACCAATGCACAAAAACTGTGGTTCCTGTCACGTCCGCAAAAGGCGGAATAGCTGCAAATAATTTGATGACGTCCGGATTTACCAAGGTGTGATTGGACACTCCACATATTAGCCCCGCCTACATTATCTGTATTCGCATACGAGGTCGTGCGCTGGATATCTAGCGCAAAGTAAAGAAAAACATAAGCTTTGGCCGACGATTGAACCAAGGCTCGACATCGTCTCCAACTGATTTGCATAAAAATAGTGGCCGCGTGAGGTCGCTGTTTGCGCTGTATTTTTACATGCATGTGCATAGCGCGTGGGGATATATGCCGACGATTGACCGCGTACGGGACGAATAACGACGAGAGCATTGACCAAGGCTAGAGTGGTAGGAGAGAAATTCAATAATAAACAGATCCTTTTCAGAATGATGGTTATAGTACGACAAATGGGTGATGGGATTGTGCCTTTGATGATTCGCCTTGGGTGCTATATGCGCCCCTCCAGTGTTGAAAATGTCATATCCCACGTCACCCCCGTCAGTAATTGTTAATTGTTATATCGTGTGGAATGTGCTGGCATGCTAGCTTTGCGCAATGAGAACTGCAAGGTCAAACGCTCGGTCTCATGTCCGGCAGGTCATCAAAACCTTCAGTTATCAAAGGTTACATCGCAGTGATTTAATTTATTTCTCACACAGTCAGTTACAACCACAACGGATAAGCAGAGCTGATTTAACAGCTTTTTGCAGGTTGGAGACCAAATTTATTGGCATTTCTGGGTAGGTAACACACTGACCTTAAGTCCGACCGTCCAGCTCATTTTGTTGCCCATGTGACCCGGCATCTTCTTGCCAGGCCAAATTCTTCCCGGACTCTGAAATAAAAAATTAATGTAAAATGAAACTAAGTCATACTCAGAGACATGTACTTGAACTAATGTTGGTGCAAAACAAAAACTCAGGTCACAAGACTGTCGAAGAGATATAATTCTGTCTGCGAAACAGAAAAATGCAACATCAGTGTGTGATAAGAATAATAAATGAACCACAACGGGAAATGGACTAGGTACATTTAAACAATTGTAAAGTTGAACAAAGATATTGACTGATTCGCAGGTTCAAACCAGTCAATTTCTTCGTTCAACTTTAAAATTAATAATAATAAAAAAAATATTTTTTCTTTAAAAGTACATGTCTGTGCATATCTTTTTGATCAAGACAAAAAAGGCTTCATGAAAATTCTCACACTTGTAGAGAAAAAGGACATCTTAAAAAAACTTAAGTTCTGCTAACGTTTCAGAATCATGGAAAAACAGCCTACATGTACGTTAGACTGATAACCAGGGTCACACAGATGGAAGATATGAATGCATTACAATGAAAATACTCTCTTCTCTCACCCTCCACCCCCCCCCTAAAAAATTAAATAAATAGACAAAACAAATAATATGTTAAAAAACCACTCATTTCTTTTCTTTGTTTTACACAAACTTACTTGATTGCAAACTTTGGACAGAGGGTGGGCTTTCAGTCAACGTAATGGCCAGATCCAAGTCCAATGGACAATAACAAAGGCTCTTAGACTGAGAAAAAAACTGTTCCTTTACTCACCCCTCCTCCCCCTGATGCCCCCATCTTTCGGTGTGTCTTAGTGGCTCCGTGGCTGGCCGGTTGGCCCTTCATCCCCCAGCGTTTCATCACACCCTGGAAACCTTTGTCAATTCTGTTCAAGACCAGTAAAACAAGACAAGCAAAAAAGTTAAAATAACTAAAACATTGCTAGAAATTACTTGAAATGTACAATTTCTGCAAAAAAGAAAAAAGGCCAGGTTTTTGTTCCAAATCTTTCATAGTAGAATCCTTCATAAAGATAGAAACTTGAAAACTCAGACTCTGTATCAAAAGTCAGGCATTGTAACTTAAAAAGAAGACTCAAGTTACTCACATCATGGTTTCAAAACCACATGTGCCTGGCCCTTAGAAACTCTGGTCACGGTAAGAACAAGTCAAAACAATTCAATAGCTTTCTAACAGTCAGCAATGAGACGCAAATGTTACTTACGTTCTGCCACAGCAGTCAACGTACATGCCCGGCCTGAAATGAGCAGCGTACAGTGGTGATCCTGAATAAACAGCAAAGCAAATTGGAATTGAGACTGATAGGTGAGCACTTATGGACTCCGTGCATGAACAACAGACACGTGGTAGATGGTGCTTTGGGCTGACTTTCAAGTTAATCAGCTGTCCTTCGTTTTTTTCTGTTCCATACCACACAAAATGACTTTTCGCACTATCACATTGTCTACCCATGTTGAAATCAACAAGCATTGGCAAGGGTCCACCATTAGCAAAACTTGGTCTCATTGAACACGGGCTGTATCCATTTGTAACACAGGTCGGCCATAGATTTTGGTTTCTCCAACCAGATAGAGTTTCCTGACCCTTTGTCGACCCTGGTACTGACCAGAATTGGATTTCACACATGTAGATCACTGGACCCATATAGAAGCTATTCTGGATTCTTGCTAGAGTGAAAGGGTTGCCAAAACCACCAGGTTCCACCTGGGTCAAGTACAGAGATTTGTTTGAAAGGGCCCAAACACTATTAACCCTTCTTTTGTTTGATCAGTCACAGACAGTCAAAAATTCATCCTCCTTCCTGTTTCCATGCCTTTTAGGTAGGCTAGTCACCAACAGTCCAATAGGCACTGTGACTAGTCAAATTCCATCAACAGACAAAAGCAGGTGACTGGTAGTCACCAGCTGGCTTTTCAATCTTCTACAGCCAAAGCTATTATCAGGTTTCATCACAATCACAACCAGTCAGTCCTGCTTTATGTGAGAAGGGAGCACTCAACTGTTTAAAACAGTCAATCGATTGAATTTGACTGTTGGGTTGGCTTTGTTGTATTTGCCAGACAGAGATAGAGGAGAATTCATGCATTATGTCTCAACTTGACTTTGGTTTCTGAGAACTTGACTTTGGTTTCTGAGACAAAGCAGAGGTTTTGGGGAACCCCCATGTATACTGACCTGGTTGGATCTTAGCGTTGGCTGTCACTTTGAAGTTGGTCAGTTTGTCCTTCACTGGTAACCCAACCTCTTTGAACTGCTCAGAGTACAACAAGGGCTTCTGTTGATGAAAAAAATAGCAGATGAAACAAAGTAACAACAAGTAAACACTCATTGAGAACATCCAAAAGGCACTGTCATAGCTGATGCATATTCAAATAATAATGTCAATAGTTCTAGACTGGGGTGTGAGTGACCACTGATAAAAATAGCTGAAAACAGCTGAAAAAGGTGTGAAAAGGCTGAACTTTTGAAATCTCCTATACTTTTGTACACAGCAAGTGAGGGGAAAAAGCAGAAATCCAAAACAAAAAAAGCTGAAATCAGCTTTAAAGCTAAATTTCACACCCCTGTCTAGAAGAGTGCCTTTCTCTAATCTCAAGGGAAACACTTGCGAACAGATTAAATATTCATGACGTGTGACAACATCACGTTGGTATTTCTCAAACAGTGCCTTCCGATATTCACAGAGTAATAGTAGCAGGGTTGTGTTAAGGCATTAAAGTTTGTTTTTATTCAGTTACTGTCTGGAAATTGAGCATAAGGGAATAATTTTCCTTGGATCAAAATATCAGGTCCCTCTCACTGCAGATCATTCCGTTTTGTAAACATTTCGAAACTGCCTCTGAAAATACCAAATCAGCAAAGTCCAGATAAGTAAAGGTGCGAAACTTGAAAGAAACAGCCAATGGCCATCTTGGGAAATAAGCCTTGGGCTCATTTTACATAATAAAAAGAAGGATGCCTTTCACTCTTCAAATAGCTGGATGTTTGTTCATATTTTATATCATATAAAGTGGAAACTGGCGACCAGAATAAGAAGCTTTTACCGTAGCGGTGTCACGCTGACACGCATGCTGCGTGCGTTCTTAAAGACGAAGCACGCGCATTTTGGTATTCCTTTTGGTCGAAGGAGCCTAGAATGCATGTGTACTAACTGAGTGTGACTCGCATGAGCAATGGTGCCACCGCAGAAAATGGCCACCGCCAGATTTGTATGTACCTTTAATGGATCTGCATTTCTGGCACCAACTATAAGACGTCCATATTTTGGGTTGAGTGTGTTGTCTTCAGGGGCAACGTATCGGACAACGTTGTTCTCCAGAACCTGTAGAAGTGAAAAGTATTACAGAGAAAAAAGATTGGTAATTTTTTTTTTTAATTTAACTGGGTTACACATAACTTTGGGGGAGATTTACATTGATTGAGGGATTAAATACAAGGTTCTAATGGTAATACTATGGTTTTCTGAAGTACAACGGCCCTGAATCCTTCAAAATCCTCTTTGCCAGAAATGAAGGAATTTGGAGGATTGGGGTTACATGGCAAAAGTGCGTTGCTGATTTCGTAGGATGCACTATTTCAAGATCTTGGGCCGGACCTTGTGTTGTTTTTGCTTAGCCATGCATAAATATAGGCCTGGATTATGCTTGAAATCCTCCGTACTGCTCCAGGATGTCACTGGCCAAGCCTCAACATATCGACAGTCACTGCCGCAGGATTTTACAGGATTCAGGCAGTGGTCACCCCTCCATGGACCATATTCAAAAAATAATGGAGGAATTTGCAGGATTGAACTTGTATTATATTTACCATGAGGTCAATTGGAGGATTTTGCAGGATTGAGGCTGCATCCTAGCAAAAAGGCCTAGGGAGTTAGGGTTAAGAAAGAAGGGTTCCTCTAACATTTGTGGTACCTCTACAAAAATCGGTGGAGGAGCTGTTGATACCTGAGGTTTTAATGTGATGCTGTCTAATAGTTCTCAACATGACAGAAATTAGAAATCAAATAGAAATCAGTACTTTGTAACACTAGCTGACTAGTGATATTGTGGATAATATTGACATCAATACACTGATCCTTGGATATTGATCATGTTTTAATATTCGAATAGACTATGTATCAACATTTGCTCTGCAAGTTTGTGTCATATTGACACTGTTTTTACTCTACTGAGCGCCAAAAAAAAGTGTGCCTTCAAAGAGTTCTTGATGATTTCCATAATGTAGGAGGTTTCAGTAAGGTTCCTTGAAAAAACGCCTAGGAAAACATTTTTCAAACCATAAAAGCTTCACCTGAAGTGCAGTAGCCGCCAGGCGCTTGCCCGATTTGGTCCACATTGGCACCATGCCAAGCTTGACTGCCAGCAGGCCGCACCTCTTGGACTGGCCTGGTACCCACTCCTCGCGAGGCCAGGGACCATCCTTCAGCGGGCTTGGCCCCAGGGTGTTCTTGACCCTGCTCCACTTGTTGACAAAATCTTGGAGGTCCTTGGGTACATCGTGGTCATAATCATAGTCGTAATATGTCCGTCTCGGGACTGCACAGGTACATATTCTAAGGATGAAAGCACAAGAGTGTTAGTGAAATGAGAAAGACTTGTATGTTCACAGAAGTGTGCCAGGCTAACAGCTCCATGCCTCCATAACACTTTGGTAGTCAAAAAAATTTCAAATAAAAAGAAACAAGTACAACTCGTTGCATCAGTGCAACAAGGTCGTAACTCCATCCTGCAACAAAGTTGTATCTTCACGAATACGCTCCGTGCAACAAGGTCGTATCTCGACGTCCATTGACTTTTTGTGAACATCCGGGTTATTTTAAGTGAGATACGACCTTTTGACATTCTGAAACTCGCTTTTCACGTAACGCCCATTTTAGGAGATACGACCTTGTTGCACCGACACGACAAATTGTTATGGGATTCCATACAGCTGAATGTATATTTTAAAAAACTCATATTGTATTTGCTACAAAAAATGTTTACTTCCCACAGAAATTGTGCACATTTGACTATCATTCATAAACAGTGCTCAGATTTTAAAATTATTTTTTGTTGGGGAGGGGGGTCATCCTCCCAAGACCAGCTCAGTGACTCACAAAATGCTAAATTTGGATATTCAATGAATGATCCAAAATTACGATGTTGGGATATTTGGTATATATTCAGCACATAGTACACTAGCCCTAATGCAAACAGGCAAACGACCAATCACGTTTAGGCCGAATAACAAAAAAAACATGTTTCTCGTCCGGGTTTTCGAAAAAAAAGGAGGAAGCGGGGCTTTTTATTTTTTATTTGTTTCAAGATGGCCGCCATTTAAAAATTTCCTGCAATTGTTGGTGTTTCCACTGTTCAAAGACACTTTTAAAATGAACGATAAGTTAGACAAGAGAACTGAACATATTTACAGTGTCATTTAGACTTGTATTGGTCTACAATTTATCTTCCGATGAATTTGTGGACTTTTTCAGTGTTTTTTTACTGCATTTTTCAAAAATAAAAAATAATAAAAAAATCCAGGCGGCCTCCAAAAAGGAAGCGGGCGGGGACGAGAAACATGTTGGTTTTTTTACTTCACCTTAGTGTGATCGGCCGTTTCAGTAACGTTTAACACATGGTCAACAACATACTTCTGATTCTGGGGCAAAGTTAAATGGCAAGCGCGATGGGGCGAAGTGACATTGGGCAACAAGAAATGGGGCGAAGTGACCGACACCCATCACTCAGTCAGTTGTAACTGAATATTTCATTATGATTTATATGATCAGGATGATGGCAATACATTTATTTGGAATTAAGTAATGAACAAAATCAGTAACAGTAACTGAAGTGTAATTGAGAAAGAGTACAAACCTTGTTAGTCTTTCCGTTATGTTTAAAATCGAGTTCTTCGACCCGAGTTGTATTACTCGCGTGATGATCATGGGGGCCGCCATCTTTGGGATTCCGCAAACATTATGTATAGTTTTATTCTATTGGACAGGTGTATCACCAGTGCAACGTTTTATCCAATCAAAGAAGGCGTAGTGTTTAGCAATCGCACACGACGGATATTTAGCACCCGACGACCATTTCATCCAAGAAAATATTGAGGGAATTGGAGTACACGGGCGACTTGTCTTAAGTTTCTGTGTAATTGTTCAGTTTGTTTATCCACTGATGGACCCAGCTCATGTTTCTCGGCTGAAGGAAGAGCAAGAGCGTTCACTGGAGGAGACGTTGGTTAGAATTAAGAAATGGTGCGTGTTAATGAACGGTGGGAATGACAATATTGGTGCGGTCCAAGTGGATGGCCTACTTTGGGTGGGGCTTGGGGGACGGGGAGGGGGGGGGGGCTTTATCTCTATGTGGATGGAAATGAGGGACCTCGTTTTTAAAACAACACATCTTTCTCTGTAGTTTGTCTACTTTTTACTTTTAATTACTGTGGTTTTATTTTAATTGATTTTTTTTTAATGCCCTTTTTTATTTTTTATTGTGTTTGAGGCATAGCCCGAAATCCTATGGCCATCACAAGCATAGCCAGAGGTATTTGGGCTAGATCTGGGCCATATTTTTATTGTTTTAAATTTGTATCTAGGCCATATGTAGTCCGAGTAACTTGGACCCAACTTATCGCCTTTTTTAACATTCGGACATGATCTAGCGACTACCACCAGACCATGTCCGAATGTTAAAAAAGGCGATAAGTTGGGTCTAAGTAACTTGGACTAGGCAATATGAATATATATCGTCAGAGTCAGATCCCCTAAAGCTACGGGTCGGTCCTTTTTCTATGTACTCGCCTTCAATTTGTGTGTTACAACGCGCGTGCGTTGCAAGCGTTGCCTGTACTGTGCAGCCTTATGGAGGGTCGAGAATGTATGTTTTCACAGGGGTAGGGGGAGGACAGGTGGGGGGTTAGGGGCTGTACCCTGTACGACTCATCTGATATTTTACGTGTTATATAATTACGGTACATTTATCCAGATCAAGAATATTTATTTCATAATTTACGTGCTCTCGTCATCCCCAATTGTTTTATACAGGCTTATTCTAAAAAAGTAATAGCCCCTTGGTGATTTTTAATTATGTGACCAAAAAAAAAAAACCTACAAGGTTGCCTATTACTTTTCGTTTTGTTATATTTAAACTTTTACTTGGACGTTGTCAAAAGTAACAAAGTTGTCCGTGAAGCAACATGTATAACTGATTTTTCTACTCACTACTAATGACATTTTATATTGACAACTAAAAAAACTCAATGCAATTCTACAGTAAGGTAAAAAAAAAAAAATAGTTCGGCTTCCGGTTACCCTATTATCTACCCTATTTTGACAGCCCCTACCCTAATTTGTCACGTCTGTTTTGGGGAAAAATTAGGAAAAAAACCTGAAAATCATCTATATAATACTATGTACACACAAAAAATTTCCCCCCCCCTAAAAAAAATCCCCCCCCAAAAAAAAATTCCCTACCTACCTACCCTATTTTCAAATGCCATGTAATCGGAAGCAGAACTATTTAGGCCTAATACATTACATTTACTATCATTATTTTGTGATTTTTCATCTAATTCCATTACAGGGAGAAGTTTGATGACGACTACACAGCACTGCAGGACAGGCTTAGGACATTGCCCGACAAAGTCTCCCAAAATATCATGGTAATTCTTCAACAGCCACAGGGCAGCCCCTTGCTCATTTCACAATTAAACAAAGGCACAATTTTCAATGCCATTTTTGCCCTATAGGGACAATAAGAACAGTAGGACACTCATTGTTCAATACGAATGCAGGTGCAGTGAACAAATGACAAGTGCAGCTGTACAGAGAGCAATGCCTGTGCTTTTGTCCCCTTTGCAAGATACATGTGGAAGGCAAAGCACATTTTCCCCAAAAAATCCTTGTGCTTTCTCCAGCATATTCTCAATTTATCTTTTTTTTTGGGTAAGCAGGAGACATTTACCCACCCCACCCCCATTGACACCCCTGCAGACGCCCATTTTGTTAAATATGTATTAAATTAATAGCAAATATGACTGCACAGTTTTTTTGTTTTTTTCCCTTCCTTTTTTTTTTTGCTTTTTTTTTTAGGATGTTTTTTTTGGCTTTCCAGGAGGGCCAAGCGCCCTCCTATGCCCCATCCTGGTGACGCCCATGGTAGAAGGGTGAATTTGCTTGTGAATATGTTTACTGTAACCTCAAGTTCTCCTTCCCTTGCTAGCAACCCTACCCCAAAATCATTACAAGCAGACATGCATGTTCACTAAAAAGACTTATTAACAGAGCTGAGCTGACAGATAATGACTGTGCCCACGAACTATTGTCGGCCTATATCCATTGTTCCGTAAAGGGGAAAATTACAGTAGCATGGCTTGCTCGAGACAAAAAGGCCTGACTATTTACAAGGATGGAACTTCACAATTTCGAAGTACATGTATGTGTACTTTGTTTGAACCTATATGCATTTTGAATATGGGGCTCTATTTCTGCTATTAATTTCTATTCAAACAAAGACCATTCCTCTTGGGGTTTTTTTTTCCCACCAGCAACATTTTGGGTTAAAGATCTTTTGGCTTGATCCAAATCTTCATCCATTTGTTTTTTGCAGGTACCTTTTGGGCCAGTTGCCTTTATGCCAGGTCAGATTGTCCACACAAATGAAATCATGGTCCTGCTTGGCGACAACTGGTTTGCCGAGCGATCAGCCAAGCAGGCTTGTGAAATAATCGACAGGAGGAAAGAACGTACGTTAAGACGCATCCCCAATACAGCAATGCTTAAAAAATCTTGTTCTGTCAACTATGTTTTATTGAGACAAGATAAGTTTTCTGTAGCACCATGTGAATAAATCTCTTTTGTGAGTGTGTGTGGTTCTGAAAAGAACCGGAGCCACACACACTCACAAAAGAGATTTATTCACATGGTGCTACCGTAAACTTATCTTGTCTTACATATAGTATCTTTCCACCATGCAAACCTTCTTATGTTTTATTGCTAGATGATTTTAGACAAAGAATTTTGGCATTTTCAAGTAAGAAATTGTTCAATCAGGCATATTGTGACTTTGAGTCACGTTTGCAAACGAAACTCCTTGAAGAGATAAGTCATTTGCGAATTAAATTTGAATAAAATCCGGAACGCTGACTTAATCCAATACTTTGCACGTTTTAACATTGCATTCTCCCGACCAAAGAGACTGTTACTATATCACATGATTCGGGGCAAGCCTTATGCTAGCAACCCCCAACTCCGGCATGGTCTGGTGTTTTTGTGCCATTCCCACCCATTGTGAACAATGTATTGGTGATGAGTGTCTCTTACGTAACTATGCAAGAGCTTGCCCCGAATCATGTGATTAGCAACAGTGTCTTTGGTCTGGAGAATTCAAAGTTAAAAGGTGCCAAGCATTCTGAGCAAGTCAGTGTACCAGATGTTTTTCAAATTTAAATCCCAAAGGGTATAGGTCACTCGTAAATGGCTTATTGATTCGCTCTTCAGAAACACTGCATAGTTACATTCATGGTGATGGCTTAAAAAATACAGCAGTGATACAGCCTTGTCAACAGCCTGCAACCCATACTTGCTGATGTTCATCTCTTGATTACCTAGATTTGAACAGCATGCTGTCAGACCTTGCCAAGCAGCGCCATCTGCTGGAGTCCAGGCTAGGCTTCACCTCCGAACTCAAGGATATGAGCGAGGGAAAGGGTGACCTGGTGGACATCCGGGAGGAATATGACCCTGAGAAGGAGGCCAAGTGGAGAGGTATCTGGAAATATAAGGCCACGTCCAAAATATTTGGCTACGGCTAGCAGGAACGCAGGCTTCTATGGGAAATGCGTCAGCCGCTTCCATTGATGTGCATGTGTAATTCCTAGCCATAGCCAGGTATTTCTGATGTGGCTATAGATTTGTCTTTTAGGCTGTTTTTTTTTTTTGCAAACCACAGCTTCTCAGCTTTGGCTTCATTGGTTTCAATCTCCTGTTTTAAGGCTGTTGACTTCGGAGACTCTGACCCAATTTTCTGCATCGCAAGCATCAAATTCAATAATATGTAGCCAAAGTGAGGAGTCTTTCAATGTATATCAAGGCTCGGAGGTTTAGGGACTAGAGTCAAAAGGCAAAGCTGAGGTTTGCAAAGCCAACCTTATGATGGTAGCAATTGCCTCGATTGTAAACTTTTGAGTGTTCGTTAGCTTTAATTGTTGATTTTTGTAAATTTTTCTGTTTACAGAAGAACGTAAGAGGAAAAAGAGATCAGCCGCAGCTGCAAGCAGGGAAAGTAAACCCCAAGAGGACAGTGACCCCTCCGCCCACGAGGCATCACTGGAGACTCCGCCCATTCAGAGGGAAGATCAAGTAGAACAATCTAGCATCATTGATGGTCCATTGCAAGGCGAAGATCCGAAGGATTCAAGCCCGAAGCCGAGAGTGCAGGGAAGCAAAGGGACTGTGGGCGAAAGAAATTGGGAGGCAGGGTTGACGGAAGAGGAGATTTGGATGGGCGGGGTCAGGGGGGTGATGTCAGAAGAGGAATTGTGGGCGCGGCTGGATGAGCTGGAACGGCAAGAGGAGGTGTTGGACGAGTTAGCGCTGTGAGTAGAAACCAAGTCAAACTCAACTGGCCATTATTTAGAGGGCAGTTCCCATCTATTTCCAAAGAGAACAGTGGATCTCCACTAGGCCTACTTGCTATCATTATTAATCGTTTCTGGTAATGAAACCAAGGATTCCTCAAAAGCGCCCTAGGCACTGTAGCTCGCAAGCCTGAAGAAACCTGTGGAGAGAAGACAATGCGAAGAAGTTACAGTTTTAGAGGTGGGAGGAAAAGCTCAGAAGAATATTCTGGGAAAAACCAAAGGAATCAGGCAGGGACTGAAAAGCCAATCCACATATTGGCCCAGGCGGGATTCAAACCCGGGTCACAGCGGTGGAAGGCGAGGAAAGTACCACTACGCCAACCTGACTCCCCAAATCCACAAACTTCAAAAGCAGTAATCTTCATCATGCAAAATTCAAATCGCATTGGATTTTCTAATTCTGAGTTGTTATTTTTGAGGGTTTTCTGCATTTCAGGATGTCTGATGGTGAAGTAGAACCAACGGATGAAGACAACAACGAACGTCATGCCAGTAATAATGAAGGAAGGCACGTCAGATGGAGCGACGAACAGAACTCTGATAACGGGAATGATGACAGTGACCCCCAAGTCAAAGCAGCAACGATCACGTTCAAGCACACTGAACAAGCCAGTAATGATGACAAGGTATGCTGGAACACACATGGTGACCTTTTGTAAGGAGGCCCTTTTGACCCATTGGTCCCAGTACTGCCCCGAACCACCCTGCCTGTTGCTTCTTTTACTGCCCAAAACTGGCCCAGGACTCTTATGGTTTTATGGCTTCATGAAAGAGTAAATACAATGAAATACAGAGCAATACAGGTGCTATAAATGGGGTAACGCAGAACTCGGTATCCCCCCCCCCCCCCCCCCTCCCCACAGCCACTTCTCTCTGTAAATCCAGCGCAATATATTCTTGTATCCTCCTCAAAGCTATCCAATATCGTTGCGTCAGTGCAACAAGGTCGTAACTCCATTCTGCAACAAAGTCGTATCTCGCATGAATACGCTCTGTGCAACGAGGTCACATCTCGATGCCCATTGACTTTGTGTGTACATCCAGGTTATTTTAAGTGAGATACGACCTATTGTCATTCTGAAACTCGCGTTTCACGTACGGCCCATTTTAGGACATACGATATTATATAAATATCACACTGTTGTTGCCGTGGATCGACAAATCAGAAAAGAGGATTCAAGTTCACTTGGGGTCAAGTTCATTTGGAGTCAGGTTGGTGCAGTGGTTACTGCCCTCGCCTTCCACTGCTGTGGTCAGGGTTCGATTCCTGTCCTGGTCCACATGTGGATTGGGTTTTCAGTTCGTACCTGATTCCGTGGGTTTTCCCCAGAATTTCGAATATTCTTCTGCAGTTTTCCTCCCACCTCCAAAACTTAATTTCTTCTAATTGTCTTCTCTCTACAGGGTTCTTTCAGGCTTTCGAGCTACAGTGCCTAGGGCACTTTTGAGGAATCATTGGTTACATTATTAGAAAAATTCTTTTTTTTAAATTAAATAAAGATAAATTTATATAGAACAACCAGTATTAACATCTGTTGGACTCTTGAAAACATTCAGATCTAGTTTTGAGATGTTTCTTTAATTGTTTTGCAGATCTCCCTGAAATCATCTACCTCAGGTATTAACCCCACTGAAATTCCAACAGCTGCAGTGAGCCCAGCTGACATCTACAACCAGTATGTGTCACTACCAGCTCAGAGCCCAGAGGGAGCAACTCCAATTACCGAAATCGCCCCTGATAACCACAGTCAGCCTCTGAAATCTATTCTCAAGCACAATCCTAAATCCCATCTAGTAAGCGGAGTGAAGGGCGGAGAAGGGATGCAAAGAAAGGCGGCCAAAAATCCAGTCATTCTGCCTTCACCACTCTCGGTGAGTTCCTATCCTGTTCATTTAATACAAAAAGTTAAATGAAACGTTGACCAAAACCCATTAAATATTGAACATTGAATAGGCCTGAGCTGTTCATAAGATGCTTTTGTGTCAGGGTGATGTAAATTCAATCTGCAAATGAACAAAATGTTAAGGTTTAGAGGTTGGACAATAAAGACAAATCCTTCAACGATATTCCAGAGAAAACCTACGGATTCAGGTAGGGACTTAAACCCAAGGTCAAAGTTTAGGGAAGTACCACTGCACCATGCTGGTTTTAAGAAGAAATCAAATCTTATCAATTTCTGTCACATGAATTGGTGGTGAGTGGTCAGTTGCCTGCACTAGTAAGCCAGCGGTCATGGGTTTGAGTCCCACCCAAGTTAGCCTGTGAAAATCTTTTCTCACAAGGCCCTCGGTGTACAGTGTTTTAGGAAATTATGTCTGTGAAAGGAAACCACAATACATGTTTTGAATTGAGCCAACTCTTATCAATTTTGTTTAAATGCAGGCATTTTCAGGTCAGGTGACTGAACGAGCCGACGCATCGGCCAATCAAAACGCAGCTGTAGTGGTTCCACCAGAGAGTCCGGAAACAAAATCTGCCCAGCCGAAGAGGGTGTCTCGGTTTAAGGCAGCTAGACAGCAGCAGAGGTGACAGGCCAAGGATGGAAGGTAGAGAAGCATGCGACAGTGTCATCTGTAATTGCAGTAATGAGGATTCCTATGTTACGAGAAGGCACTGTGTGAGTGGCTAACTCGGCACAGCCATGTGACAAGGGTCATGTGATACCAATCCCAGAGAGTCACAAGTCGACAGGGCCACACTGGAAATCAATGGAAACTGTTCACGTTTCAACCCACAAAATATTGCTGCGTCCAATACAACTACACAGAAACTTCCGTGCACAAGTTCCCCATCAACGGCCAGAAAAGGAGAGTTGGGGATGACCGAGATTGGTTCCCGATCCATCCACTGCGTATTTCGAATGTATCTAAAGTTAGTGGAGGCGGGGAGTAGTCTCGGAGACTATCGCAAGTTGAATTTGAACGTCTTCGCACGCCGACGCCGCCTGACGCTCACGCGAAGATGCAGTGGCTAATAGCTTTTGCACATTCAGGAAATCTTTGCGCGCTAACAAGTATGGTGCAGTACACTTCTGTGTGTCCCGTCAACGTAGCTCTCTCAAACGCGCCCTCTTTAGTTGGCGCACGGAGCCCATAGACAAAGCCATAGGTCTGGAAGCCCATATCAGACATGGCCCAATACAGTGTGTATAAAAACAAATATGATACATTTAGAGGAAAAAATATTTAAAAGACTAGCTCCTATTTTGTTTAATAATATTTGATATACGCTTAAAGAATGAGTATTTCTCAACACAATGCTGTTTTGCCTATCTCATTTGGACACCTACATCCAGAGATATAGACAGTTAATTGAAAGGGACATGTCAATGTGGTCCAAGTTGCAGCAAAGTGGATGAAAGATCAACATGCTGCAATCTCTCTGTTGGCCAACTTACCTATTGTTCTTTGCCAATCAAAAGTTAGTTGGAAACTAATCCATTTTTTTATATTGATGCGATCAACTCCATGTGTGTCATTATTTTTATTTGAAGAAGTAAAAACAGTGAAGAAAATAAAAAGATTAAAAGATTAAGACTGATTCAGTAACATTTGCTTGTGTGCAATCACCTAATGTTATGGTTGAGTTACGTAGCTGAGAGTGAAATCAGTTCCTAGTGCAGAAAGTGGACCAGGGGGACTAACCTGTGTGCCCATCTCTCTTTCGAAGCGATTGGGCCAGACTCGAGTCCATGGGGGGGGGGGGGGGGGGATCGCCAAATCTCCTCCACAGTGAGTCTGTTACCTTCCCAGCATTAAATAATGCCGGTACCAATTTAATACAACACGCATGGCCACGGCGGGGCTCGAACTTACAATCTCACGATCATGAATCCTGTGCCCTACCGCTAGGCCACACCTGCCACAGTGGACCAAGCGGAAATTGACATGCTTCAGTGAATTTAACCCCCTCCCCACTAGTTGACAATACATACGTCAAACATACAAACAAAAATTACAGTCTAACGCTGCTCTCAGGCCTTTTTTTTTTTAAAGATAATTTAATATATTCTTTTAAAACAAGAACTTTTACAACATTAATAAATTGCCACTGAGTAAATACACAATTACAGGGCAGCAAATTGATAGGTTAAGTACTGTACCAAACAATCTTTACAGCTAAAACTTTATAGGTGCATTTTTTTTTAAGCAACAGAAGTGCTCGTAATCTAAAGACAGGTGCTTAACAACGAACCTTATCATCAATTTCATCTTTTGTGGGGTGCTGTGGTCCAATGGTTACAGTGTTTGACTCATGTGCCATGGTGCGTCTGTTCGAATCCTGACCATGGGAACATGGTGCTTGTGCTCTTGAGCAAGGCACATTACCATTATTGCTTCGTCCTTCGGATGGGACGTAAAGCCGTAGGTCCCGTGTGTTGTGTAATGCACGTTAAAGAACCCAGTGACACTTATCGCTTAGAGAAGGGGTTTGCCCCGGTGTTTCTGGCAGTGGCTGCAATATGCGCGCCGCAGCATCTTATAAGGTGCTACATAATGGGTCTCATATTTCTCGTAAACTTCATTTACCTGTCTATAATAATAGACATAATTTCCAGCGCCTTGGAGTACCTAATTGTTGGTAAATACGTGTGCTATATAAGACTCCGGTATAATTATTTATTATTATCAAGTTCGAGCTCTGTGAATGCTGTATGTGTCGAGAAAACACGACATTCTGGATCTCGATTTCACTTCAAAATTTGCCGAGTCACATTTTGAATTGCGCCCACTCATGGCACAAGCCTGAAATCAGCATTCAGGGCATATTCTCTGAACCGATAAATAACAGCAACTGTGTACGTGTGCGCCGTGTCAGCGCTAGCACTCATTCACGGATTCGCGAAACTACAAACACAAATTTCCAAAAATGTGTCAATTGACATATATTTGGAAATGACCACCTTTCATTGTTTTCTTCAAAACTACAGCATCCCAGAAGGAATAATTACCCGGGAGTTTAATTACCCGGGAGGGTTACTTTTCACTTGACCTCAAGCCAGGCGGGTTAAAGCCCTGACCCTCAGGCAGCACACTCAGATTTCCGGCCTCACTCGCTCCAAGCGGGTCACTGACAGATATTTTCCAACCTCGCTTGCTACGTGTTATCCATCATCCTTTCAGAAAACCGCAAAACATTTGCGTGGGTACACGTCGTCCGGCTCAAACTGGTTAATCACTTAGACATTCGCAAATCAGAATCCATCTATAAAATGGCTTCTCCACTAGTGGAGAAGCCATTCCAGTAAAACCTAATCAAAGAATTTTTTTTTCTTCTCAAACTACGAGTTGCAATTTTCACAGTTGTAAGAAAAGCCATGCCTATCCCGTTCGTTAGTGACTTTGTCTTTCACGCGCGCACCACTGATTACAAGCGCCCATTGGATAAACGCTCAAGTTGCGTTAGCTTCTGGTTCCAATGGTTCCAATGCTACATAATGGCCAGTGGGCGTGGTTTAGACTGGACTGACGTCACACTAACGATCCAGACAAAGGTGGCTTCTTTGATGCTTAAGGCCATATTTTCTGTTTTCAGTTTAAAACCTTCCACAACGTTTTCTTGTAGTAGAAAATAAAATAACCTCAAGGATACAACAATTGAGTAAAGGCAACAACTGTTACTGGAATATGCATCTAACACAAAACAGCGTACATGCGGTGAACAGGTGAAAAAGCCTCAGGATTGATGAGCTGAAGAAAAAAAGATACCGAAAACTGAACAAGATAGACTCTGTGCATATGAACAGTAAAAGGCCCTCTGTGACCACTTTGGAGAGCCACGGTGGGAAGGACACCTACCACGTGCGCATAGTACGGGCAACTAATTTATTGTGAACGTGCACAAACCCACAGCGTCTTTTCGCCTGAGCGTCAGGTGTCGTTGTCAGCGAGGCGTTCAAATGTACCTTGCAGTGGTCTTCCCCAGCTCTCCCATTGTAATCGTTGAGGGGGTACTTGCGCACCGAGTTCGTAAGAGGGTGAGATCTACATTTGACTGTTCTATATACTGAATACATAAACTTATACAAGAAAATTACACGAATGCTGAAATTTCTCTTAAAATTTCAAAAATTGTCTCTCCCAATAAAAAATGACAAACTTTCCTTAGCCACTGCCATTACAGGCCAAATCAATCAATGAATAAAACAAACTATTATCAGTTCTTTTCCACAATTTTTTTCTGTTAGTCAAGGGAATCTGATTTGCTTACTCTCTTGGGAAAGGGTGTTTTTCCCCTTAATCCATGAAAATCCAAATCAGCAAGAATACTGAATTTGTAGTATTTCTTAAATGGATTCAAGACTGTGCTGCTGATGAGCCCCTATTATTTTACTTAGTAAAGCTTAGGCCCCCCAAAAAAATAAGTCGGTCTCTGGTCAGCGCGCGCGTCGATTTAAATCATGCGCCTCAATCTTTTTTTTTCCCAAAATGTTGCCGCAAAGAGCACCAAGGAATGGGAAATTGCACCAAGGCAAATGATCGAGAGCACCAAGGCAAATTATGGAGGACACCAATGTACATGAGAAAACCAAATAGCAAAATAGTACCCCACCTTGTCTGTACAATCCAAGCTTGAAGAAAAAAAAAAAAAAAAAAAAAAAAAGGAGAATCCCCGCGTCAATTCCGGAACTTTGGTCTGACCAGAGACCGAATATTTTTTTTTTGGCCTTAATATACCAGTTTTGTGTAAAAGCATAAAAGAAGTCCAATGTTGTAGTCGAGTCTATCACAAGTCCAGTCACAAGTAAATCACAAGTCCATTCACAAGTCCAGTCACAAGAAACTAGTGGATGAACAATAAAGGAATGCCTTTGTCAAAGCCGATTTGAATAGCTTGCGAGTTGAATTGGGACTGGAGGACTTGTGATGGACTTGCAGGGACTTACGATGTACTCGGCTACAACACTGACGGTGAAGGGGTGTGCATTTGCATGTAGTACGGGAACCAGGTATCCTATTGAAGTAAAACATGGGTACCCGGCAGTGTTGTAGTACTCATACTCGGTACTCGTACTCGAGTACTACTCGAGTACTTTTTTTTGAGTACTTGTATTTGTACTCGTACTCAAATGTCAAAGTACTCGTACTCGAAAGGACGGTACTCGTACTCGGGCAGCAAAGTACTCGTACTCGACATGTCAAAATTGTACTCGATCATCAAAGTACTCGTACTCGAACAGCAGTACTGGGTCTGCGCCAATTACGCACAATGAACCATTTGCCATATGACCATATTCAGAAATAAAAGTACTTGTACTCCTACTCGGAAGTACAGTACTCGTACTCGTACTCAGAAGTACTCGTACTCCGAGACCTGTTCTTGTACTCGGAGGTACTCGTACTCGTACTCGGTAACCTAAGTACTCGGCAGTACTCGGTACTCGGAAAAAAGTACTCGACTACAACACTGGTACCCGGTTACCCGTAAAAGAAACCCAACCCAAATTTCAATTAATATACATAAACATGAAATCTGTTTTGTTTTTCCATTTAGCCTGGTTTTCATTTTGAAATTTCCCCACCAATGACATTTGAAACCTTTCTTTTTCATTGTCTGAGAAGTTCCTAAGTAATTTGAAAAGTTGGTCACAAGTACCCGATCCATAGTTTGGAACCGGTTCCTGACATCAGCGGTCGGGTACTCGGTTCTCATGCACACCCCTGTGACTGTGTCCACTGCACAGTGCTTGATTTTGGAGGATACAGCAAATTCACTCACATAAGTAGCCAGTAAGCTTGGATTAATCAAGATCACGCTAGTCCCTTTGATAATCGATATGAGTGAGACACGCTGATACCGAGAGCGCTAGTTGTGGACTGCTTGCTGCAATCAGGCATCGTGACATCAAATCTAGAGGACCCCCTGTAATGATAAAAAAAACAAAGTGGTTGTCAGGCACCAGTTGCAGATTACAGGTGCTACCTGTGTCAGCAGTAGCATAATGAATTTGAAAAAGAGCTGCTTGTTTGTGTTCTTGGGCAAGGCACTTCACTACAATAAGCCATTTGCAAGTGACCTATAACCTTTGGGATTTAAATTTGAAAAACATCTGGCACAGTACACTGACTTGCTCAGAATGCTTGGCACATTTTAACTTTGAATTCTCCAGATCAAAGACGCTGTTGCTAATCGCATGATTTGGGGCAAGCTCTTGCATAGTTACGTAAGAGACGCTCGGCACCAATGCATTGTTCACAATGGGTGAGAATGGCACGAAGACACCAGACCATGCCGGAGTTGGGGGTTGCTAGCATAAGGCTTGCCCTGAATCAATTGATATAGTAACGGTCTCTTTGGTCAGGAGAATGCAAGTTGAAACGTGCAAAGCATTGGATTAAGTCAGCATTCCAGATTTTATTCAAATTTAACTCTCTTATTGCCTCTCTCCACCCAGCAACATAAATGGGTACATATTAAATGACAACTGAGTTCCAGTGCTGCCATCAGCCCATGCTAAGTTGCAGTCTCCTCAGGCCCAAACCAAAAAGTCTCCGGTTTCTGGTCTGCGCGCGCGTCGCCGTAGCCATGCGCATCGGCAAACTTAAAACGGTTTTTATTTTCAATGTAAGATGATGTCTCAAAACTGCCAAACTCACTGGTTTGACTGGAATCCTGCTGCTGCACAATTTCAACGTGTTTGAAGATGGGGTTACGATCAAGTATAAGCTTTATGTGGCCTCTCTGGGCTCCCATATATTTTGCACTAAATTTTGTAATTGTGCGTCTGGTAGCCGGACTGAGGGAGCGATGGTTGTGTATCTGGAACCTGTAAATGCTTTTTAATTAGCGCAATATGTAAGGGAGCAGACTAATGAGCAGCCAGGCAAGCTCATGCACGATGTCGATGTCGCTGTATGGTCTGACGAAGTTACCGTTTTCTCTGATTTTTGTCATGACTATCCAAATTTCCCAAAGAATTTTCATGTCGGTCGAGATTGTAAGTGCGTGCAGAATTCTCAAGCCTTATGGCCTTACTGATGTAACCTGAAGCTCCACTCTGTAGGACATTTTGTAGTTTTAAGGGATAAGCATCATCTGCAACATCGGCCGACATTTGAAGAGAAAAAAAGTTGGGGGGAAAAAAACCCACGTCACCGCACCACTTTTGGGGCAAGCTCCACACCAGAAACTGGAGACTTTTTTTTTTGGCCTAATGCACGCAAAGACACCATTGGTTTGTGCATATGGTGCTTGTGTCCTTGTGCAAGCCACTTTACTATAATTGTCTCTCTCACCCAGAAAAATAAACATGTCTAAATGTACCTGTGAGAGCTGAGTACAGTTTGTGCTGACTCTAAACTTCTGCATAAAACTGATCTCATCAGTGGCCTGATGAACATGGTAAAGTGCTTTGAGACATTTGTATGAATTACTATCAGAACACCACAGTATTATTGATATTAATACTTGAAACTTTGATCAAGTTTCACCTTTGGGGTCGATGGTAACCCCTCCAGCCTCTCGGAGTATGATATCACCAGCAGCCATGTCCCAGCAATGGATGCCATGCTCCACGTAGACATCCCCACCGCCCCTTGCTACCTGACATATGTTCAGGGCTGCTGAGCCTAGCGATCGAACACTGCAAACATAGAAAATAGACAACACATAAATTGTATTCAGCGCACGTTATCTACCAACAATTAGGTACCGTAATTTTCGGAATATAAGCCGCGGCTTATACGTTGAATTTGCCCATGAAAATGTTTACTGCGGCTTATACACAGGGCGGCTTATACGCCGAGCCGTGAAGAATAAAAATGATATTCAAATGTATATTTAATGTACTGGTATAAGGAAAGATCTGTTGCTGAAATGAATCATCAATTAAGAAAGTCATAAACAAACCTAAAGCACGTCCAACGAAAAGGTACCGAGCGGTAAAAAGTACGGCTAGCGAAAGCTGTCTCTTGGACATCGACATCGACAACCGGCCGTACGTGATTCTAGTGCTGCATGCATGCTGCAAGCCTTTCCCATGGACCACACCATTTGTTGTAATAAAGGGGTGTAATTTCTTGGGAACAATAATTACCAATATTTCTGCTGTTTAAAAACAGAAAAAAAGATAACTAATGCTTTTTATGGAGTTTCAAATATTTCTCTATTCAATAATCAGTTGTTCAATGTCACAATATAATTTTTTTCTTGAATTTTTCTGGATTCGTCCATAAAATTTTCAGCATCGTGTTGACTATTTTCGAAGAAAGTTACGATCGCAACTTGAATTTTGACGTTAGTAATCACAACAATTTGATACGTTTTGTTGTAAAAACGGACCTGTTTATTCTTAGGACAAAACAAATCAGCATCTGTTGCCACAAAGCAGCATTTGTAGCCTCCAGTCAGACGACACACGGTGGGTTACATATATCTCAAGTGCTGGGGGAAAATGTTATCATTTGCCGGCGCTAGCTGCAGGGCCATGCGCTAACGTTTAAGGCCGGGGACCGGACGGGGCAGCCGGCAGTAATTCCCGGTGTTTATTTCTCATCATCAATTTCCATATTTGTTTGTATTTTTGTAAGAGTATCAACTGTGAATGATTTGATATAACTTTTGTGGCCCTTTTTATAGCTTTCGTAGTGTAAATGGAACTGGTTCAGAGCATTTTGACTAGAATTTGGAGGCCCTACAAAATTGAAACCACTGCGGTACGTCGGTGCGGCTTATACGCCGACTTCAAATCTTAATTTACAGATTTTTGCGTACTGCGGCTTATACGCCGCGCGGCTTATATTCCGAAAATTACGGTACTCAAGGCGCTGGAAATTATGTCTATAATTAGAGAAATGTAAATGAAGTCCATGAGAAATATGAGACCCATTATGTAGCACCTTTATAATGGTTTACAAGGTGCTGCGGCGCATTAAGCAGACACTGCCAGAAACACCGGGGCAAACCCGATCTCTTAGCGAAAAGTGTTACTGGGTTCTTTAATGTGCATTACACAACACACGGGACCTACGGCTTCACGTCCCATCCGAAGGATGAAGCAATAATAGTAAAGCGCCGAAGACTATGAAGAAACAACGTGTGTGGAAAACAAACATGGCATCAATACGTCCACCGCGCCGTGCCTGACCCGCGCTTAATTCAGTAAGCACGCAAGAGAGGCAGTACACCAGACAGATGACGTAGCGGGTCTCAGTTCACGTCCAAATTATTGGCTGCGGCTAGGTTGTGGCCGATCGCACAAGCCTGCTGTGCGCGCATACGGCCGCAGCCGCAGCCTATTTGGACATGGCCTGTTCGATGACGTTTGAGTCTGGTTTACGTCCCTTTCGTCGTACATAAGAGCGAGGCGGATTTTATACCATTATACAATACAATAAAACATTTTTCTCGGACAAGTGTGCGACGGCGCCGGGGCATTGTTTTATTTAATTTTTTTTTTTTTTTTTGTGTATTATTTCTTCTCTCGCAACTCGGAAAATCGGGACGTTCCGATTTTCGGGCACTTTTTATCTCCGAATTCGGAACAGTTCCGCCTAAATCGGAACAGTTGGCAGGTATGTAATATGGAGGTATCCTGAATCCATCAAAATCCTGCAGTACCGCTAGGCTTCATGTCCTGAATCCACCAAAATCCTCCAAAACAGGGTGTGGATTTTGATGGATTCAGGTACGTTAGGGTTACGTTCTGTTACTTCAAGTACTGTGATACGGATCGTGGTTATGCATATCATTTCATTCCTCCTTCTTTTTTTTTTTAGATATTTACCCGTGTACACCTTGCTGGAGGATCGAGCTGATGTTCTGCAGCTTGGTTTGTAGGTGGGCACTCACACGACTGCTGCCGATCTCAACCAGAGCTAGGCACTGGCTTATATCTGCCAACAGAAACACGACCAGAAAAGGCTTAAAAGGAGCGTGTAATACATTTTTTTGACTTAAATACATTTAAAACAGCTTTCTTAATTGCCATGTAACTATGACTTTCCACCTCCTTTGTAGCCTTGGTCAATGCTCTCGTCGTTATTCGTTCCGTACGCGGTCAATCGTCGGCATATATCCTCACGCGCTATGCACATGCATGTAAAAATACAGCGCGAACAGCGACCTCACGCGGCCACTATTTTTATGCAAATCAGTTGGAGACGATGTCGAGCCTTGGTGCAATCGTCCATGTGAGGTTTTGGGGGTGGTGCTCATTATGTTAATAGCCTTAGCTGACCTTAAATGTCGTTTTCTTATTGGTCGATCGTTGCGTGGAAACTTGCATAGTGAAACGTAGCACCGTACATAGTCCATACACGTACACATTGTGTGTCTCTGCACACGGCACCAATGCACAAAAACTGTGGTTCCTGTCACATCCGCAAAAGGCGGAAAAGCTGCAAATAATTTGATGACGTCCGGATTTACCAAGGTGTGATTGGACACTCCACATATTAGCCCCGCCTACATTATCTGTATTCGCATACGAGGTCGTGCGCTGGAAATCTAGCGCAAAGTAAAGAAAAACATAAGCTTTGGCCGACGATTGAACCAAGGCTCAACATCGTATTGTTGTATTTTTACATGCATACATGCATAGCGCGTGAGGACTATATGCCGACGATTGACCGCGTACGGGACGAATAACGACGAGAGCATTGACCAAGGCTACCTCCTTTGTAGCAGTAAAAGGGAGAAATTTCAACATTAGAGTTTTTATGCTAATAAAAATTTCCATATTCATGAGCCAAAGTGTGATGTCATGCAAGGCAGAACAGTAGTGTCTCTATAGCTTTGTGTACAAATACAACTTTTGACCTTGTTGTTTGGAACAGCTGATAGGCTTGCCATTGCAGTATGCCCCCTGGCCCTTGATCGCTGTAAACAACTCATCCAGGATAGGGTTGTAAACAACACCGACCACGTTCTCCTTACTGACGGAAAGCCCAATGGAAACTGCTACAAATTGGAAGCTGAAAAACAAAAACGGTAAACTGTGATAGTGGCGGATCAGTCAGTGTATTCACCACAAATCTCAGCTCGGAAAGAATGTTGCAACCTGACGCCACTTTTTTCTGCATATATCTTCTCACTGAAGGTCAGTCATTGCAAAAATGACGATAAGACATGAATCTGGGACTGAGAAACATTTCCAATTTTGTTAGGAAATACTTAGAAAATGTTACTGACTGTCCATTGACTTTGTACACAACCGCTGAGGTGGCGTCAGGTTGTAACATTCTCTCCCTCAGCTCTTTAGGCCCCAAAAAAAAGTCTCCGGTTTCTGGTATGGAGCTTGCCCCAAAAGTGGTGCGGCGACGCGGCTTTTTTTTTTTTTTTTTACTTTTTTTTTCCTTCAAATGTCGGTTGATGACTGCAAATGGTGCCCCACTAAATTGAGTGCAAAATGTATTGGAGCCCAGAGAGGCCACATAAAGCTTATACTCGATCGTAACCCCATCTAAAAACATGTTAAAATTGTGCAGCAGCAGGATTCCAGTCAAACCAGTGAGTTTGGCAGTTTTTGAGACATCATCTTACATTGAAAAAAAAAAACTTTTTAAATTTGCCGACGGGCATGGCTACGGCGATGCGCGCATACCAGAAACCTAAGATTTTTTTGGGCCTTACCTACATGTGCTGTTGTATACAGGCACAGTACAGACACGTACCTATGTACAAAGTTTGTTGTGCCATCTACGGGATCAATAATCCACGTTGGGTTGTCTGTCAGTTCACAGTGAACACCGGCGGCAGTTGTCTCCTCACCTATAAAACTGAAAGAAAAACAGGAAATCATCTATTTAAGGTATTTTGGGTTGCAAAAGGGAAAGATACGTACCAGGTATGGGCTCCGTGCTGGAGCAAGAGTTTGGGGACTTTCATTTCGGATTAGGCTCGACCTAGCCCCACTAGTGTGGCCGTCGGTATGCTGCGCTGAACCTAAGGCCACACACCGTGGTCCGCGCACTACTGAGGACGTTTTCATAAAATTTGCAGGCAATTTCTTACATATGGTTGTATTCTACGATGTCCCATCTATCACTTCTGGGATGCTTAGGTGTAATGATGTTCAATTTTCCGAGATATTCTTGAATCTTTCTGGAGCCCATATGCACTCGTGAAACGTCCGGTGACGGCAGCCATTTTTAATGTGACAAGAGATGACCTCAAGCTGTGACGTCGCGTTTATGCAAATTGCTTGTCGAGCGAGGGCGCGAGTTGCAAATGCGACGGCTGTTTCCTGTGCCGTAGATCCTGAATAGAGATCAGTGCACGTGGCCCCCAGACGATAAATGCATGGTACAGGAAACAGCCGTCGCATTTACAACTCGCGCCCTCGCTCGACAAGCAATTTGCATAAACGCGACGTCACAGCTTGAGGTCATCTCTTGTCACATTAAAAATGGCTGCCATCACCGGACGTTTCACGAGTGCATATGGGCTCCAGAAAGATTCAAGAATATCTCGGAAAATTGAACATCATTACACCTAAGCATCCCAGAAGTGATAGATGGGACATCGTAGAATACAACTATATGTAAGAAATTCCCTGCAAATTTTATGAAAACGTCCTCAGTAGTGCGCGGACCACGGTGTGTGGCCTTAGGTTCAGCGCAGCATACCGACGGCCACACTAGTGGGTCTAGGCTCGACCGTGCTCATCTTAATTACCAGTGGTCTGGGAATTTGCTTCGAAGGAAGGAGATGATGAGTTGTTCCACTTTCTGGTCGGTTTCTGTCACCAGGTCGGCTGGGGAACTCTTCATTTCAACGGTCTTCTTGCTCTGGAAGGTGGCTCGGATTTCCTGAAACAACGTGGAGAACAAACCGAGAAAGGAATTATATTATGACTTGTTATTAACATGAAAAGAAAAATTGCTTAATCATTCTAACAGTTTTAATGAAATATATTAAGTAAAACCAAGCAATTTATAAGATTCTAACATAGTTGAACTGTCTAATGATTTTCGAAAACAAAACTGGGAAAAAATGTTGCAACCTGATGTCACTTCCACGATTATGAACAAAGTCTATGGAGAGTCTAGGAAATTACACAGAAAGTATTTCCTAACAAAATTGGAAATGTTTCTCAGTCCCAGATTCATGTCTTATCGTCATTTTGGCAATGAATCACCTTCATTGGCATGATTGGAATGATATATGAAGAAAAAAAGGGGCGTCAGGTTGCAACATTTTTTCCCAAACTTGCTGTACGTGCTCTGACTGTTTCACACAATAAATTACACGGCATTATTATGTTAAATTAAACGTACATATGTATTAGAGGTTAAAAGGTAAATAATCATATGACGAGAGAAGAAAATGAGCTATGATTCTTTACCTGTCGAACTACGATAATTTGAATTCAATTAAAGCTGTTATTAGCTGTTACCACTAATATGAAAAAAAAAATGACAACCCAATAAAATTTAGGGCTGGGTAATTCCAGCTCAGTAAAATTCAAGCTAACAAAGTAACAACTCACAGTCACACAACTCACTTATACATGTTATATAATGTATGAACTACGAAGGCTATCCTACCTCCCCAGCCTTTTTAGCAATCTCAACTGCAGCGCAAAGATACTCTTGATACAATTCCTTGTCCCCCTGTAATTCCTCCATAATGAAAAGGCAGATATTTTGACAGCTTGGTAGGTACGAAGAATCGTGAAAATGTAAGTATCAAAACAAACAAGACTTGAAAGAGCCGCAACAATCGACGCATGGGGGCGCTGTTGTCGGTGATGTCGAGCGCAATTTGAGTCCCCGCGCAAGTTTAAACTTGCGCAGGCAAGTTTAAACTTGCGCGAGGGACTCCCGAAGCACGCAAATTACACTGCGCCATTTTAATTTGCGTGCGCACGTTACAACTTGCGCAAAGGTGATCGCAATTTGAGAACCTTGCAGGCGGGAATTTCATTGATGAAGAAAAACTTGTTCAAAACACGATTACATGGAGAAATTAATTAATAAATAATGGAATAAATTAATGAACAAAGAAATAAATAAAAATGAGAATTCAATTAGCGTCAATGAAAAGAAACATTGAGATTTAGCAGTGCTTATCAGAGAAGTTTTTACGGGGCGGGGGCGGGAGGGGACTGGGCAAGCAATCAATAAGCACACTAGCGGCGATTGCTTGGAAAGTGTACTGAAGTTGTTCAATTAAAAACATACTTATTTAATTAATTTAGCAATTAATTAATTGGACGGTACAATAATTCATATTGTTTTTAAAAAATACTTTGCATAACATTTCGAGCGCTGCATGTGTACACTTCAAAAATGCATAATTTGAAGAAAAAAATTATGAACGCATTACTAATTTAATTAATTAATTAAATTTTTTTATTACTTTAACAATTATTTTATTTGCAGGCTCAATAATTCATAATAAATGTTTATATGCTTTAACTTAAAAACGCTATGCATATAAGATGGTAATTATTTAGAAACTTTAAATATATTTATTAATGATTAGTTAATTAATTTAATGTATTAATTTAATTAATAAATTTGACTAAATGAATAAATGTGTTGTTAATTAAACAAAAATCCCAATGAGCCATAAACAATGATGCAAAGTGCATAAATTGTTTGCATTACCACCCCTAGTTAATGCCTTTAATATATCTGAACCTCTACACAGTCAACCTCATAAGCATAATACTGTTAATAAAATGTTTCAAAAAAAGGCATTTAGGCATTGTCTCACGAAGCACAGTGGTGCTATTAATCGGAGACACATCTGCTTTAAAATTAATGTGACATATCTGAATGAGTTTACCCGGAAAAAAAATAGAGCAAGAGCCAGGGGTCATTTATTTTTTGGAAAAAAAGAAAATAGAATGTAAACATGGCCCGCATTCTTCTCAGTGTTGTGCATCGTTGAGTTGCGCACAATCTGTTGGTTGTGCATCGACATTCAACGGCCGCTGGGTCAGTAGTACGTACGTTCTGCGTACACAGTCCATTTCCGATCCGATGGCTGTTGCATGTCCTAATCACTGCTAATGTGACGTCAATGCCTCCTGGTATCCAGGTTCACCGCCAGCTAACCATAAGACTATCCAATTCGAATTCCCCAAGGTGTACCCTTTCCAAAAATACCCACTAAACACTTCGTCATTTCCAAAAACTAAATGACCCCTGGCTCTTGGACTAAAATAGTTTAGCGGCATTGCATCTCATCATCTAGGCGCTTGCGTCAAGTTGATCTGACATCGCGCACTCTGTAAGTGCATGTTCTCCACTGTTCTCTGTCTGATGCCACGTGCCAGGTGCATCGATCCTTGATGTTGACCCCCGTGGTTGTCAGGTCCTTGTTTACTCTCTTCAGCCACGTGGTTCGTTGTCCCCCTCTTGGTAGCTTGTTCTTGCGGATTGCCTCTAGAAGTGCTTGCTTGGCAGGAGCTTCCTCGGGTAGTCTCAGGAGATGGCCTGTCCACCTAAGACGTCTTCGGGTAATGGCAGTACTCCAAGGGATCTCGTTGGTTCTCCTGTACAGTTCTTTATTGGTGATCTTCTTGGGCCATTTTATATTAAAGGGAAAATACAACATTTGCAAACATAAAAAAATAAAACTACCAAATCATTTTGAAATAACTTGCTGGGCTGTTAGTGAATGACAGTGTAAAGCACCCTGTAAAATCATGGCACCTGGTATACTGTCATTTTCAAGAAAAGTGGTATTTTTGTATCAATTTCCAACGCTGATCGGCCGATCAGCGTTGGAAACAACTGGCTTTTTTTCAAATACTGGCCCCAATTGACCATCGCACTTGTTTGCAATCGATTACAAACCTATGAACGGGTACGAGCCAGCTAGACTGGTTCCCTGACCTTACAATTCCCCAATGTATGTAAACTGCTCTGTTTCTTCTTATATGGAGTCAGGGAACCAGACTACAGGAAAATGATCGTTTTTCTTGGTTTTTATTGCATTTTCGAACCCAAAACCTCAAAAAAGTCAGTGTAACTATATTTGCTATATATTTCCAACCCCCCAATTCCATCCATTTCTGAAAATCACAGCAAAAGCAAATGATGTATATTCCCTTTAAGGATTGAACGCAAGAGTCTTCTGTGAAATGCATCAATGTTCTCTTCTAGTGACTTAGTCAATGTCCATAGTTCGCTGTTGATGCTATGAAGGCGCGGAATGTTTTGAGTTTCGTGTTGTTTGAGATTGCATCACTGTTAAAGACATTCCTGAATTTGTTGAAAGAAACCATTGAAAGTATTTTCCTCCTGGTAATATCTTGCTCAGTGTCGAGAAAAGATCCCAAGTATTTGCATTTCTTCCAACTGGTGTTGCTAATTCCGTTTCTACTGATGAGGTGTTTCTCTGTCTTAGACGTTTTACTGTGAGGTTTCGCTCTTTTAGTACCTCAGGTGCTTTCCTCTCTATCACAGTTGCTATCGGGTGGATATTGTTACTTGCCCAAGTGATGTCATCAGCTAGCATACTGTAATCCCATCTGGCGTAGCTGTGGTTCTCGAGTTCCACAGGAAGGGATTGGGACTGTGTCTGCGTGCAGTTGAATTGTGATCCTGAAGAGTGAATGGTGTCTCGGGTGTTTCCGGGTCAAGTTGTCTCAGTGCTTTTGCCAGGTATAGAGTGAAGAGAATGGGACTGAGGCAGTCTCCTTGAGGCACGCCGATGTTGGTTTTGAAGGGCTTACCCAAGATAGTTCCCACTGACTTGCAATCGAACGTCTCTAAGCAAGATTGCCAGTAAGTGGAGTTCGTCTTGCTCTAGTATCTCTTTAAGATCGTCAAAGAGAACCACTCTCCTCACCGAGTCAAAAGCCTTTGACATGTCGAGCAGCAGTTGGTGAAGTTCATAGCTATCGGCTGTGATGGCCTTCTCTGCTAAGATTTTTAAAGTTAAGACCTGCTCAGTGGTGCCTCTGCCGTGTCGATAGAAGCTGGTATGTGGTCGTCTAATTTGTCGGCGATTCTCTTCGTCAAACAAATGGCCATTATTTTCCGGATAATTGTCAGAAGAACGATTGGCCTTATGTTCACTGGGGGTCCCTTTGGTTTGCCTGGCTTAGGAAGAGGAACGAGAATACCTTCTTTGATGTCGTCAGGGTAGATGCCAGTGCTAGCGGTTTCATTCAGAGTCCTGGCAATTTCTTGAGCAATCTCGGGTCCATACTTTAGCAACTCGGCACTGAGATTATCTTTTCCCAGCACTTTTGCAATTTTTTAGTGATTGGATCGCCTTTTTGACTTCTATCTTGGTGAAGGGCTTGCGGCTTTGCATGCATGGGGATAATCTATAAAGTGCGCAAGTTTAAACTTGCGTGCGCAATTTGTAGCAAGGAAATTAATGCACGCGCAAGTTTAAACTTGCGTGCGCGCAGGTTTAAACTTGCGTGGAGGACTCAAATTGCGCTCGACAGTGATATCGATAAAAGCGGTTTATGGTTGCAGACCAGTAAATAAACTTCCATAGACATGGTAAATGCTCCCACTTCAGAAATTCGGGAAAAATACTCACAACTCTCCAAGGTGTTCGAGACACACATCAAATTAAAGCTTATTTCATCATCTTTCATTCTCTTTTCAATTTTGGGGGATGACTTTTAGGAGAAATTTCTAGCCGAAGCTGATCACCCCTGAAAATAGTCCTGAAGGCCATCGCCATTTTGAAAAACGATGCGTGCAGCCCATTGCAAAATAGAGCGCTATAAGGGCCCCAATTTCATCCAAATTGAACGGATCCGGAACTACAAGCTCACCGTCTTGTGCACACACACATCCAGCTCGTTTTTACTATACCCACGAGGACCTGATCATTTCCTTCTAATAAGTTCCCCGGTTTCATTTGTACTTTTCTCGACGGCTCCCATAAGGTTTGTAGTGACGAAATTCTCCCGAGGACCTGGGCCCAGCTGGTCCTCGGCCCCATTGAAATCGCACACACCCCATTGTCCCAAGTCCTCAGTCTGAATGGATAACCAACCCACACCCACATATGCTATTCACACCGTCAATCGTGGACGCTTATTGTCCATCTTTTGTTTGTAATAGGCTAACTTTTTAGGAAGACTTCCATATGTTTTGTACACGACCCCAATCGCGGACGTATGCTGGGATCGAATCGCGGACGATATTGTTCTCTTTTGTTCTCCGGCATTTTTTGTCCACGGTTTGAATGCCTGAACACGCCCACACATACATTTTCACGGAGGCCGTGGGGGAGGGGGAATTGGAAATTTATTAGTTTCGAAATCGGAGTACAAACGCTTTCAATGCATTGTTTTTATGTAAGGTTAAAGGACGTAAGCGTGCAAATTTAAATTGAAATGTTACCAGTACTTCCATTGCATTATGGGGATTAGATCGGGAACTTAACTTTCCTTGCAATCTTGACAACCTTTGTAGTTTGAACGAGAACATTTACGAAAACTTTGACCCGACAGTAATGACCGAATGCTACAGTTTACCAGTTCCTGTGTATATAGGCAGTAGTGGATAAAGAGGGGCTTCCGCAGCAAACCTAATGCATTAGCGTCTTTTAACTAAACTTACAGACGCTTCTGTCGCTACCTCCTGAGAGTTCTCCAGAGTGTCAATATAAAGTCTCAACTTCTTTTTCCCATGAGGAAAGTGACTTCACTCCCTTCGAAGACTTTCTACTGAATTTTACGGAAACAAAGATTCATACATGCATCGTGGCATTCTAGTACACGCTTTTCAATCTTTCCCTCCAGAAAATCA